ATACAGCCCTATACGCAATTACTCTCAAACCCAGACACTTCCAATACTTTCTTAGCATTAAAAATTCAATATAGAAGATTCAAAATAACTATGCTAAAGAGAGCTAAATCACTAAATGTCTTATATTCTTGGGTTTTGATCTAAGAGTTACTTATATTGACAAATTTTATATTTAATTCCTTAATTATATAGAGATCAAAAAATTTAGTAGTTAATATTAGTATTACTTACATATAAATCGAATTTTAATAATTTATCAAAGGACTTAATTCTATTACAATATCAAATTGATCCTTTATATTAAATTATATTAATCTTGCTTTTAACATAATTCTATAGCATCAATTAGAGGAATTGGGCAGAGTAGTTATGAATAAGGAAAGATATTTATTTTTTTCAAAGGAATCTATCATACAACTTTGAGGCAAAGTTGTTAGAGATGACCCACACAAATTGTAATTTGAAGCTGTAATTATTATTTCATAATCTTTCTATTGTAATCTGTGTCATTATACTTCATTAGATATAGCAATACATCCCTCTAATGTGATAAGATTAATTATTCATTATCCCAAGTATAGGTATACATTTTCACAAGGAAATATGAGAGCAAAATGACTTAACCAGCTATAGTATTTAAGAGTTAATTAATAACACAGTCCCATAATATTATTTGATTTCATAATTTGTTTTTAGTTTTGGATAATTTGTATTAGTAACGTTGGGAGTTTTAGTCAATGTTGAACTATAATTCAGTGGAGAGATTAACACTCTCACAATTTCATTTTGTCACCTCCTGCTATTTACTAACTATTATTTTAGAAGGAGCATTAAAAAAAAAATAATAAAAAATAATTTAAGCATCATCTGTTTCAATATAAAATTAAGAGAGAGAATAATTTGAGACAGTTGTTTTTTACAGCCATATGAAAATTTTATCATCTAGAAATAATTCATTTTTAGATAGTATATTACTAAATCTTTCTGGAGAGAGCTTGGATTACATTTTTTAGGGAATGTATCTTTATCTCTCATTTTAAGATGATATTTTTTTTTGAATTTGAAAAGTTGTTTTTTCTACAGTTATCTTTTCTTTTGTATAGTTTAAAACATTATTTTATTACTTTAATCCGTAAATATTATATTATGACACCTTAAATCAAAGGATGTAGTAAAACATAAAATAAATTTTATAAAATGAGTTTCAAAAAAATTCTTCTTTTGATTATTCTTATTAGGTAAAAATTACAATTGAACACCAATACCAATAAATTCTCTGGACTGTAAGGTTGATCAAATGGATGCTCTGATGCTTAAACGAAGAGTAAATCATAAATAATCTAAAAGAATAGTATTATATAAATTGTTAATTTAAATATCTTGCTTTAAAGAGATGAACACATAATTTAATTCAATTAGCTATGTTTCAGTTAACTTAACTAAATGAAATTAAAATTAAAATTCTAATTATATAATTAATATTTTATTATATGAAGATTTATTATGTTATTATATTTATTAAATTTGAATACTTTAATTAAAATAAAAGAATTTTCGAATTAAAGTAATATTAAATCCATGTTCTTATCTTGAGTCGATTCCAAATACATGATCATTATTGTAATATTTCTTTTTGTATAATTACCAAATTTAGAGTAATAATAAATTAAGAATTAGCTTCTAAGTGAGTTCCTCTATAATTAAATGGTCTAATATTGACCAACACCTTTATATTTCGATCGCAAATTAATGTAATTTAAAATATTTTAACGAATTAATTTAAACAAATTATGTCATAATAATAATACGAAGGATTGATAGAGGAGAACACTTAACTTAAGAAAGCCATAATTTCTTCTAAGGCTGTGATAGGCAGAAAGATTAGTAATTTACATTTTTTATAATAAAAGATGAATATGAGACTCTTCAAGCAATCAATGAGGAGTTGAAATAGAATCTTGATAAAATGAGAATGGAGAATTAGGATTTATTATAGAAGTATAGAATAGCTCTGCATGACAGAAAATAAACAGAATAGCAATTTGATAATGCAACTAAGAATTGGAAACTATTAATTGAATAAAAACAAAGAGAAATCGAAGAAATCTAAAGCAGATTGACCCCTGCGTTTGATTAAGATATGATGAGAATTAAATTGTTGAATGAATTAGATTTACCACATAGATAATAATTGGAATAAAAGTAATTAGAGATTGAAAAGTTGAATGAAACTATTTATTAATTAAAAAGAAAGATTGATTTGGAAATATCAAGAGTAGAGACTATATAAATAGATAAAGATAAAGAAATGAAATTGCTTTAAGAAAAACATAAGTTAGATTTAGCAGATCTCTAACATTAAATCTCTGATTTAACAAAATAAGTAGAAGATAACAAGGACAGAGACACAATCAGAAAATTAAGAAAAGATTTGGAAGAATACAAATTAAAATTCTGTGCTACTGATACTGAAAATGAAGAATTAAGAAATGAAAGAGATAAAATTAGAGAGGAGAAGAATGATATCATGATTAAATTTGCCAGATAGCTTGATTCGGAGAGGAATGATAAAAGACAATTTAAAAGTGATTTTGATAAATTATAAGTGAGAACTAGATTCTTAGAGGATGAATTTAGAAAAGAAAAATAAAGAAGAGAATAAGTTGCAACTGATTTTGAAATTTTAAAAACTGAAAAAGATTAGTTGTTAACTGATTTAAGAAAAAAAGATGATACAATTCATTATCTATAAAGAAAAATTACTGATATGGAAGAGGAGTAATTGGAGTAAGAATAGAAGGTGTAAGATAAGTTAACACGTTTGTATTAGGATGAACATGATAAGTATTTACAAGAGAGAAATAAGGCAGTTACACTTTAAAAGGATGTTGATAACTTAAAAAAAAGATTTAGTGATCTTTAGGATGATTATAAAGTATTGAGGGATAGATATCAAAAGGAAAACACAGAAAATAAAGATTCAATCAGGGTATAGAATGAAGAAATTGAAAAGTTGAAGAAAACCCTATCACAATAATCAAAAGAAATTGGAGATTTAGAAAGATCCAATAAAAATAAAGAAGAACAACTTCATGATCTAGAAAATGAAAATGAAACAATCAAAAGAAGAAATCGAGAACTTCAACATAGAATCTAATTAATTGAAGTGAATCCTCTTCCAACTCCAGTCTAAACTCAGCCTATAATGAGTTAATCTTAAGTACCTACTCTTAGTTAAGTTCCTTAATTTGCTTAATAAATTTAAGAACAGTACGATACCACAAAACCGAATAAGCAATAAATTACAGTATAATCAGAAAATGATCCTTAAAATCAACAATAAATGTTAGCTTAAAAACAATCTCTTTAACAAATTACTGAGGAAAACAGGTCTTTGATTTCTAAGAATAAAAAACTCAATAAAAAGCTTAAACTAGCAAATGAGAAAATTCTTGAACTCTCTATGAAAAATACTATCTTAGAGAAATAAGTATCAAGATAGCACTCATAAACACCAATATAAGATTTTGATAGATCTAGTTTAGGTGCACATGCTCATTCTTAGTCGCCATTTAGACAGGAGGTCTATTAGTAGTTAGGCAATGAAACAATTGAGTAAAGACCATCTTAACAAGCTGTTCATACTGATACAAGATTGGATAGATATGATAAATAAGAGTGCTAAACTCGTTAAGATAGATTTACTTAATAATCATAAGATAAACATCGACCACGGGGTTAATCTGGAATTGATGCTCGTGGAGTCTAAGGTCATCCAATCGAAATAAGAGATGATGAATTACTGAATAAAGTTATGTTGCTTACTGATGCGTCTGGATAAAACAAACACTGGTGATTTTTCTTTATTTATATATATTTAAGATATGAATATTCGTTGAATATTGACAATAAATATGTTTTATAATTTATGATTTCAGGAATCTTCCCTTTCCCATTTAGAAACAACTTGCAATAAGTTTTCCATTTTTTATTTTTCATATTCTTCTAAAGGCATGTTCTCAAACTCTTTAGGTACTTTGCCATCAGGGAAATTAGATGCCTTAACTCCAGCTAAAATTGTAATTGCATAGTTATACATTTTGTTAAATTAGGACTTAATTTAAGTAATGTAATTCCACCATGAGTATCACCTACTAAGATAATTGGATCTCTTTGATTAAATGCAATATTTGTTAGTCTTGGTTATTTAGAGGGTTTTTATTCTGCAAGTTTTCCGATTTTATCAACATTCAAATCATAAACAAAAATCTTGTCTTGAGTGGCACAAGCAAAAACTAAAAATAGATAATTAATGAATACCTGTAGAACTGTAGGGTGCCCACATGGCATCGACAACCTACATTCCTTATTCAAAACTCATAATTTAAGTAGAGATTTTAGAATCCCAAATTTTAACTGTCCAATCAGCAGAAGCAGAAATGAAAGTTCTAGGATGGAAATTGTTCCATTTAACCTTGTATACTGCCAAATTATGACCCTGATTATAGATATTATATAAATACAATGTATGTTTCTTGATATTATCCTGAATATGCTCTTGAACATTTATGTATTTTTCCTTCTTCAGTACCAACCAAGAAGATATGAGGTTCGAATTTATTGAAATCAAAACACAAACCACCAAGCTAAACCAATCAAAGTACTTTCCTCTTCATTCTTTCCAACCAATCTTAATCTGATGACTTCTTCAGGCTCTAATTTATTTTTCATCAACACCCAATTCATAACTCTACCATCAGATGAAATTGAATAGAAATTATAATTCTTAGAGATATCTGGATTCCATCTAACTTGCCATACTGGGTCTGTGTGTTTCTAAGTTCTTACTGTTGATTAATAAATTGGTTTTTTATGTTTGTTTCTGATATCATAAACTAGCACTGTTCCATCATATAATCCTACAGCCAATAATGCTGGACTTTATGGATGGAAATCTAAGCACATCACACCAGCTTCACATGTAAATGCATATTCTGGATGAGTTGTATTTTTAAGAGAATATAAACAAATCAGACCCATTCTTTATTTTGAAAATTCGTAACTACCAAAACTTACAGCAAATAGATCCATATATCTTGGATTCCAACACAATGATGTTACATGTTTCTTCTTTTACTTTTCATTTGAAAATTTCCAAATTGGCAATAAATGTCTAATTATTTAGCTAAATCTTACCCTTCATTCTTCGATGTCTCAACTACTTCGCCTTGACTCCAATAATATTTGTAATCATTGTATTTCTCTTTCTGATCATTATGAACCACTGTTCTTTCCATTATTTTTAAACATCTCTTAAAAGATGGCTTATAAACTGTGTTATCCGAAGTGTGATCTTTCTTCTTCTAACTTTCCTCTTTGGCTTTATTTTAAATATAAGCATCGAAAATTTCCCATTAAGTAATTTATCCTTTCAATGTATCACTAGGAGGAGGCTCTGTTGACACACCTCTTTCTCTGATGACTCTTCCATCAGTTTAGGCTTCTCTCGCATTATAATTAAACTTGTTTCTCATTGTTTATTTAATTGCCTCCTTGTCCTTTGCTGCCCCAGGATCTTCCATTTCTAAATTCCTTTCTGCCTCTTTTATCAATGCTTATTTTGTTTCCCATAATTCCTCCTATATTCTGGATTCATTTGAGTCTTTGTGTATGATTTCTCCATCCATCCTGAAGTGAATTATTAATTATTCAACCAACTCATCAGTTTTATACTATCATTAATGATGGGTAGTTACTTTTCTTTATAAATAATCATATTGAGTGATATTCTTAGGGGCTTGAGGATTGGTAGGTATCAACATTTTAGATGGCATGTCTTCATTCAGTTCCTTCTCTGTCAATTAAGGTCTTTCTCTTTCTCTCTATTAATATTTATTTATTTCAAAACTTCATGTTAATATTCTGATTCATCACCATCTGGTTCAGCTTCTTGTTGATTTAAATTCTGGTTGGCTATTTTAGGTTGTTTTTTCTATCAATTATAATTAATAAATTTACCGGTTATGGTCTCCTGAGGGCTCCTTTTTATTATTTTGGGTGGCATTTTTAATTATTAAATAAACTTAATCAAAAATGATTGTATTTATAATATATTCCACTCAATTAATTATCCTCCTCAGAATTGCCATTTTATGATTGTACACTTGTTCAATCCCAGGAATCTGAATTCCCATAGATTATTTTATCAATATTTCAATGAGAGAAGATGAAAAATACAAGAAAATTAGTATTTTAAAAGTATATTTAATTTTTTCAGTTGCTTAAAACTAAAAAAACAGTGAAATTTCAAATATGAATTGAAACTCAAATGAATCTAACTGAAATCGTATCCAAATATTAAAAATATAATCGATTCATGCTCTCATTCTCGAATAATTTTACATGTATTTTGATGATAATTATAATTATTTAAATCAATAATATTTATATTAAATTATATTAAAAGATGGCTAGAAATGCAGAAAAGGCTAAGGCAATGCTTTCAAGATGGTACAGATTGAAAAGAGATATACGTAATACTACAGATGGAAAGTATAAGTCTATTCCAAAAGTGTAAGAATGCGTCAATCTCTAAGAATGTGAATTGGAGAGATAGGAAGTATTAAAGGTGGTTTCAAAATTGGTCTCTGATATTTAAAATGCTGGTTTGGGTGAGCATAGAATTAGGGAATTGAATGATGAAATTAATAAAGTCATCTAAGAATTGCGGTAATGGGAAGATAGAATCAAAGAATTAGGAGGGCCAGATTATAGAAGATTAAGTGCTAAGATATATGATACTCAAGGCATTGAGTTGACAGGAAAAGAAGGATATAGGTATTTTGGAGCTGCAAAAGATTTACCTGGAGTTCGAGAATTGTTTTTCTCAGAACCACCTTCTGAACCCAAAAAGTCAAGGACGGAGTTGTATAAGGTAATTGTAAATAGATTATGTAGAATATCTCATATAACTATTATGGAAGTCAGAATTAAGAGTTGTAAGAGATTTTAGAAGAGGAAAGAGAATTGGAGAGGAAGGCTTAAGAATAGGAGTTGCAAAGATTCATTGAAGACAACTAAGAGCTGGTTAAAGATTTCAATACAAGGGAAGAGATTTTACAATATATCAAATATGAAGTTGATAAAAGAGATGATGTGTTGAAGAGAATGGAAGAAGAGAAATGTAAAATCTTAAATTAAATAATTTAGAATAACACTCTGATTCTGAGGAATATGAATAAGATCAATTAGAATAAAGAAAGCAAGAGTTGATTAGGCAATATTATGCTCCTGAGAAGATCCATTCTTAATATGTTACTACAGTTGAAAAGGATGCAGATCTTGAATCATTTATTAGGGGAAATATGGCAAAATGATATTAGTTGCATTTATCTATGTATATTTTATATTATATATATATTGCATTCTTAAATGGAATATGAATTTAGTTTATTTTAATTCTAAAAGTCGCTTTCAAGAACCTATTTAAATTTGATATATCACATTTCAGATATTATATATTAATTGATACTAACAATAGAAAGGATTTTTTATAAAATTATCAAACATTTATCATATATAAGACAATTCATTACTCTTTAATAAACCAAAAGGATTGAATATAAGAACCTCATTCTTTATCTATTTATAATTTGCAAATATATTATTATATTAGAATTGCTGAAATTTAGAATCTTGTAAACTATAATTTTGTAGAACTTAAAGAATCTAATGTTTTAATTGGATGGAGAGCAATAATGTAAATGAAAACACCTTGCTCCATAATTCAATATGTGGAAGTGTCAGGACTCGTAGATATAACTTAATAAATTATAATAATAATATTCAAATCATGCTTACTGCAAAGACACTACAAATACAATGGAGAGTATTTTTTTATTGCTCTTATTTTGCTTATTTATCTTTTGGCCAGGATATGATGATTTATCCATCAGCAACAGTATCCCACCATTGTGAAGTTGTAACAAATGCTCCTGCTCCATTTCTTTACATAATCATGCAATGAACTATATATCTTAAACCTGTAAACACAATCTTACTTGTATGGTTTTCCCAATTCAATTAATTATTATGTAACTTTTTCGCAAATTGCATTAATCCAACCTTGGACCTAGAGTAATGTCGTGAATTTACTTTGGATTCATCATATTGAACTTCTTTTAAGACACTTTCAATGGATTCTTAGGTGATACGATCTACTTCTTCTTGTGAATAGGTATTCTCCTCTAAATTTTGATTTTCTTCCATTAATTTTATTAATGAAACAATAGCTAAATTACACGCTTTGGATAACTTTCCTGGTTTCAACTGTTTTGATCTACTTATTTTTCAGTTCAGGGGAATTTAGTTTCATATTAACACTGGCTTGTGGAATTCAATGCTTTGGATTTGGATTAGTATTTGTGACAATTTCAATTACTAAAGAGACAAGTGGATTAAGTAAATAGACCTTTATTTGTTGTGCTTAAGCATTGTTGGCACGTTTATTCTCAATTCTGACTTTCGAAGTATATTGATTAAGCATAACTTAGGGTTATTTGCCTTCAGATGCAACAGGGGATTATGTGTATAGATTATTCGAAATTTTGTCGCTCATCTTTTGCATATTGACAGCATTCAGCATAAAAAATAACAAATAAGAATTGTTCCAATGGTATTACTTCACTCCAGTGATGTTGGTGACTGCTTATTATGTGCATCCAGGATTGAATTCACATTCATTTTGCGATATCTCTTGGGTGTTTGCTTTGTATATGGAATCATTCGCAATATTGCCATAGATACACCTTTTCACGAAGAGAGGTTAGAATTCAACAATAATATAGAGGGAATAATTGAATATCACACATCTAATTTTGTAATCACTCAAGCTCTCAACAAAGTAATCTGCGTGATCTTTTGGTTTTATTCTTATGAGGAACTCAATCGAAGTTCAGATGAGTCAACCATAAGTGTGGCTCCTTAGTTGAGTGGCTATTTTGTGATGGTGGCTCAATTGATTTCAATTGTAATTAAATTAGTAAAAATAGATCATAACAGCAGATTTTGTGTATAAATATTTGCAGAGTTGGAAATAGGGTATTCCATTGGTTATGTTGCCTTCATGATGTAGAAAATAATAAAAATATTATATATATATTATCATTTTGCAAGCATCATATCCTAAAATTATTGTCTTTTATTATTAAATTTATCCTGTCCTATTGATTCCATATCAAACAACTTAGGTTGTAAACAGGGTTTAGGAATTGCTTATTGAATTTGCTTTTTGACTGTTTGTTTGACTCTTAAAATGGGGGGTTCAGACTATTGTCTGGGTTACATTTTGACATTAGATAGTTTTGTGACTTTGGCACTCACTTACTCATCTTCTCCATGGATATTGATACTTTCAGGTCTTGGGATGTTTTGAAGTTTAGGGAGATTATTAGCAGGAGTGTTGGGTTTGAATGGAGCTCTGACTACATTATTTTTAACTTATTATTATTATTAAGGAATTTAGGATTCTTTCATATCTTTCTTCTAATTTCTTTTTATGTCTTAAAAGATACAATAAATTAATACTTGTTCCAGTCCAGCTGTCTTGGAGTGATGAAGCAAACTCTATATATTTGTCATACTTTTGAGAATCCTCCAGTGGATATATCTTAACATAATCTCCTAAATGTGCATTCTCATAGTCATTCCTCTGCCTCTCCCATTGTTTCATTTGTGACATCTTCTCCTCCATTGTCAACTTCACTTTTTTGCCTGTCAATACTCTCTACTGGAGAGATTCCTTTCTGGAGGCAATTATTTATTCTTTGGCTTTCAGACTGACATTCATTAATTTCAATGTATCTCTAATGAGATTTTTCTTAATCAAAGAGTCAAGAGGAGTATCTGTAGTGAAACTAGGAGTATGATTAACTTCCAGTAAGATTGGTTATAGTTTGTGATTCAAAAAGATATCAAATCCCAAGATTTCAAAACACATGTTATTAGCATAATTATCTGGTTGACATGACCTGTAATGATGACTCAATATTGGTTGTACAGTACAAAAGGTTTTAATAAATAGCTCATACATCTCTTACCAGAGCTTTTTAATGTCATGTCCTTCTTATTCTAATTTGCTAAATACTGCCTTGATGGATCTCTTATGTCCAATATCCATTCTGCTGGCATCCTTATTGAATACAAAATTTGGGTTTTCTTTATTTATAGCATAATTGGTTAGATGCATACACATGTCTTCTAGATTTGATGAATTGGGAGGAACATATGGTTCCGTAGCAAATCTGACCAAACCATCTTAGTATACGTATATTCTCATAGGATCAGTTCCAGCCAACAGGACATAAACTCTCAAATCAAATTTTAATCCTTCGATTAAGAATGGTCTGTGCATGTATCTCTAGGCCACATAGTGATCATTTGGATTGATGTCATTGATGTTCCTTGTTAGAAATATGCCTCTTCCTTGGCAACTGGCTTCAGGTTTGACAATGAAGGTTCTGGCTTTTCCTTTTACGAATTGGTTTTTAAAGTCGCCATATTCGGCTGGCAATAGCCACGTTTATGGAAAGAACTTAAATTCTTCTGAGAATTATTTGCGCATCTTCATTAGATTTCTTCCTAGATGATTCTTACGAGCAAGAGAATACATTCCAGGGAAATGATTAATTTTTTGGTATGCTATGAATTATTTATAAAAATACGTTGCATTTTTCCAAGAGTCTCAGGTTGAACGGCTGCATCTGTCCAAAACATATCCCAATTGGTAGCATCAGGCTCATATTGTAAAATCCACTTAAATAACTTTTTACCAACAAACTTCACAACATCATATTGAGTATCTAAAATAAGATAGACGACTTCTCACCTGACACATTCATTATCAAGGTTGTCTTCTTCTTGGAATTGTCTTCAGTCTCGCTTCCGCTATCTTCAAATTCTCCATTGAAGTGTGGTTCCTTTGCTAATTATTATTTCATATTATTAATATAAATGGACTTATATCACTATCTCTTTAAATTCATTATTGTTGGAGATACAAGTAATTCTGACAATTTCTAAATAAATTAAGGTGTCGGCAAGAGTTGTCTTCTCCTCAAATACACAGAAGGCAAATTTAAGGAAGAACACGATGCCACTATTGGTGTAGAATTTGGATCTTAGGCATTCAAATATAAGAATAAGCAATTTAAAATATAAATATGGGATACAGTATGATATTGAGTTTAAAGATAGGCTGGTCAAGAATCGTTTAGATCAATCACTCGATCCTATTACAAGGGGTTTGTTATAATATATATACTTAATTGTAGATCGATTGGTGTTTTGCTAGTCTTCGATATTACAAATCGATAGTCATTCCATAACATTGTCAGGTGGTACAATGAGATATTGGATTGTGCTCACGAATACGTGGACATAGTTATTGTTGGCAATAAAATCGATCTGGAGAACGAGTAAATCAATTATGTAAATAGACGCTAAGTTTCTGCAGACGAAGGGAGACTATTTGCAGAACAACATAGAATACACTATATTGAGACATCAGCTAAAACTGGATAGTATGTTGACTCCGTGTTTTAATAAATGGCAATGCGAATCTATGAAAAGATAGAAAACAAATTAGTAGACTAGAACAATGAAAATTTAGGTATTAAATTAGGCACATTTTACAGAAATGATGAAGATGATGATAAAGAATTGTAAACAAGTTTAGGATAAAAGAAGAAGAAAAAAAATGATGATTGTTGTTGAATCTAATTTAAATTATGTCATTTCTCTCATTTTAAACGATTACATGCATCTTAAATAGTCTCTGTAGTCTTGCAAAATGCCCATCTCACAAACCTTGAACCCAACTCTTTATTTTTTAAATATGGAGAACAAGGAATACATACACCACTCCACCTTAATTGGCTATATAATAAGCAAAAGCAAAATCTTTAGTAAGTTGATGACCATTTTAATCATCTTTGAAATATTTCTCAGGTATATCTACATCACTGACATCAATAACAAAAAGTATCCTCCTTGTGGAACCCAAGAATGCAGTTTGAATCTGCTCTCAAGTAAACCATTTATTAACATAGTTGATTATTCTTCATACAAATTTTTGTAAAGTATTAACCATCAAATAGTTTATTCTAAGCATTTCGCTGTGGCAGTTTATAAGACAGGATTCGAACAAAAGTTATGATACTTTTAAGCGGAATTTATTTCTTTTTTATATATTTTTCATCTCCAATTGCAAATCCAATTCTTAATCCTGTAGCTGAAAACATTCATTCTACCTGCACTTGTTACACATGCTGTCTTATATTTTAATTTTGGATGAATAATACATCTAGGATAAGAAATGGCTAATAACCGCCAAACATGATGATATGCAGCATCTTCACACACTATTACTTATGAATGTTTATCTAATATTTCTTCTAATCTGTTTAATCTTAAACTGAAAAAGCTCTAACAAAATTACATTTATAAATTACTTTCCAATTGGATTTTATGGCGAATTCAAAATTATAATTTTTGTCTTTGCATTTAATCTCGACTCAAGATAATCAAATGCCATTCGTCCTCTTTGGAAAATTTAAATTTGCCATTCTCAAATCTGCTCAATAAACTAGGCTTGCTATTTTATTGACTAGATTTTAATGGAACTCAAACCTTACAATTCAATTAAGGGACGATAGAAATCTTTTGATATCTCTACTATTAATACCAAAAGCACGGTCAAAATATATGACTTCATCGTTTGGATTAAGCTAAGCCTGGAAAACACATGCTAAAACTGGTTCTGCCCCAGAACTTGCAACTATCTCTTTGCAGTATCCACTTTAATTCCCATATGCTTTTCATAAAAGTCAGAAGCTGCTTTCAATAACCTTAGATGACCAGCAGTTTATGTATATTGTAAACTCTCTGTCAATGCTTCTACTTTAATGGCCTATCTTAAAAATTAAGGTGGTCGAAAATTTGGAAAACCTTGTTCCATATTAGCACAGGTATCCAATTATGTAAATTTAGCATACATCTACAATTAAAGATAAGGTACCATTGGATTAGCAATTGTATTATCTTACATTCTTAAATTATATATATATAGATAATAACATAATAATAATTTGATTTTAAATACTTCTATGTTTCTATATTGTATTCCTAATGCACTAATTAATGTCGCTATCAATAAGCAATCTATATATGAGTGGAAATGAGAATAGGAATTATTTAAGAATTTACTTTAAGAATATAAATATTTTATTTATTTTAAATAATAATTAAATTTGCTTTATATCAGATTACTCATTGCAATTCACCACAATCATATATAACAACTTTCTTTGATGGTCTACCTTATTGAGTTCCACAAAATTCTATTTCATTCAACACTTCTAATCCAGATGCCACCTTTCCAAATACAGTGTGTTTTCCATTCAACCAAGGGCATGGGACAGTTGTGATAAAAAATTAGGATCCATTTGTATTTGGTCCGGCATTGGCCATTGATAAGAGTCCTGGTGTAGTATGTTTTAATGTGAAATTTTCATCGGGGAATGTCCTTCCATAAATTGATTCTCCACCTGTGCCATTATGATTTGTAAAATCTCCTCCTTGGACCATAAATGATGGAATAATTCTATGGAATGATGAACCCTTATAATGAAGTGTTTTTCCAGATATCTTAGACACAGTGTCACCAATACATAATTTTCTGAAATTTTCTGCAGTTTTAGGTGTGGCATCTGCAAATAACTAATTGTAAATATTCAATTTACTTCAAAGACAATTCTACCACTTGGGGCATTGTTAATGGAGATATCAAAGAAAACCTTTGGATTTTTAGTTGTGGCAGAAAATGAAAATCTGAATAATTTAGTAAACATTTTTATTATTATAACAATTAATTTAGGATGTTTGTAAAATTATTTTGCTCGTTAATGTGTATAGATGTATAATATTTGATTTAGAATAACTACTATGATAGTCTCTTGGAAATTGAAGGAAATATTAAATTATAGTTAAAATAAGTAGATTAGTGATTTTAATATTCAAAGCATTGTATATTAATGTTTATAATTTATTTATTTAAATTAAATTTATATATATATGGAATCTTGTTAAAATGGAAAACATCTTGGACAGTTGCTTTTTGGATATTGCTCAAATATATAATGCATTAGTAATTTAAAAACATTTTGTGATATTTGCAAATACCATCATGATGAACATTATTAAGATTTACAATAATTGGATTCTCTAGACAATATCAAACTTAAGAATAATGAATAGATGAATTAAATGGGTAATTTTATAGAAAATCAACAAAAATTTTATTTGGAATTTTTAGCAACCTTTAAAGAAATGGACTTAAGAAACTTGAAAATTGATTATTAAAATAATAATGATTTAATTGATTAGTTGAAATAAATTGTAAAAATAGAAAGTGTATTAAATACTGCTTTGCCTATATGTCAAAATGTACAATAGTCGTGTACTTTAATCATGTAAGAACTTAATAAATTGAAAAGTATTTTTTTTAATTATCATAATTTAAGAAAATAAAGAATAAGAAATTTAGGAAAAGCCAAAATAAGGGAAGAAATAAAAATTAATTTAAAAACAAGGGATGAAATAGAAATAGTTGAGTTAAAAATAGGTTATTTCAGAAATAAAATAATGGCAAGACTTCAAACTTCATTTCTCATAAAAATTTAAATACAAATGGATTAAAATTTTGAATAATGGATAGATGGCGAAAAATGAAGACGATAGAGGTATGGTCATATGTGAGCCTATGTTGCCTAAGAAAGGATAATATCGATTTGCATTTGGTATCAATGAAAATTCTTATCTGATTTGGATTGGAATTTGTCATAAAGAGTTTCTTATGCAAAATGACTTTAAAACATATTTTGATGAAAAGCCCATTTGTAATAATGGGTAGTAATTATATTAAAATTTAGGGTTTATTTAGTAAATAATTATGGAGTAGCTTATTCACATCTCCCTACAGATAATACAGAGTCCTTCATTTTTTCTCCAGATGATCTAATAATTGTATATGTAGATATGGACAAGGGAAATATTACTTGGAAAAGTAAAGTATCAAATAATAAATATGTATCACAAAGAATTCATTATTTAGTCAATGAAATTTGATGCAACATAAGATGTCCATGCTTGCGCAGGAATAACTTCATTTTCACCTGTATTCTTAGTCGAGAAGTTTTGAAAGGAAAATTATTGATTATTTATTAAATCCTTTCTTTCATTATCTATCCTTATTGCTAAACATATAGGAATAATTATATTGCTTATTTATAAATAGATATATATATATTAGAAGTATTAATAAATTATGCGTTCTCTAAAGAAGTATCTAAAGATAAATAACTAATATTGAATTAGATAAAGAATGAGCAAAAAGAGATCATAAAAATTGTAAAAAATAAATAGTTTGAATGTGAAGAAGGATCAAAAATACCTTTGAGTCTGCTATCTAATCATCAGATTATAATTTGGTAAAGATTGAAATGATTGAATATATCTTTTTAATTATCTGAAATCATTAATATTAATTTAGTTGTTTATAGCAAAATAAAATTGAAGATAGTTAAAATATTAGACATTTCATTAATCCATCGGGCACAATGAAAATTTCTATTAGATTTAAAAAATCAACAAAAAAGGCTTATTGAGCTTTTTAAAAATAAAAGTAAAATTCAAATGTTAGCACTAAATTTAGAAGTTGACTATAATATTACTATCGATTGAGTTATATAAAAATTAAAAAAACAAATTTATTGAAATTAGTATTATTCCCATGAATTAGAAACTGTTTTTCGAGTGTTATTAAAATAATTGAACATTTAGTTGGTAATGAAAATATATTATTGATTTCAATGAAAAATAGTGAGTTAATTATTTTATAAAATGAAAGCACCCACTCATAGGTGCCTATTATCGAGTTTAATCGAAAGTAATGAAAAGACTACTCGTTAAGCCAAGACACACGAATCTTTTGAGAGGTTGAAGAATTCTTAACCGTAAACTGCAACTCCCAAGACTTAAATGACTAGTAGGAAAAGCAAATAGATGAGTTTGGTGCAAGTGCAACAGCTAATTTAGTAACCACTTTTGCGAAAGAACCATACAGCTTTGTCTGAGGTGCCTCATACTTGGAATACAAGTCGAAGCATAGAAAAGACAGTGGACTTACTTGCTATGTCTTAACATAAACGAGTGAAGTGGCTTGAAAAATAAAAATCTTTGCTAGCTTAACAACAACCAGTTACAGAGCGTGTTTAGACAAGTCGTATAAAGTAAATGGCAACTGCTGCTAATTATAACAATTTTCTTAAGAAATTCAATGGTGAATATCTGATGATTTTGGATAAGAATAAAACAGCAGCACCGCTTTAAAAAGTACAAAATGAAACCTTAGAAAATAATGAGAGGTAATTCATTTTCAAGCAGCCATTACGCATAGTGAAGGGATTGAGTGAACACATGCTGAGAATGAAGAGTATAACTAGACAACATGAATCATTGCGTTCACCTCCTAGGAAATTTTCGAATCCTCGTTATTAATTAACTAATGCGAATAGAGTTCGCTTTTCTAAATATTATTAAGATGATAGTTTGAAAGTGTTGAAATCTTAGAAAAGAGATCCGAACTAAATCTTTAAGGAGTTGCATATTGAAGATATCCAATATACTGATTTAGACAGAGCATAGAATCATCCTATAAATATTGCCTTATTTAATATGTTGAAAGATGAGGAAATTATTCTAAGTATTTTATTTGTTAAATTCAGAGTAATAGTAACTCGAGGAAGCAGAAAAATATACTGCTTAAGAACTAATAAAATAGAGATAAGAGATTGAAAGATTTGATGAACTCACTCGTTAAGAGTATCATCGAAAATGTTATGTGGATTTCAAATCCAAAGTTATCAATCCAAAATATCAACCCAACTATTTGCGTTTAGATTAATCCTTATTAGAATTATTTCCAAAGAACTAAGTTGTGAACTCTGAATTATAGAAGAAATTGAGAAGACACAAAATACTGAATATGATAAAGATGTTCTTGTTTAGATTACACGAACTACATCTCAATCTTGAAGATCTCATTAAACATAAAATTTATCCTCTAGCAGCATATGCTAATGAAAGATCTAAATTATTTTTTGATTTAGTAAAATCTAACAAGATTGAACTAACTCGTAGAGAATTACAAGAGAACAGATATTTAGTGTATGAGTTTGATCCATCCAAATTAACTCCTCTTCATCATGCAGTCATTCGCAATCACGTGGAAATGGTAGAATTACTTATGGAATATCATGCTGACGTTAATCGCCGTGATATTGTACTTATTCTTCTATTATCTAGCTTGGAAGAACTCCTCTCTTCTTTGGAATCCGCTCTGGTTACAATGATTGTGTATAGCAGTTGCTGTATCATTAAGCAATTCCTTGGTCCAATAAAAAGAATCAATATGACCTATATTTGGATATGCTCAGCGATAAAGTTAGGGATTAGTACCGTAAGTCAAAAAATGTAATATATCTTGATAATTGAAGTACCATTTATAAATGTAAATGATGCCTTATACAAAAAGAGCAGCTTTCTGGGTGGAGCGAAGATATTATTTTACTTAATGAATAATATAAATTTATCTAATTTATTCGTTTTAATATCCTTTAAATTATCTTGAAAAGCTTTTTAAAATGACTTGCTATTTTATTACATTCACTAGTATTTTTTTAATCGACTTAAATATCTTCATTTAATAATAATATTATATGGTCTATTTTTAAATAATATTATATATAAATGTACTGCAATCTTTCTAATATTTTACGCCCTGATTTATTTCTAATTTCTAGAAGTGCTTATTTTAATTCTCAAAACATATTAATAAGTTTATCATATAGATCCACATTTAAATTTCAAAGAATTTGTCATATTTATTATTTATAATATTTTTCCTGTTCTTGAGCTTATACTATAGAATGGTTATGCTTTAAGGCAAATAAACAAATATTATTTTTTGTAAAAATTAAGTAATGATTATGAATATTAATTAATAATTTTAACATAACATGGAAAATTTTTTTATTTAAATATTTTTAATTCTAAGAAAACAATTTTTAAATATATATTTGTTGATATGAAATCCATATAGTTTCTATTAATAGAAATATCCACCTATTAAAATATATATTCCTTTATTCTAAAGATACATTTAATATTAAGTCTGAGAATAATGATTTTCTTTAATTTAAATAATTACTTATGGCATTTTGACTTTAAGGTGATGGAAATCGAAAACTTGAAAACATGTTGCTTAAAGGATGTAATTTGATCAAAATAAGTTTTAGAGATCAAGCACAATCAATTTAATCATAATTAAATTATATATAAATTCAAAAGTCCCCCACGTAACTAAAGTCTAAAATATTGAAAAAATTTTCTAATTCCATTTAAAATTGAAGAAAATAGTTGAACATAAATATATTTATCAAATTTTGGGATTTCTTAATGATACTTTTCTTCGAGCTTGATAATTTCTTTTTGATTTTATAAGTCTTTTTGGGGTTATTGCTTGGATATCGTTGGCAATTTCTTTCACAGCACTCTAATTTTGATTCAAATGAGTTTTAAAGGTTGGTGTTCTAATTTCTTATTCATTGTTGAATTTTTCAGCCATTTGGTTCCTTTTAACTGAAAAATTGATCTTCTCTAACTCTAATAAGACAAAATCTAATGTTCTAAATTTTAATGATTCGACTGGTTTATAGCTTAAATGGCACATTCTTGGCTTTATCATTAGATTATAAATTAGATAAATATGAAATGATTAAGTATGTTTGATTAAATGAGTTAAGAGCTTAAAGATAATAATTTAGAATAAATAAAAACTATATGATATTTAATTTTTTAAATACCTAATAATAATAGAGTATTATATAATTAATTTTTAGAATAATAAATTTTTATATTTGAAATTTTGAATAGTATTATTATAAATCCAAGTAAATTTATAGAACTCTAAAGTACTCATGCTTTTCATTAAAAATAGGTTGATATTTAAATTAATAAAATGTTATTTTCTTCAAAATGAAATTACTTTTGTACTCCTTTGTATGATGAGCTGAACACTTAAGAAGAAGGAGTAAATTAGTAAATTTAAGACATTTTTGATATAAGATTTATCGTGCTGTTTAATCTCATAATTTATTTTACTGTCTAAATATAAATGTAATATTATTTATTCTAATGATATCAATTTTTCTTAACTTAGGCCATTTTACCCCATCCTCTTGCAATGGTAAGCACATTAGCAATTCTCTATTATGTGGTGAAGAAGATATACTTTAATTTTCTTGGATGCACGGTAATCCTTTAATTTAGCTTATAGATTGACAATAGATTTGTGGGTGTTGTTGAGGAGCCAAGGATGTTTGAGGATTTTGTCAGTTGTGAGTCTTTTGGCTGGATCAATAGTCAATAAGCCTTTAATTAGTTCCTTTGCTAGAAATAGGATATATAATTTAACCTTCATTACTAATTTGATCCCAGTAAGGTGAAGGAAAAGCAAAGTTACCAGTTTTAATCATTGAAAAGAGCTTGTCGTTATCTTCGTCATAGAAGGGAGGGAAGCCACACAACCTTGAATGAAAGTTATTTTTACATAATATAGAGAATAACACCAACAGACCAGAAATCGATGGCTTCGGTGTATCCTTTGCCATTGATGATTTCAGGAGCCACATAACCTGGAGTACCACATTGGGTCATCATGACTTCTTCGGAACCAACAAAACGAGCTAGTCCAAAATCACTTACTTTTAACAAGGCTCCTGGTTCCATGGTTGAGTAAAGTAGATTTTCTGGTTTGAGATCTCGATGAACAATTCCCATCTTGTGACAATATGCGAGTGCATCAATAATTGGTCTAAGTGTAGCAGCTGCTTCCTTTTCACTAAAGTGGTCTTTCTCTACTATTCTTTCGAATAGCTTAACGTAATGATTGATTATTGAATACCTCTCCACCTGTCATTAATTCCAAGACCATATAGAAGTATGTGTCATCTTCGTAAATTTCATACAATTTCACAACATTAGGATGATCGATCTAAATAATTATTTATTATACTTGAGTAAGAATTTCGACTTCTGTTTACAAGGCCAATAAGTCTTCGTTTGATAGGTTTTCCCTTCAATCAATATGGATCAAATACTTGTTAATTATTTTTACAGCGAAATGTTCACCTGTGCTCTTTTTAACTGCTCTTTTAACAACTCCAAAGGCTCCCCTTAACTTATATTATTTCAATACTCTCCTAAAGTTTTCTCCAAAGTGTACACTTTGTTAATATCTTCGTTTCCTTACATTAATTATATTATTTATAAGTCAAATTTTATAAGGTAAGTTTCTGCTTTCAAATATATTAATTTTCTTTAACATTAAAAAATCTCTCAAATTATGGGAGTTATGTAAATCCTTGTGTGCTCTAGTGAATGAATATTATGAGTATCTAATACAAAATTTTATATCATTCGAATTTAGAATTTCTTAGAAAATATTGAATCTTTTTCGTGTTATTTTTGAAATAAATTGGTAATTAATTTAAAGGGAAAATAATAAATTAATGTTCAAAAGCAGTTAAGGTACTCTAAAATTGGAGATTATCAAAGTATTTATAAAACTAAAGTAAGTTTATCTCAAACGGATAAGATTTAGAATTTATTAAATAAATTATTAGGAATATCAATAAAATCAATATCATTGAAAATATTTATAGTCAATTCTCAAATTTTGATTCTTATTTATATATAATATTCTATATTTGATTTACTTAAAAGGGTTATTTCCCCTTGATTATTCAATAATCAAAATATATTACTTGATCTCACTCAAATGACACCACCTTTGCTACATTTCATCCATAATCTTTAGTATAATTATTTAGTAAGCGTATTTTTGTACTTTTGGTTTATCAAATTTTTGAATTGAAAACAAGAATCTCAAGCATTAGAGTGGGGATAATAGTTAGTATAGTATTTCTATAGTTATAGCTGCGATTGAATAAAAGAAAGATAAGATTCAGTCTTGAAATTCTTATTATTTAATGCTCCAAAAAAAATAGGCTATAAAATATTGAATAATCAAAAAGAGAATTAAGCATCTAGTTGAAATCTAAATAGAATAAAGAATGAGGATTGATAATTTTATCTAGATTATATCTCACCTTTTGGTATCAAAAAAAAAATAAATATTACTAACAAATTTATATATTATTGAGAATAAATTTGTGAAAATTAAATGATTCACAAAGATGTTGTATTTGGAAATCATATCACAGCTAATAAGTTAGAAAGATTGGTTAAAAAATAAAGGATGTTGTTGAAGTCATCATATGATACAAAATAAGAAACAAGAAATAGAAAAATTTGTAAATCTAAAAGCTTCAAATTCGAAATTCATCCACGCTTTTTTTAGGATACCCGCAATCCTTCAATGAAAAACTATATACAATTATAGTTACCTATTGAAAATAGTCCTATTCGTCGGGCTTCTTCTAAGCCTGTTTTGGAAGTTTTTTCAAGGAGTTAGAAATCAATGACCAGCCTATTATTAAAAAATACCATTATTGCAAACAAGTTGTAGAGGAGATGGAGCAATTATGAATTAATGAGCGAAAAATAAAAGCGTCTCAATACCAAAGCTCCAAAATCAGTTATTAAATATTAATATCTTATGGCAGTAAAGGCGAAGAAAAAGAAAATTCAAAGAATGAAAATGCAATACAGTAAGTTCATTTTACTATATAGAGTTTTTGGGGAGAAAGAATAATAAGGTTAAAAAAACCAGAAGTAAAACACAGCCATTAGATCCTGTCATTAAAATGAGACACAAAAGAGCTTAGACAGAAATTAAAGAGTCAAATGAAGGACCGATATTCCCTTTGGAAAATAGTTTAGTTCGAAAAATTGTTAAATTAATAATGATGAAGAAAACAGCTGTTAAAAGATAAACTTGTTTTTAAATTCCAAAAGGAAGTATGCTACTTTCGAAAGAAAAATTAATCAAATTTTAATAATAAATCAATTAAAAGTTAGTTTCATAATCTGAATCTGAGAGCCAGATTGATGGATCTCCTTACCTAGATTCTTTAGGATCATATTAAAGAAGAGTTAATTTTGAAGAGAAAAAGTTTCAAATCAAAGTTATGTCTAGGAAGAAGTAAAACCTTATCAAAGCATTATAAAATAAGCAAGCTTTCAGTATTATAACTTCATATGTTTCAAATAAGGCTAAAACTTAAAATTCTATTTAACAACAAAATTCTTAGAATTCCCTTTATTAAAAGAGTACATAGCAAACACTTTGTGATTTTATGTCCAAATAAGGAGATAGATTAACGACATTTCATACTACACAAGAATAGCCATAAATTAAATAAAAAGCGAAACAACGACCAAATATGTTAGCAAAATTATTTCCTTATCTACAGCCTTATAAAAATAGCAACAAATGATTATAAATTTTCCAATTTTTGCTTATCTAAAAAAATAAGATTATTGTTTATAGAGAAATTTTATAGCTAATGTTAAATTTCTAAAAGTTCATTCATTTAATATGGATTAATTTTATTTAATAAATAACTTTTATTTAATACCCAAATTTCCTTAATGTTTTTTTCAGCATTTAAATATTATATTATTCATTTTTATGATCTTATTGATATTCGAAGTAGCCATTGACATTCTTAGGCAAAAAATTATCTTAGGGACTGAATTATACTAAATAAGAGGGATTAGCTTACAATTTTCTTTGAATTATTGATAGAATGCATAAATGGGGAATTTGATTTTGTTCTTAAGGAGACTAATATTCAGACTAGAATTTGATGAAGCCAAAACAATCCCCCATAATATCATCATAATTTATTAAAATATATAGAAATGGATTTACAATTTCTTTTTGATCATTAGTTATTAGAGTTACACTGTTCTTCTTGGAATTTTGTGTATATTTAGCTTTTAAAAATGAAAAAACCTTCAATTTTACCACTTATGGATGAGATAAATTATTCTAGAGTGAGATATAAAAATGTCAAAAGATTTTTTCTTGGTCTCCTTTCCTATTCATTGATTTTATACAATAGATAACTTATATCCAGAGAAGAACTTAATTTAAACAGAAATCATGCAAAAGTGCAAATATACATTAAGTTAGTGGTAAATGATAATTTTAATGTTTTAGATTTTTCATCATTTATTTTAAAAAATTGCTCAACATTGTTATCAATTCTCATTAATCCTTAATACTCTCATGCCGTTGTTATTAATTTTTGCTCAGCAAAAGCATTTGTAAATTTTATCTAACCTCAAATAGGAGATTAGATTGATAAGATTTCTTGATTCTTGACATATATTTATTTAATCTTATGTTATATTTTGGAAGATTTTAATTAATTACTTTATTAGAGATATAATAATTGATAAAAAATATATCTCTATTGTCTTATCAGAATCTAATACATCTTAATTTTTTCATTATCTTTTATCATTAAGTAATGAATCTGATCACAGACTCAAAAACGATTGAATTTTTAATAAACTGTTAAGACTTTTTAAATTCAATCCTTGACAAAGGCCAACTTGAATAAATGTGTCATCAAATGATTGACTCCTTTTGTAATATTATGAAACATCTCTAGATTTATATTTGGAGGAAATATAAAACTAAAAGAGCGACAGAAGCTTTGAATTAAAATCGAAATCATAATTTGAGTTATAGTTGCGATTCTTTCAACAGAAATCTTTGAAATCTTAAAAGGAAATTTTGAAGGTAGAGACTGAACTAAGAAAAGAACTTCATCAGCAGAATTAATATTTCGAGATTAGATTTAAACTTTAATTAGTGTAAATGGGAAATTGATAAAGATATTCTTCATCTCTCCAAGGAAATAGGGATTACTTTAACTACAATTTGAACAACTTAAGAAGAAATATGAAGATTTATAATTTTTGATTCAGAATTTGGCTGAGTAATTGGCCGCTGTACAAACGAATTCAAGAATAGATACTAACACACAACAAAATAATTATTCTATAATAAATTGCTAAGATGAATCATTTGAACTACAATTTTAACAATAAGAATGTTAGTATTCAAATTGTATTTCGTATAATTAAATTAATTTTAAATGGGAAAAGATTTAACCAAGTATATCATCTATTAGGAACTCTATAAACAAATGGAATCCAAAAATACTAGATGTGACATCTAATCAAGAGAAAAAATCAGATCCTTGGTATTTCTTAATAATAGCAAAGAGGAGTAGTGTGATCCTTATTATGATATTTTAAACTGGTAATTCCCCTTAATTATACTTAGATTACTCAATCTGTCAAACTAGATTTGGGATAAGCTTATATCTTTACTATGAATTTTGATCACCTTTTCAAGAAGTTCAAGAATGATTGTATTCCTTTCAATCTATGGTATTAAAAAATAATAGATGGGATTTTAAATGAATTATACTAAATATCATGATCTCAGAAAAGATATTCTCATATAGAATATACGTATAAAAAGCAGTTAATTTATTAATAAATATTTTGTAATTTCATTTCAATGGAATTTTTTCATAATTATATCAAAAAGAACTACCTAAATGTTTCTTTAATTAAACATTTTTTCATAAACAATAAATATTTGAAATAATTTTTGAGAATTATTTTAAGCAAGGGCTATATTTTTACGGGTAGATGTTGTAGGTAATTTAAAAAAATTTAAATTATTAATTTGTTAAAATTTTTTTATGCAATCCATATTATTAAAAACATTTTAAATTTAATAATAGAATTATACTAATAGAATTTGGAACTATAAATATTTTGTAGAGAATATTAAAGATATTAATATATATTATGTTATAATTTTAAGAGTTAGCTAAGATATAATTGACTGATGACAATCGATTTATTTAAACTCCCAAACTTTGTAATGAATAAGGTACCAAATGGTTAATTGGATATAATCATCTTATTGAAAGTGATGAGGATTATGAAAAGTTCAAGGATGGAATTAATAAGGACCAAGCCTAAGATTTATTATTAGAGGATATCAATACTGCAAAAATTGTACTTGAAAATGAGTATAATGAAAAATATGGAGAAAATAGCTTCCAATAATTAAATATAGGTTGCTAATATCTTCTTTTATCTATTCTGTTGAATACAGGAAGAGTATTGCAATACTCTAGATTGATAAAGGAATGCTAGGCTACGAGATTTTATCAAGCCTTAAAATTGAATGAAAGGAAACACATTAGTGATGAGAATCAAAACAATTTGTTAAAGGTTAAATCCATAGAGGAACAAAAATTTTTTTAAGAAAATTTTGATCAAAATGGAAATCCAAAAAAAGAAGGTGTATGGAAATATGAAATACTTCAAACAAATGAAGAAAATCTAATTTATGATACTGAGAAGCTTAATGATAGGTTTGCAACATTAGAGTAGTACTCTATATTTGCTATGAATACTGATTTAGAATTTTGTAATCGTAAGAGTCCAGAATGGATTACATTTTTAAGAGATTAGGAAGGAAAAAAGTATAATTTTGCCAGCTACAATGAAGAAAAAAAATTGTGGTTTCCTGTTAATGTAAAAGATCAAGATTATTAAATAATTGGATATTCTCATATATGTAAACCCAAGGAAGTGTTAGCATACAAAGACGGTTTAACAGAGGGATAAGTTAACTATCTGTTCTTAGCTGATTATGATAAAAATTTTTTAAAGTTAAGGAGATTTTTTAAATCTGAATATCCAAATGTTGATTTAGATAGTCTTACTTCTTAAGCTTAATTATTATTGATAGACTTATCTTTTAGAAACTGGCCATTAACATCTTATAGAAAATCCATCGAACTTGCAATTCAAAATAGAATATAGGAGGCAATATGCGAGAGTCACATATATTACAGGCCTGATGAGTCAGTTAATTCTCATTATTATGTAAGATAGGATGAAATTAATAATTTCCTTAATTAAATTTCATCTACCTATGTACTTTAAAAGAATGTTTAAAAGAATTTCCTTGAGGACCCTAAATTGAATAATATAGTAGGTGTTAAAATTACTGAAAATAATTTTAGCTTCGTTCTTAATGAAGAAGCTGAAACGAAGGTTTAGATATAGGATTTGTTCACTTTTTTGAAGGTTTATTATGATCCAGAATTTGCAAATTACCAAATTGATATGTCATTTACATTAGACCCAGAAGAGAACGATTAAGAAATGAATAGTCCTTTTTAATAAAAAATTTATTTCCCAAAATATTTAGAAGGAACGCATGTTGGAGAAGTTCTTTAAGAAGATGATTTTATATTAAAGCAAATGAGTTTAGGAATAGAAGTATTGTCAAGAGAGCCATTGTAGACTAGACCATTTGATTATGGAAACCTAGATCTATAGCCTATATATAAATTAGATCCAGAATATTTTGATAGAATATTTATTAAAATTGGAAAATTAAAGTTACACATTATAGAAGATAAAAATAATAATGTTAATAAACTTGAGATCGAGAACATTTAAATGGCTGTTGATGCAAGAATTGTTAATGAAGAACTTTAGGATGAGGAAATTTAGGATGAAAATAATGGAGCATATAGATTTGCAAATTAATTTGGTAAAATTTATGATTAAATTGCACAAAAATATCCTATCCTAGTAAGATTAAAACAAGTTTTAATGGCTAATTATCTAGCCAAATATATGTTTGAAAAAGGGATTTCATTAGATTATAAATTGATTGAAGAAATATTCAATAAGAATCTCATCCAAAATTATTAACCTTATAAAAGTCCAACCTTAAAATTAGATGTAGAAGATGAATAGTAAATTATTTCTGTAAGAGGAGGAATAGATGGAAATACGGAGGAAGTGAATACTCAATTAGAGGAGGAACATAAAAAACTAGAGTAAAACCCAAATTAACAATCTGTTGAAATATAATCAGATAAATTGGATGCTAAAATAGAGAGATGCGATAGCGTAGCAAGTTTTTCTACATAGGATTCAGAGAGTGAAATATAATTAGAACCTGCAATCTCGTGTGGTAAATGTGGGTAGAATTTAGAATCATGTGAATTAAATAAAAAAAATAAAGATAAAAATTGCAAAAGTTGTCAAGGCTAAAAATGTTCAAAGTGTTAATCATTCTTTGATTGTCCTTTGTAGTAGATTGAAAAAGAAAATTATTGTAAGGAATGTATAAAATGCCATGAATGCAATAGATAAGAGCCAAGAAGGTCGGTAGGATCATTTTTTTATCATGAAGATTGTTTAAAGATATCAAAAAATTCAGCACTTAAAAAAGAAATGATTGCTTATATTAAGAAATATTTTGGAACAAAAATAAAAAAAGGAGATAATAATGATAAACAGATTTATTTTTAATCTGAAGCATATAGCAGTTTAAATTTAAAAGATTACATAGGATATATAATTGGTTATAATCATCCAATTATTAAAAGTAAATTACAAATTGATCCAAAAACATATAAAATAACATAAGATTAGGCTGATAAATTTTTAATTCAAGACTTAGATTCATTAGAAAGAGAGTTATATGATTTTTATTAAAGACAAAATAAAAAGCCAAAAGATTATACAGAAAACATCAGAATGCTCTTGCTATTTGTTCTATTCATATTTAAAGATTTCCAAAGCGTTCTCAATTTAGCTCATCAAAAAGCTTATAATCATCTATACATTGACATAACTAAATATCAATATCCTAAAGAAGGTGTCAAACTTCTAAAAACTAGGGTTGAATTGGCTTTAGAATTCTTTAATGATCGCTTCCATAGAGAAGATGGAAGAATTAGAAAAGAAGGTATTCTCAATTTTGTAAAGAAAGGTTTACCTACCTATAAAAGATGACTATTATTAAATTATAAGTATTTCAAAAGATGTATTATAATATTCTCAATAATATTCTTCAATCACTTTGAATCACATCGTTATTAATTATGTTATTGACTCTTAATTTTAATTTAAATCTATATAAATTGATTATAATATTATTAATAATAAAATGTAATAATAATAATTAAATTAACAGTCTTAAAGCATAAAAAAAATAGAGGGCTCATCAACTAGTCCTTATAGTAAGATCAAGTTTGACAATAAGTAATCCTAAAGTTCTCCAAGCATATTAGTATTAATATATTAATGTTTAGAAAGAGATTGGCTAATATGTGTATAATTTAAATGATGTGATTGGAACTGGAGAATTCAGTTCAGTGTATAAAGGTTAAGATTAAAACACAAATGAGATAGTGGCTATCAAGATTATTGATAGGAAAAGCATTTAAAACAATTAAATTTTTAGAAGTTTATTAGTTAATGAGATAAGCATCCTAAAGTCAGTAGATAATAAATGCTTGCTTAAATTATACAATTACCTTGAAACAGTCAATAATATCTATATTGTAACTGAATTTTGTTCTGATGGTAATTAGTCTTTGGATTTTAGGTGATTTGCAATCTATAATAGAAAAAAAGGGATATTTACCAGAACATAATGCAGTGAAGATTTTAAAACATCTCATTAAAGCATTGCTTTATTTAAAGGAAAGAAATATTGTACATAGAGATATTAAGACATAAAATATTTTAGTTTCAAATTAAATACCAAAATTAGCAGATTTTGGATTTGCAATTGACTTGAATCAACCCCAAACAAGGTATTTATATAATATATGTAGAGATATTTTATAAATTGGAACTCCATTATACATGGCTCCAGAAATATATTCTCATTATCAATATACTTCAAAAACAGATTTATGGGCCCTTGGTATAGTATTTTATGAAATGTTATTTGGTATGAAATAATGAAATAATTAGGAAAGGTACCATTCAATGCTAAAAACCCTAAAGAACTTGAATAAATGTTTTAATTTCAGAGAAAGAGTTAAACTATATAATATGATAATGGTCCATAAAAAGTCACAGAGACAGCCTAAGATTTTATAAATTCCATATTAGTAATTGACCCTAAATAAAGATTTGATATTTCATAGGCTGCAAATCATCCACTAATATAAAGTACTTTTTATAGTAATAAAAGATCCACATCCGCATGCAAATAAATAAAATTGAACTATTGTTAATTATCAATCAAGTATTTATCATGTATAATTAAAAAATAACAATTTCTACTCATTTATAAAATTAATATTCTCATTAAGTTCCTGCTAAATTTATTAAAAATAGGATAGAAGTGAAACTTGATTAAATAGAATAAATAAGTAAAAAATGTCAATAAAAAATTATATTTAATGATCTGTTAATTTTAATCAACTCTTCAGAGCATTTATAATGTGTGAATAATAATCCTATGTAGAAATCAAATTTTGATCAGCCTATTCTTATGTTACATTTCAATCAATTGATATTTTACTTTAATAATTGGGTGATTTTAACCAATTTATCCTAAAAAATCTTTTAAATTTTAACAATAATAAGTTTATGATTAAAAAGTCACATTTTTTTCTCATTCATATCTCCTTTTTTGTTTGGTTCCATCATTTCTTTTTTAAAAACTAAATCTAACTAATATTTTAAGCCTTAGCAACTTTAATAAATTCTATCTTAAACCTCACTTTTAAATTCACATGGTTCTAAATTCTAATTGCATTCATTAATACAATTATCCATTTTGTTTTTCACTTATAGTATAATTATTCTTATTTAGGTAGATTTTATAATAATTGTACTTCTATTAAATTATGGATTAATTTGATTTATCATAAATAAATTAAACAATAATAAAGTCAATCATAAAAATCTAATTCTTCATCATACTCTGTCATCTTAATGATTTCATCAATAATCTACATATGTGTGTAATCACTTGTATTTCTTTAAATGTCTTAAATTATGGATTCACCCTAGTATTTTAAGAATTCCCCAACATATCGATCCGGGTAAATCACTAAAGAATTAAATTCTTAGTACTTTCTCCAGTTTATAGAACTGTTAATGCAATATACAAATAATCATCAATGTTAATAAGTTAGTTTTCATTTTGATAGAATTCGCTGATCAGTTTTAAAATTGGAAATTCAATAATTGTTGATTCTTTGTATCGAGATTTTAATAGTTAAATTATTAGATTACAAGTATTAGATGGAAATTCCTAGAATAGGTGGATAGGTTACTTATTATTCTTTATTAGCGTTTTGAACTTGAGTTACAATTTTTTCAAAACATTGATTTTGCTCATTCAATACAAAATTATTGTCATTTTCAATAATTTATATCAATCCTTGATAAATTAATTTAATTATTGCTTTGTTGTGGCTAAGATTACTTGAAAGTGTATTGGAATAGAAAGTCAATAGGTGATATTTTTCTAGAAGAAACTTCATATGATATAGGCTTTACTTTCATCAATTGCTTATTCTTTTCGATTATTACATTTAACAATTTGAAGGCTTAAATAGCTAACTTATTAATTTCTTATGATTAAATCATATCATTGATAACAGATAAGGCTAAATCAATAATTTAATATTAATTAAATTGATTAACAATTTCTAATTGGTTGATATGAATTGATCCTATAACTGCTCTCATGGTTTTAAATGATTATAATTGAAGAGCATCATCTCCTTTACATTGAGAGATTTTATCTATTATATCTAATACACATTCCATGTTTTGTTCTTTGTAATTATTAAAGAATAGATGAGCGATAATTCTGAGATAATTCATACTCAATTCTCTATGGCATCCATGAGTTGTGTAACTATAACAGATGTTAGTTAGTAGTTGTAAGCTTTAAGCTAGTCTTAAGGCTTCATCTGAATTCAATTCAACTATAAAATTGCATACAATTTTAGTCAACTATTTAGCTTAAGAATAATATTGTTACATTTTCTTTTAATTCATCTGAACTGCCATTCAAGAGATTATTTAAATAAACTATTTAACTTTGATTTAACAATTATAACATCTATTCTCTTTTCATGTGATAGGTGAAATTAGTCAAAAACTTAGAACACTCCTAAGGGAAATATTATAATAAATCAAAAGTGAGTTAAGCTCCAAGCCTATTTAGTAAAATAATATACAATAAATCATTAATAATTTAAGGATGGACTTCTATCTTGGATGATAAATATTAATCAAGGTTCACTACACATTGAGGAAGATTTTATTTAGATATCAATTGATCATAATCGACTTTTGGAAAATCCAAGGGGATTGATGATGTGAGATTAGTTCGTTTTTTTGTGAATAACTCTTCATTTTTTTCTTTTCTGATTTAAACTCTGAATTATTCCCTCTTTTCTCTTATCATTAATTAATATAAATATATTAGTTAAACTGAAATAAACTTATTTAATTTGTCAAGTGATTAATTACTCGCAAATTACACTTTGTTTATTATTTTCATTCATTCTCATCTCAAAGGACTAAATTCATAAATAACAATGAATTATTCATAATTTTACTTTATCTATTCTATAACAAATAAGAGCAAATTAAAAATATAATATATTTGTAAATCAATACATAAACTTCATTAAAAAAGAGTTCTATTAAAATATGTTAACATTTAACTAACGAAAGGAATTAGATTATAAATTAATCTTTAATTCCAAACAAGATTTCAAAAATATAAATAAATCTTCAAATTCACTCCCCATCCTCTATGTTATCATCCTGATTGTCTAATTTATCAATTCTATTTTATAAGCAGAAATATATTTCGAATTCTTTATTAATATTCTTTTATATTCCTAAGTAACGAGTCTATTTGCATAATTTTAATTATTAAATATACGTATTATCAGACACCAACTCTCATGATGCCATTGGCTCATGCAATGAATAACCCTATTCAAGTCTAATAAGCAGCTAAATTTGCAAACCTGATTTTCCACCAGCAGTATTTATTCATGAACAATCCTTAGATGTATCTTAATTTGCTCATATCAAATCCTATTATACCAAAATGTAGACCATATGATCCCATTTTGGATGTTGGAAGAAAAGTAAGTTGGATGCTAGATAAATTTGAAGATGAATATGAGCAGATAGAATCTTAAATAAATAATTTTATCTATTTTCTCAACTGCACCCATCTATTGATTTTAGCAGAAAATACTACCCCATAAATGCCTTGTCATATTGCTTAATAAATTCATAGTTCTCATTCACTACAAATGTTTAGCCTAATAATTGGCAAAATACTATAACTTCCACACTCAAAAACATGTTTGTCTTTCTTGACTAGAATTTGAATTTTATAGGATGTTTATTATGATTTTATCTTATTTTTGACATCTCGTATTAAGTAAAATGAAATGCTTCGAATTAAAATAAAGTTAAAAGTCTATAGAAAATCATACTATAATTTACTAGTTCTAAAGTTTATATATTTGAATAAATTTAATTTTAATTATGATTAGATTTTGATATTTAAATGGTTTACTCTAAGACCCTCGCTTTATATATAATAAAAAATATTTGATTGACTTTCCCTTTGGGCACTATGATGTTTTTCATAATTTTCTTAAATTGAATTATCTTGAGTACCTTTAACGTCGATGAAGTGTAGAAATTAATATAAGATTTTAAACATACTAATATTATCAATTAGAACTATATATTGTAGCTAACCAGCTTAAACCTTCATACTATTCCTCTCCAACCTTAGCCGAGCACGGTTATATATAAAATTTTCTTTCATTATGTTGAAGCTCCAAAAACTGCTTTAATTCCTCAATAATAAATCTAGCAATATCTAGTTTATTAGCTTAAACCAATAAGGGAGAACCTTTTGTTTCATTTCATTAAGAAATCTCATTAATTCTTTTTTTTTCTTCTGCCAATCGTTCGGATCAGATTAATCTATGATAAAATGATTCCTGTGCATCCTATACATTCATGTATTAATTCCACAGTAGCCTTATTTTATCTACACCTCCTATATCAAAGAATGTAAATTAAATATTTGTATAATCGATTGTTTCAATATTAAATCCGATGGTTGGGATAGTGGATTTTAACTCCTCCTATAATTTTAGTCTATGCAGTATAGATGTTTTCCCAACTCCATCTAATCCGATCATTATTACTCTAATCTACTTGTCTTAGAATAAACATGAAAACATTTTTATATTGATCCTCAATAATTATAAGTATTATAAGTATTCATAAAACTATGAAGTGATTTACAATTTAGTAAATTCTTTGTAGGAATAATTAATAATAATATAAGCATGTAATATAAATTACGTTAAAAAAGTTATTGATTGTTAAACCAAATCTAAAAAAGTAGTAGAATTTAATTAACTAAATTGAAAAATTATCAAAATTTATCAGAAATGAAATTTGGGTAATAAATTTAATGTTTTAAAGCTCTTTTATTTCCCAATATCAAATTCATAAATAATTATAACAATATGTCATAATTCAGAATTTAGGATATATTTTTGCAAGAGTCTTACTCTCAGTAATTTTTCCTTGAAGAGAGTTATAATTATTGTCAATACTATCCTGTTGACAATTAGATAAATGAAGACGAAAAAAAAAAAAATGAGGAAAACAGATGGACTGAGAAAATACTCCCCCCTCTTAAAAAATCAAATCCCAAAATTTCCAATAAAATAGCAAAAGATAAAAAAAAGGAGACTTATATGCTTCCAGGGGAGAGCAAAAACATCCCAAAAAATTTCACCAGAGCATTAAAAAATTTTATACTCAATCACTTTGATTCTAGTGTATAAAAAAATCCTTAAATTAAGAAGTTCTTAGCTACAAAACCAGAAAAGGCTTGCAAATAAACCTTACAGAATTCTTTGTAAAGTTGTTAATAACTCAAACAAATTGCTAAGATCTTCTTTGGAGACTTAAAATGGGGAACTATATTTTTAGAAGAAAACAAGGTTGACCTAGAACCATATTTCAGATTCAATTAGATTTGGCTCGGGTGAAAAAACTGATCTTTTATTATCTATTTATAAAAAAAAGTTCAAATTTAGTAGTATAAAAAAAAATTCTACAATCCAAAAATTCTTTTTTAAAATCTTAAAAAATTCTTTCTTAATAATCTTATATAATTCTATTAACCATAATTTTAAATGGAATTCTCATTGTTAATTATAGAAATTAACATGAATCATGCATCAGACAATTCAGCATATAAGATGCTGTTAAATAGCATATTGGATCATCAGATATAATACCTTGCACCTAATATTTAGATATTTTTTCTTTAAATTTTTTCTTAAGTAAAAAATAGCATTTACAAATTTATTATAAGAATTTACTTAATCTGAATCAAAAAATTATCTTACTATATTCATAAAATGTTTAACTTAATATATGAATAAATTAAATTATTATTTATTCTGAATCAAATTTATTTTCTAAATCTGAAATATCTCATTCCTTAGAACATTGAAAATGTTTCTTATTAAGACTCTAAGCCATACAAGAAAAGTTCAATAATATCCTTAAGGAAAATTTCAACCTGATAATTAGTTCATGATAAATTAAAGATTATAAAAATGAAATTATACTCTTGTTAGTTTCTAGATATAATAACACCTAAAAAAGGGCTTTAAGTTCAAGAGAATTCTAGAAAGATAGATAATATTAAGAATAAAATAAAAGTTGGAGCTATGATAGAAGAAATAATATTAAAACACAAAAGTATATTGCTAAGTGTAAAGAGAATGGCATTTGTATTACATGATAGTGTTATTGCTTGCAGAAAATGAACTCTAAGAAAAGAAGATCAAAAAAATAATAGATAAATCAAAGTATAAAGTATAAAGAATTAATAATTATTTTTTCAAAGCCTTAATGGTAATTATTTATTTTTATATATTATATTCTTAGTTAATATATTATGTGATGATTATTGAAGATCTTAAAAATTAAAGATAGATAAATATATATTCTGATATTTATGTTTAATTCATAGTAATCATTTGCTCTTTGAAACTATCAGTTCCTTTTTCTTGCATATTAATCTCAAAGCCAATTAGATTTTCAGGAATAGTTGTTTTGCAAAAACTATTCCAAGACTCATAATCAAAAATGCCATCTGAATAAAGCCTAAAGTAACTTTTTTCTCATAAGAGAAATAATCCAAATCAATATCAATATATAAAAATAAACTTAGACTAAATAGTGTTAAAATACCTTCAATTATTAATAATAAAATCCTATCCAAATGAGAACATGATTTATATTTGTATATGATAATGCACTGAGTTACACTACTGATAGATATTAGTAAGCATTGCAAAATTTATTATTCTTAGAAAAGTATTAATAAGATATGGAATATCATAGTTCTGGAAACATCTAGGGCAACAAATTTTATTTTTAGGTTTGCTATTTAATTTTTTTCCTTAGCATCGTTGCAAATGCTAAAGAGTTTTAATAACAAGTTTATATATGAGAAGAATATTAAGCCTGCAAAAGAAGTGCTTAAGATGCTTCTCAAATTGTTGATTTCATGATAATGAAGCTACAAAATCATTTTAAATATCAAATCCCATGAGTTAATGTAAATAAGTTGAATTACTTAATCATAATACTATAGATATTTCGTTTTGATTGATTATCTGATGCAATTTTAAAAAACAAGTATTGAATTAATCATTGCAATTTTAATCTTTGAGAAATAGGTTTCTTGTTATTAAAGATATTCCTTCTATAAACTTAATCTAAATAATATAAAATAAAGTTTCTCTGCAAAATAAATAAGTGTTACAAATCCTATAAATTAAATTAATTATGGTAAAATATTGGTAAAAAGATCGGCTTCTATCTTATATTATTAGAATTTTCCATTTAGATCAATTTATTTTTCCTTTCTTGTTATTAAATTTAAATAATCGTCAATTTAGAAATATTGAAGATAAGATGATACAGATAGCAATTCTTATGCTTAAAAATATACATTGAGGTTTTCAGGGTAGTCAACATTAATATATCTTAAAAAAGATTGATATTACAAAAGATTCAAGGTTTCAACAACAAAAGAGCTTTCTCCAGAAACTAAAGAAATTGCACAAATAGATATTGCTCCAATCAAAAATGCTTTATTGGATTATTAAGCATAAACAGTTACTTATTTTATTTATTTTGAGATTATTTTTGGCGTTTGTAGAGTAATTGACTAATTAAACGAATAAAGTGCTTAATCGTTTGAGTTAACAACTTCTTGATTCAACTAAACTAGAAGAAGTGGTTTTGTTTAAAGTTGTAAAAATAATTCAATTTAAACCGAATACGAAGCATTTTGAAGATCAAATGAGATATCTTAAATTGAATTGATCGTTATATTATAATACTGGGAATCTAAATCTTCTATGCTTAGATCAAATAGATTTCTGTCTTTTTCAATCTAATCTCTAAATTTGACCTGTTAATCAAATGTAATTTCAACATACTAAAGAGCAAACGATTGCTATTTATAAATAAGTACCATATTCGGTTTTAAAGAGTAAGCGCATTCATTTTCACGACATATTAAATTTTCACTTAATGATGAAATTTCTAGATTTTAACCTTAGCTACTTGTATAGTAACTACTTGCATTGTTACTGCCTTTATTGTTACCACCTTTATTGTTACCACTTGTATTGTTACTACTTGTAAAGTTACTAGTCTTATCATTATTTTTGACTTCGTTGTTAATGCTAGAATTAATTTGGTCAGATTCTTTATTCAAAACACATTGGTTATTATCTAAGGTATAATCTTTATCGCATTCAAAGCATATACCATCTTTGCATACTTGGCAACTTTTTGTACATTAAAATTTGCATTCATAACATCCATCAAAAGGAAAATTATTTTCATCATCACAATATTCATTGCCTGCAACAATACCATCCCCACATTATGGCAAGCAATCATTACTTTCTTTATCATAATATAATCCAATTACATCTTCACATGACTTTAGATATTGACAAAAATTAGTTGATTCTTGAAGTATTGTAGGTGGTTCACATTATAGACACTTTCCTAATGAGCAATCTAAACATTCAACTTGACATTAATATTTACACTAGAAACAACCATCGTATTCCAATAAATTGCCATCATCACAAACTTCATCACTTGCCAGTATTTAATCACCACAATCAGAATTGCATGAATTACTTACAACATCCAAATAGAACCCTGAAAAACAATTAGTACAAATGCCATAAGCGCATGACTAACAATATTGAGGACATTGGTGTGAACAATTTAAACATCTATCTAATTAGTATTCACGTCCATCATCACATTCCTCCTATTAAACTATTATACCATCTCCACATTTAGGCGTACATTTGTTTCCATAATATCCAAATTCACATTCTAAACATTTGGAAAGTACACATTCTTTACAATGTTTAAAGCATTTGTTCATATTATAATCAATTATACAAGTGCTGGTAATCTAATCAAGATATCCAAATTAACAATGAATACATTAGTTATTATTTAACAATTGACAATTTAGTTGTTCATAATTTTTAAGTAAGGGTTGGATTGGTTTACATAAATTATTTAATTAATCAAATTCATAATCATTTTAACAAATTTGACATATTCCATACAAACAACTTTCACAGTTTTGAGAACATTCATATTTACATAAAAAGCACCCATCAAAACTAATCTAATTTCCGTCATCACATTCTTCATTTCCAACAACAATTAAATCTCCACAAATCGGATCACAAAAGTATGAATCTAATTTCCACCCTTCTTTGCACTCTAAACAAACACCTTCAATGCAACGTGCACAATTAACATCACAAGTTTATTCACAATAATTGTTACAATCATCATCATTAAATAGATTTTGATCATCACACTATTCCATATCTTCTACTTTGCCATTTCCACAATATGAAGTACAACTGAAATCATACTCACAGTCAATTTTGATACAAATAAAATATTCATTCAAGAAATAACCACTACTGCATAATTAACATGCTCCTTAGATACAATTAAGACAAATGTTTTAACATTTTGATAAGCATTTATTTTCAACTAAAATAAATTCTTAAGAACATTGAAGCATTCACCATATATACATTAAGTACAATCATCATCACATTCATATTTGCATTAATAGCAACCATCAAATTTTTCTATGTTTTAATCATCACATTCTTCCCATCCAGTTATATATCCGTCACCACATGAAGATTGACAAATTTATAAATCGTAATTTAACTAAAAACCTATTTAACATTACTAGATTAAAAAGCATCTATTCTAATTAAGTTCAAATTGTTCTGCACATTAATAACATTTACCATTATAACAATGAATACAGCTTACTGAACACTTAGGAATACAGTCACCATACTCATTTAGCTGATATTCATCCTTACAAACTAAACAATTTCCATTTAAGTTAAATTAACATTCTCCAAACAAATCAATTTGTTTGTGTTAACCATAACAAAATCCATCCCTAAGTAAAAAATGTTGATCACATTATTAACATATCCCTTTTAAACAATTTATACATTATTAACTACAAGAATATTTACAATTGTAACAACCATCAAATTCTATATAATTATTATCTTCACAGTCTTCATCTTGAACTATAATTCCATCTCCACACTAAGATTCACATGCATGCCTATATAAATTAAAATAAAAGCCATATTCACATTAAAAGCATTGATCTTTAAAATGTAGTTCACATAATTTTGGAGCAACATACATGCAACTTAAACAATTTTTATCATAAATTTCACATTGTTCATCATGTGCGAGTATTCCATCTCCACAATATGAAATACAAGTAAAGTTTTTATCTAAATAATAGCCATTTTGACAATCTATACAACTATTTTAATTACAAGTTGCACAGTAATCAAAACAATAACTGCAATATAAATTAGGAGATAATTTAAGTTAATATTGACAGAAACTTAAGGGTGCAACTTTTAAATTGCACTTCTACTCTGTTTTTTCAAAGTATGCATATTTTGAACATTTAATACAATAGTTCCCAATTTGGATATCACAGTTTTCAATTATCATAAGATTATATTATAGAGACTTAACACAATACACTTTGTCTAAGGATAACTCATATCCGTCTTTGCATTGTTAACACACACCGAATTAACACTAGAAGCAATTGAAATCACATCTAAATTCACAAGATTAACAATTTTTATAAATCTGCAACGAAGTAATTATATCACATTGCTCTTTATATTTCTAAAGACCATCCCCGCATATTGAGTAACATTTAGATTATATTAATTGATAACCTTCTTAACAATCATAACAGATTCCTTTTAGACAATTAAGACATGAATCCTGGCAACTAAATTGACAGAAATGACATCCATCTCCATAAATTAAATTGCCATCATCACATTATTCATCTTAGGTTATTATTTTATTGCCGCAATTTGAATAACATAAATTATCAATTCTATTATAACCTGGTTGACATACTAGACAACCAAGCCCAGTAGTATCACAAGTAAGGCAAGAATTTTGACATTTTGCTTAACAATTTTAACAACCTTTATATGGTAATATAAATGAATGCTCACATTGTTCACCAACCACACTTAAAAAATCTCCACAAATTGGTATACATAATTTTTAATTAGAAAGATAATATCCAGTGGCGCATATTTCACATCTGTTACTTATGCAACTTGTGCAAATACTTGTTGGCTAACACTAAAAGGAACAAGAGCTACTGCAGCCATCCTAATTAATTGTATTACCATCATCACATTACTCTGTATTGAATCCATAAGGATCTACTACGACTATGCCATCTCCACATACATTTTTACAATAGTAAGAGTTAGGAACAAATCCAGGCAATTAACAACTTAAGCATTTGTTGGATGTATAATCACAAGACGCACAATCAATTCTACAGAAATACTTACAATCTTTACACCCATCAGTATCAGAAGTGTTTCCATCATCGCATTATTCGTTCCCAACTATTAGAAAATCTCCACATTTTTCTTTGCATTACCAAGGACTAACAGTTGGATCAATATAGAAACCAACAGTTGCACATTCAAAGCATTGTCCTTTTATACACTTTGTACAATAAGGCTAACATTAATATTGGCAATTATAGCAACCGTCATATTAAATAGTATTTCCATCCTCACATTGTTCAATTCCTGTAATAATTCCATCCCCACAAACATCAGGACAAGGCAATGTAGTTGATTAAACACAAGTTAAGCAATGGGCTGGACATTAAAATTAACAATTAAAGCATAAATCATTAAGAATTGTATTATTATCTTCACATTATTCATGCCCTTTTATTTATCCATCTCCGCAAATGGGTTGACATTCTCCAGACACTAATTGAAACCCAGTATCACAAGAACTACAAGTAATAGTATGCCATAATTATAAATTATTATTACATAATTTATAACATTGACTAAGAGAGGAATCTTCTGTTATTGGACAATCTATAATATGATAATTAATTATACTTGTACAACTATTATTTAATTCATAATACCCAGGTGCACAAACACATTTTAATCCTTTTAATTTTCTATTTAAAGTGGAATCACATGTTAAACAGCCATCAATTGTCAATCTAAAGCAAGTTAAGCAAGATGAATGACAAGACATGCAAGCTTGTGTAGCATCTTAATAAGATTTCCCTGCTGGACATCTACACGTTGATCCTACTTTTTCAATATTCGCAATATTATTGCATGTTACACAGTCATCAGAAGTTGGTCCAATACAAGTTTTACAAAATTAATGACATAACTTACATTAAGGATTAGATGCAATTTGATAATATCCATCAATACATTTACATTGCCCATTTGATAATTGTCTATAATTTGTAATTAAACATTCTATACATTAAGTAGAAGTCAAGCATTAATTACATTCAACTGGACAATCAAAACATTAATTTGATTCTTCATATTAATGTATTGTGCAAGTACATCCTAATTTAGATTAAGTATAGGTTGATTAACATGTTTAACAATCTAATTTTGATGTGCATGTTAAACAAGATTATGGGCAATCTAAACATTTCACAGATTCTTTATCATAATATTGGTTATTCAAACACTCTGCTTAAGAAAATTTAATGATACTAGAATCATATGTACTGTTCCACAAAGTACAGGTAGATTAATCTGAACACTATAAACAATACGGTTTGCAATTATGAATAACAATAATATAATTGTAAAATCCACAATATGCCATAATTGGTTCATTATTTGGTCCAAAGCATTCCCAAGAGATTGTTAATGTATTTGTGTTATGAGTGATTTTTTCATAAACTTTATCCTCTTTTGAGCCATCAGGATAAGTTTTAAAATAACTTGTAGTTGATTTAGAAACAGGTGTATTATTCTCAATTTGATATATAAAACTCCCATCTGTTGGGAATGACGGTCCATATACAATGTAAAATGCAATAGTAACACTATGATGGGGGGTTATTATATTATGAATCCTTTAGAATTTAGCCTACGCCCATACAAAAGGTCCTCCAAAGACTCTATTTCCATACCAATATGAAAAATAGATATCTGATCCTTTTAAAAAGTTTGATCCACTTTGAGAGATTAAAGAATATTATGCATATTAACATGGGTCACCTGTCCGATCAATATATTCCTTAACCAAAAATTCAGAGTCTATTTCTAAGATTATATAGTACAGGGTGTTTCTTCATCATAGTCTTAGCAATATGAGCCAACTAGTTTCTAATATGAAAATGAGCACCCCCATATGCATTTACCGTCTCGATAAAAATAATATCCACCAGAACAAGACTTGCATTTAAAAGATACTTCACACAATTTACAATTTTCTGGACAATATCCTGAAGTAATTTAGATTTTCATAATTCCCCATCCTGCTGTGCTATCTCTAAGTTAGAAGAATGATATTTACGTATAATTTCCTATTGCTGAAAATAAAAATGTATTATTTGGAATATCAACATATAAAATCAATTTATATCCTATACTTTACGAATAGGTTAAATACGATCCAAGATCTTATGTTGAAGAGATTTTTAATTTATTGGTTTGCAATCCAGAGCCATTTCTATAAATAGATCCATAATAAGTATTATTAATCTTAAACTATATTCCACAATTAACTGGAATATGATTATAAACTATAATTGAAATTTCCAATCCAATCAAATAGGTGGATTAAAAAGTAGGTGTTATACTGATATATCTATAAATTCCTGAATTAAACTTAAATATTCCAAATGCTTTATAATTATTTTCAATAATAGTTGGAGTTAAATCTAAATATTGTTGATCATATATCAAATACCAATTCGAATTTTCAGTTTTATAATCTGAGTTTTTAATTTCAGCCTCCCTTATTAAATATGCTAAGTTATATTAATTAACAATAATTACTTTTATAACTTTAACAAAATCCATTGGAATAGAATGGGGAATCTATATCGCAAATATCCCTGCATCCTATATTCCTCTAATAGTATTAATTTGATGGGCAAGGTGGACAAATGTCGTCTGCTGGAACCCCATAATAGCAGCCGGTACATTAATTGTATTTAGGTCCTATGCATGAAGAGCAGGATGGGTAGCACTTTAGTTAAGAGACATGCAAATTTTTAAGCGAAACCATTCCATTATTTAAATTTGTGGATGTAAATTTAATTTATTATCTAGTTGTACTTAATGCTAGTGTAAAGTTCAACGTTTTAACTTCAAAAGGAGCAGTGTCGCAAAATCCAGTTGCCATTGTATAAGTAGTAGGGGATGTGTAAGTATATGAATATGAAAACGATCCTACAGCAACATTAACCATTTCAGAAGACCATGTACCCTGAAAATATAAATCTATAGATATCCAATCTCTATTCGTTTATGCGAAGGTATATTAAGTCTTAGCAGATGGATTTAATTGAGTAAGAGTTATATAGTCAGTAAATGGAGCGGCACAACTGATAAATTGAGGAGTTCCTGAATCTGAAGACCTTATAAAACCTCCTGAATACAGGTATGCCATTGAGTCATAGCGTTCAGTAAATTGTGTATCGTAGAATAATAAGCTTGAATAGACTTGATATTAGGAACTAGAAATATCAAACAAAGTGAAAAGGATTTAGATAATAGAAATAGACATAATTAAATAATTAAATATACAAAATATTAAAGAAATATATTATAAAAAATTAAAAAAATTTTTGTTACAAAATATTTCATTATAAAATAAAACAAAGAAATAAGATGTTGAAAATATGATTCGATTTACCTGTTGGAACTTACATTATTAAATAAAACACAAAGCAAAGGATTTGATAAACAGAATAATTATTTTCTTAATTTGTCTTATATAATCATTAGAAAAAGAATTAATCTAATTTAATAATTCTTTTTTGCTTAATAATTTCATGTCGCTATTTCGTTTTGTTCAATTATAATTATCCTTTATAGTTATTCTTTCCTTCAATTGTGATAGGATTTATTCTTCATATCCCAAGTATAGGAGAACACTATGAGTTAACCAGTTGTAGAGCTTAAAATTTAATTGATAATACAGCCCCATGATATAAATTTGATTTCACGATTTGTTTTAACTTTGAGTAACTTTGAATAAATAAAGTTGTAAGTTATAAAGTGTTTAACTCTAATTCAGTTGATTTATTTGCTAACCACACTCGTGCATCTACAGCTTTGTCATCTCCTGCTTTATACGAGCTATTGATGGGACCATTAAACGGTTTAAACATCATCTGTTTTTAATATTAAATTAGGTAGTCAAAAATTAAAGAATTGATTTTATTATACTACTTTATTTATTTTAGTTAAGAATTCTTAATTTTATAGTTAAGACTATTATAATAAAAGGTGAAAATTATTAGATTAGTTTAAATTGAAAGAAAAAAAAATTGAGAAAATCATTAATTAACAGTTTTAGTGGGTATTTTATATAAAAAATTAATTCCGTATTATTTAATTACGATTTTGTTATTGAACAATAATTAATTTAAATTTAATTATGATGAAATGCTTTATTACGCATTATTTCACTATATATAAATTCTGAATAGTGTTTACAATTTTAATTATGATTTTAAGAATTAATAAACAATTTTTCAAAACCTTCTGTTCAACTAAGCCTCCTGTTGATGAAAAGAAGAACGTGATGTATGCTATGCCTCATCCCATCTGGAACTAAGAGGCTATGAATAATGTTAAGATCGATCACAAATTGCCTTTGACATTTGGTGATAGATTTGCTCATTTATTCATTCAGTCGATGAGAGTTGGATTTGATGTTCTTAGTGGTTATAGGAAGGTATTTCCTTGGTAGGACAACATAATATCAGAAAAGAAATGGATAAACAGGGTTCTATTTTTAGAGACAGTAGCAGGTGTACCTGGATTCGTTGCAGGAATGCATAGACATTTGAGATCCTTAAGAGGCATGAAAAGAGATTTGGGGTGGATTCACACATTATTAGAGGAGGCAGAAAATGAGAGAGTCCATTTGTTGACTTTTCTTACAATTAAGAAACCATCATTAATATTCAGAACAGGAGTGATATTGGCTCAATTATGGTATGTTGCATTGTACTCAGTCGCATACATGATTCAACCAAGAGTGTGCCATAGAATAGTTGGATATTTAGAGGAGGAAGCTGTGAAGACCTATACTCATATGATTGAGGAAATAGAAATTGAAGGTAGTTCAATTCATTCTTGGAAAACGAGGCCTGCACACCAAAACTCAATTGAATATTGGAAATTATCAGAAAATGCAACATTGTTGGATGTGGTCAAAGCAATTAGAAAAGATGAAGAACATCATAAGGAAGTAAACCATAAGTTTGCTGATGATTATACTTAATAATCGGAGAATCCATTCCCTCCAGGGTATTGATTTTTAAATTATTATCCATTTTATTATCAATGCTTATAATATATTTTTATAATGATCAAAACAATTGAACAGGTGATTTGGTGGCATTTTTAAAATCGTAATAGATAGTAACATTAGGAGCAGTTTCTTGAGAATTCGACCCTTTGATTGCTAGAGCATCTCCAATCTTTTTATTGAATATTTATTGTAATCTAATGTAATCAATAACTTACTGATTTTGCTTTTCAGCATCTAAATATAATCTGATATCTGTAATGCCTCCATGCCTATCTTGCAATTCTTTATTGATAAACATGAGAGGGTCATTGTAAGCTACAACAATTTCGAAGTTTGGATAAGGCCAATCTTTTTCTAATATTACAAATTTAAGTTTAATGTATTAATGTTATTCACTGTCCATTTCGAATGATGGCTAAAATAAGTATTTTATTAAGTATGTATATGTACATAGATATTATTAGAGTTCATTTTAATTTTAATAATGAAATATACTATCATAATTCTTCAAACCCATCTTCAACTTATAGATTACGCTCTACTGGTTATGATTATTTTGGTTCTGGTTAGTCTTGTTAACCTTCTGTTTACTTTTTGATCCATTCTCGGGTTTTAAGAAATCGTTCAGGGGTTTTAGGTTCAAAGTTGAGTTATCTGAATGCTTTTTCTCTTCTAAGGCGACCCCCAAATTTAAAGAATTATTGAGACCAATGTTTAATTGCATGTTAAAGATCGACTATTGTTTTCGGTTCTTTCCACCAAGTAACTACTTTAGTAGCACTATTCTCTTGAACATAACTAAGAAATTCATAATAATCAATAAGCATTTTGAGCAACTCGTCTTGAAATTCGATTTCGTGATTAATGAGGTCTTGTATTTGTTTATGTATTTACAATTTCAAGAAATTAATCTGCTCTGAAAAGTCTTTCACCATGAAAGAAAGTGAGATAGAGAGAATTGATTGTATTACTTAATCACAGGTTTAGAGTGTAGGATTATTGAGGGAAAACTTAGGACTTAAACTAAGTTTGTAGTTTGTTTCTTGATTAATAAGAGTGTCTATTTCGACTTGAGGATCGATCATAATCTCATTCTCATTCTACTCAACATGGACGACCTCAATATTTGAACGAGGGCACAAGGCACCCATTTAATTAATTATATAAATGCAACACATTATATATATATCCATCACAGTATATCTGATGGTAAAGGCATCTCAAATATGAAATGACTAGCCATTATGCTAGCAGCTTCAGGTTGGTCCATAGGAACCATGTGCCCAGCATTTCTTATAGAAACAAAGGTCAAGCCATCGATTTCCCAGACGCTACCAGCATTTTGTGGCTCTGATCCTTTGTCTCCTGGCTTGTACCAAGGTCTCCATTCCTCAATGGTTGGTAAGTCTAAAACATTATGATTAATATATACTTAGTTCCTTCTACAATTTATCGATCCAATACAAAGTACCAGTGATGGGAACAATAGCATCGACATCACCACTGAATTTCAGGATCCTAATTCCATTCTTGAGAAGCTTAGGATATAAGTGATAAGTGGCTCCTGGATCCTTCTTGTAATCAATGTTTGAGCAGTCATTCCAATAACCAGCGTCTTCTCTAATATGTAAAGCCTAGCATATAGATAAGTGGAGAGTACCTTTCTAAATGCTGCATTGTTGAGATACAGGAACAAGGCTTCTGATTCAGAGCATTCATTGACTTATCCAACCACTCCTTCCTTCATTGGATGTAATTTGAATCTCTTATCTCTCACCAATTCTCCTTTCTCATTATAATATGGCAATTGATAGCATTTTCCATATACATTATATGGATTAAAATAGAAGTCACTATAATAATAAGTTGAATAGTAGTACTCATCTCCATTGATTTGTTCCATCACTTCTCCAAAGATTTCCATGCATTCTGGAATTGCTTTCATGTGACAATAACTTGTCATTGTTTCGATCTTGTCATTTAATTTCTCACTGATGAATCCATGACCATGAAGGAACTTGTAAAAATGCACAGGGAAATTGAATCCCAAATCTGTGCATTCTGTTGGATCTGTGCATCCATTACCAATCATCAAACCCTTCAATCTGATCCTATCCCCAATTGCTACCTTGGCATTGTAATCAATGATCTCATTTGCCAATGTTGGAATGTAGATTCCAGCCCAGCTCTCTCCGGCAATATAAAAGTCTATGCTCTTGTATTCTGGGAATTTCTTAAAGAATTCAATCACTGCCTTCAAATTATCCTTTGCTGTGCTCTTGTCATCTGTAGTTGTATTTCCAAAAGAAAATCCGACTCCTGCTGGACTCTCCAAGTAAAACATGTTAGCCTATCAAATAGACATTCAATATTACAAAATTCAACCAAGTGAACAGATTTTATTTGAAATTATTTGTACCCAATTCTACTGTGAATGGCCCATTTTCCACCATGGCTCCATAAAGAGATGAGCATCCAGGACCTCCATTTAACCACAATACGAGTGGAAATGTAGCTTACAATGGTCCAGCTAAGCTAAAGGCTGGAAAAGCAAAATAATGGAATTGCTTTTTACCAGCGTCATCGATTGGCAAATACCCAGAATACCTAAGAATTAAGTCTAATTCCTTACATCTTTCCTGAATATGGAATCTTGAACTTAGCCCATGTGGACCCGTCAACCAAATCTTCAGCTGGGGCTCCTGCAACGAATCCTATAAAACAAAGGAGTGACAAAATCATAATTATGATAAATTATATTAAGTCATCATACATCGCCTTTAATTAATATCTTCAAATATAATTAGATCAAACATATGAGCGAATTAATTAAATTTTTATTTATTACAACATCAACTTTAATTACATTGATCTCCATATTGCTTAGAAGTTTACAATATTACCCACAAAATCTCTCTCAAAAATAGAAAAATAATTAAACCAATCTGAATTCATAAGATAATTATGATGAATAAAAAAATCATATATACTCCTGATCCAATTCAGTTATTTCCTATAGACGTTGAATTTGATTATTTGTTCTTATACATTCGGTGAAGATTAATACTCACCTTAGTTTATAAAATTATACCTAAATTTTTAAATCATCTTTTCTTACTTTTCATTAAAGTCATTAAGTATTGTAAATATCATCGTTACTGCAATAAGATACCATCGCAATCAACTTATCCAAAAATATTGTTATTGAACTTATATGAAACTTTGGAAGATTAATTGCCGAAAATTAATAAATAACATAATAAGATGATGAAATTTTAGATACACAAAACCTGATCCCAGAAATAAAAGGGAAATGGAAAACATGATAAAAATATTAAATCTTAATTCTAAATATGAATCTTAATATTTATTATTAGTACAAATTGAATATGGATGTTAACAATAAGTAGTTATTAATTAGGTGCTAATAAAGTAATAAGTAACAACAAATAACCAATTATTCCTTTTATTTCATATACAGATTGTTGTTGTCCTCTTTCTCTTTGAGATTTATCAAATTTATAAATAATTATTGTATAATGATATTTTTTATGATATCGAATTAATTCTTGCATTTGTATCTACATCTTTCTTTGAAGAGAGCTTTATCTCATTTCATAATTTAGTTTAAAATAGATATTTAGGAAATTAAGAGAATCAGTTAATTAGAAATTCTTTTACTATATTAAATATAGAAAGTGAAAAAAGATTTAAAGAAGATTCATTACATACTAGTAGTGTAAATATATCGATAACCTAATGATTATTCTAAATAAACTTACCATTTTAAAGATAAGTAAACCCTCTATTATCCAGTTTACAAGTTAAAATATATTAATATGTATAAATCAAAAAAAAATATAATTTGTAGTAATTGTAAAAGTGAAGAAAAAAAATATTTTTAATAAGATATTTCTTAATTAATTATTCATCTTTATTTTGGAAGCCATAGTAAAGTGTACCCATAGTCTTCTAATAGCAGTTATCTATATGTTAGCACAACGGAATCAGAAATAATTTAGCACATATCATATAATTTCATCATTTTGCCTGCATATCCTTCAAAATCTGTTTAAGTGTTATCGAATGCTTAAGTGCCATGTTGCAGATAATTCATTACTGTGGCTCCTATAGAATCAAAGTAAATATTATCATAAGCAATTAAGTCATCCTAAAATGCTTTCTACCATTCTGAATAATAGTCTCTTATATCATTAGCAGAAGAAATCTTGGGTCTTTCTTTGTTTTTTGATTCATTTAGATATTTAAAAAGGAAGTAGAAAGTTTCAGCCTCTTTTGAGTAATTATAGAAGGATTCAGAATAGGAGAACAGAATTCTACACATAGTCAAAAATATTTCTTCACTTTCAGTGACATAAAATTTTATTAATTCTAACTTAATCGCATCATTTAGACTTCCAGTATAAAACACATTCTATTGTTATTGAGTTAATAACTTGAGAGCTCTATTATTAGAATAAGGATAGAGTCTATTCCATAGTTTAAATTCACTTAAATCAAAGAAAACTCTAAAGTAATTTTCACAAATATCTTCTTATAATAAACTCTGCAAATTTGATCCACTTTAATCAATATAATGTAAATTGATAATGAAATTGACATTTTTGAATCTTGTTTCTACTTTAAAAATCGTTTTAAAAAATACCGCCTTGCCTTCTGTAAATTTACTTAATAATCTTTATCTAATTTCTGAAAGATCCTCTGCCTTTAGAATCTCTTCAATAGTCAGAAAAGGTTCAAATCTATCTTTTTTGGTAAAGAATCCCATGACCATCATTTCTGTGGATACTTCTAACCATGAAACATATTTGAGAATGGTATCTATGAAAATCTATTAAGCATGTGGATAGGAAGCTCCTTTGACAATCCAATCCCAATGTAGACTCCATTCACCATAAGTTCGATTGATGACATCAGCATCATGAAATAGATAAGTTCCAGACACTGCTAAAATAGGCATAACTTTGTAAGCTTCAGGGATAGGTCTTTTTAATGCCTTCCTCCATGGGAATTCATCTAGATAGGCTTTAAGACCTGATATTTCAAAGACAGCTGCATAATATAGGCATTATTTCCATCCAATAATAGGTTTTAGATCCAGATCATCCATGTCCTCAGTGATAAAATTGTATAACTCCATACTTGGATCATTTCCATAATTGATCCTCTTATCTTCACTTAATTGATTAATCATTTGATCATAAACTTCTTTTCTCTCAATTTCGAATAGTTAATATTTGATAGCCTTAGTTTCGACCTTAAATTGTGCTGTGGGTAAGGCATTGGGTAACTACTTACCAAAAAAGATATCCCTTAAGATATAATACAAATTATCAAAAAGATCATATTCATTTAAGAACTGTAATATAATGACATCCTCAATATCAGCTTCCTTTTTATATTTAAATTCTTTATCTATTTTTTTGGCCTGAATTTCAGTACTAACATGTAACATTTTTTTAGGTGCTTTCAGTGATTAAAATTCCTCATATGTATAATAACCAGAGTTTTCTGATATTAATTTATTCTACTTAAGAGAATCAAATATATATAATGATAAACTGACAGTAATAGCTCCAACTCTCTACAAGTTGCCTATACCTATAAATTTAGTAACTTTGACCATTGCCTTTAAGACTTGATATGAATTCTCTTCAATCAAGAACCCACCCTATCTATCCTCCATTTCTCTTAACAATCTAAATAGAAACTCTCTGTATCTGATAATATCACTCCCAGATGATCTACCAAATGTAACCATTAATTCTTGTCTGTAAACGTTATAAGTAGATGTTATGATAGGTCTTAGAATGGCTTATTACTTTTTATCATATTCCTCCATTAACATTTAAAGGATATTATTCAATTTTGTTAATTGGATTAAAGATGAATAGTCACTACTAATAATCTAAATGATTGAATCTAACAAATCTCTTCTTTAATCGGCATTCTCAATATATAATGCTAAATAAAACAATTCCCAAGCAGATGCACCAATATTCTATTCCTCCCATTTTTTAAGAACCAACATCAAATGGTTCTTCACAAAATCCTTATAGTAAACACTCTTATTAAATGTTTCATTTTCTTTATAAAAATATGAAGCATAAATTTGAGCTTGACCTTCATCAAAGAAGACTCCTTTCAGTAATGATCCTAGTGGTTGATTCTAATAAGATATTTTCTAAACTTATTGGCCGTCATTTTTAAAAAGATGGAGATTATAAATTTTATAGACTTCTATATATTAGAACCCTTCTGGATTATTGTCATCAATTCCTTCCATAAGATCAAGATTTTCAAATCCCTTCACTCTACAATAACCTTTCCAATAAATGTTACTCTTGTTTTTAGTGTACTCTTTTATATCATTAAGAAATTTATTTTTATTAGTGTTACTAATATTTTTCATTTTCCAAGTAATCTTTTTCTATTCTTTTTTGTCTTAATCAAAATAGTAGATGAGAAACACTTTGATAAGATTTAGATCCTATTTATTGTTGATACTCTGACAATCCTCAAAAACAAAATTGGCAAACATATCAAAAGCGACTTCATCTGAACTTGCTTATACAAAACATTCACAATTGATTTCCAAATCTTTTGGATGAGCTTTTGGATAAGTAATCAAACCAGATTTTATGATATATCCTCCAGATAATGAATTTACCACTTGAATTCTACCTTGAGGATATTCCTTAATAAATGAAGGTAAAATATTTTGGATTGCAAAATAAAACTCTTTTAAATTGGGCAGGAACACATATTCAAGCATCTTCTCATAGCCATAAACTTCAAATTTCTGTTCTTCAAACACTTCTTCTAATTCATTCTGAGAATTAATTATTCTTATCTTTTGTTTGAAACTATAACTAATTTTATAAATGTGATATTTTCTGGTTTCTATGCATGGGGTCTTCCTAAAATTCTTTGCTAGTTTTTCAAATGTTGTATAGATGTCAGTTTTTAGATTTTATACTCCCAATGTCCTTGAAACTTCACACCATGGATTTTTAGGTACCAAATCCCCTGAAATAGCAGCTCGTAATCCTGTGGTTAGTGCTTATTCTAGTTGAGTGAATGCCAAATATTCATTGACTAACTATAAAGTAGATTAGGAGAAGCATGTACACTTTCATGTTTGGATTTCTACTCATTTTATTGGTCTCCATCATCTTCATCTGAATCTAGTTGTTGCTGCAGATTCTTCTTGAACTTCTCTGTCAAATCGGATGTCTTATTAGTCCGCTTCTTGATTGTCTTGAATTGAGTTTTATGTCTACTCATAATTATTTAATATAATTCATCTAAATGTTTTTTAACCCCTATTCTCAAAGTGAGATTGAATCAAAGAATTTCGTTCATTTATTTTTTGGTCCTGACTTGGCTCAAGAGGCAATTGATATAGTCCAATCCAATCTTAACGCTTACTCGGATCAGGCTGAATGCATTAGGTTATGAAGGTCATCAAATTCTTGGAGTAGAACTAATCTAGCCATTTCAAAGGGTTTTCGAAAGCTTAAAACAAGGTAAGACATTACAGGAGCACAATCCTATATAAATAATGATATTCTCTCATTACCCAAAAGCGAATACATCTACTTTGAATGGATTTATTTATGCTGTTTCCAAGAGACTGGCTTCTGAGTTGATGAATGGCTTGGTTTCTGGAGCCAAAAATACTTGAATCTCAGGGTCCTTTGTTTACTGATACTTGATGAAATTGCCCCATCTCCCACCAATCAACTCTTAATCATACACTCTATAGAGGAGATACTCCTCATCAAAATAGATGGTCTTAGTAGTAATCATTCCATGGGGAATATTGTTATTTTAAAAGAAATGCATTGCCTACATTACTCCCTTTATAAGACACCAAACTTCTGGCTCAGGTATCAAATATCGCTTTGCTTATCTTCTCTCTGTTAATTCATGCAAAGTTAATTGACCATATTCAAAAAAAACAAAAATCTAAAATACTTCTGTCTATCCAAATTAGCCGGGTTTCGTTGTTTTTTGGCTTTCACTTTCAATCGTATAGAAAATATGCGGTTGCTTGATCTTACAACGCTCCTTATATTGCTTAAGTAACAGCTATTATTGGTTAACATCCATCTATTAAACTGGAACAGAACACACCAATTTTGAAACCATATATCTGTTAGGAACGTACATTTGTACTTTGCAAAGGGATGGAATCGAAATAATCGTAATTGTCCACGCTATGGGCAGAAGATGTTGTCTACAAATTTCAATTCCTCGAAGTTATTCAATACAAGTGTTTTTGGATCCCCTCTTTTCGCCATTCAATTTTAATTTTAATGTTATAAATGCATATTAATATAATTTACTCATTAATACAATATTCAACTTTATCAACTAAAAAATCGAAATCAAATACCATTCATAATTCATAAACTTGTTTAAATACAGTTATTTATGTCTGTAAAATATTTATTTTTCTCTGCATTTAATTTATGAATCAAAAGGAGACATCTCAAATATATTTTTGATTAATTTTTCATCTGATGTTAATCTAATTACACAGTGTGTCTAGAATAATATTGCTGAATCGATTGCTTTATTTTATATTTATTTTCTTCTTAATCCATTTAATGTATAAATTTATATTAAACAATTATAAGTAAATATAATTTATTTAAATCTTTAAGATATTATTGTATATAATAGTGAGCAAATTTTGAGAAAAAAAACTATAAAATTTTATATGATTTAAAAATAAGTTATATATCTCTTAGTGTTGGTTATTTTGGGTAATACCCTTACGGTTGATACAACAATGCATTGCGATTGTAGTGAATTAAGATCATAAGACTGTTAATTAAGTTAATACTGTTATTGGAATGATAATTATTGCGAATCTTATCCAAATAAATGTGCGATATTCACAACTTAATCAAAATGTACTCCAACTCTAACAAATTACTTATGCAAATGGGATGATAATTCTTGTGTATCCCATTTCTATAAATGTGATGAATTCTCATCAAGTTCAGACTGTCCATGTTACTGGAACTTGGATAGCGAGTGTGCTGAATTCAAAGGATGCTCAAACTATGATGAGGAAAACTGTCCTGCTTCTTAAGGATGTGTATACAAAGTGAGTGAATGTCAAGCAGAAGATTATGTTACTTGTTCTGATCAGACCTCAGCAACTTGTAGTGGCAAAGAAGGAATGTATTCAGCCTGTGCTGTTAATAATGATAATTAATGTGACTCATACTCTCTATTTGCTTAGTGTTCTGATTTAAATAATTTTAAAACTAAATGCGAAGAATTTGGATGTAAATTTGAAAATAATGAGTGTTCATTAATCGAATGTAAAGATTTGAGTGTTCAAAATTGCACTAGTGTTAAAGTTGATACAGAAACCAAAAAGCTATGTAGAGTTTAACAATAAAAATGTGTTGAGGCTGAGGACACAACTTATTTAAATATTGATTCTTGCTACATATCAACTGATGGCAACTATAAATGGGTTGGAAGTTGTGTTGAATGCGAATCATTAGTGTATTCGAATTTGCTAACTTATGTCAGTTTATTTTTAGTAACTTATTTATGAGATATGAATAAATGAATTTTATTTAAATATTATCAATTTAATATAATTATCAATTATTTATAATTAAATATAATAACATAAAGATCATCACTTAATACTATTGAGAGTTATTAAAGTATTGTATTTTACTGAAAGTATTCTAAATCAAATATTATTTATAAGAATCCTTTCCATTTACAAATAAATAGTTCACTACTTACAATCACATTTTATAATTAGATTATAAGAATCCTAAATGTTTTTTATCTTCATTATTATAAAATGGTATATCAGCAAACGATAGCTTCTATGTAATTTTCATATCTATTTTTATTAATTACTCTATTCTTTATATTATATATAAACAATCCGTTTCTGATTAGAGACACCATAAAATTAATTAGAGAAGAATCAAATAGTTATTATAAAGTAATTAAGTAAATGATTAAAAATTACAATAAGAAGACTTTAACTAGAATATTAATTTAAGAGACATTAAATAGAATATTAAATTCTAAACTTCACATCTAAATTTCTTTGTCCCTTCTTATAAGTTGGATATAAGTTAAACCCTATATTTAATTAGAATAGATAGAAATTGATTGTGTTAATAATCCTTTGCTAATGCTTATTTTGATTAGTTTAAGTTGTTTATTTTATAATTATATATTTTAAATTAAATGGAAAAGGATAAAAAGGAATTTTAAAATAAATAGGCAAATAGGTTAGCTGAGGTTATGAGTAACTCAGCTGTTCTTGAAGAAGAGAAGGCTGTGTTCTTGAAAAATATTGCAAATGGGAGTCATTTATACATAGATCCTCTGGTTGATACCGTTAAGAAAACCTTAAAATCAAAATTTCCATTCCAAACTAAGTTTAATGCATTGATGGTAAATCAGTTGAGTTATTAGTTAGCTTCTAAAAGATGCTATGAATACAAGAAACAAGGAAATGGCTAATTATGTAACCATTAAGATATTGGATCGTTTAAAAGCAATAGCAAAATAATCACTGAAACCTGATAAAAATAAACTCTTCACTCCTCCAGATCCTGGAGATGAATTTTATTTGCTATTGTTAGAGTGTTTATACAATTGGTCGATCTTTTTTCAATTGCCAGCAGATTAGAAGATGTAACCCAGCGCATTTAAAAATGTCTGCAGTGAGTTACAATAGGCAGGAATCAGATTTCCTACTTAATTCAAATACTTTTAAATCATAGATCTACAGAATAAAAAGCCAGAACAACCAGATTAAAAACAGAGTTCATAACAGCAATAACAATAAAAATAATAATAACAAAAATAATAAGTGACCCCAAAACCTGCCTCAAAACCTTAAACTAAGCCCAAGAAAAATGACAATAAGGCATTTGATGCCGCTGTTGAGTCATTTACTTCGATATAGGGTCTTTTCAATGTTATTATTGATCTCTTAAGAGAAAACGAAGACCTCACATGTAATGATATTTGTGACTTTATTAGATCTACTAAGTTTCTATTCAGAACTTGAATCACTCATAATTCGAATTGAAAACCAACTGTTTGAGTTGGAAGAAGAGGACGATCCAAGGAAAGAGATGTTAAGTGAGGATCTAATTAAACTTAGTACTAAGGGAAATGAATTGGTTGCTGATATTTAAAAGTGTTAGAAGGGAGATATGCCATGGATTGTCCTAAGGAATAAGCATCATCCTAAATTGTAAGAATTTGTTTAATCACTCAAATTCCCTTTGGATGAACCAAACGTAATAGAAAAGCAAAAAGAAGTATAGTAATCAGATTAAAAAACTCAAGAAGTTCAAAAGTAAGTGCCCTAGAATGATAATCCCTTTTTCTTCTCTTAGGTTGCTAATTTCGAATAGGATGATATAGAAAAAACTAAGTCAGATTTAATCTTATAATAACAACAGAGGCTATAGCAGCAATCTCAGCCTGTCCCTGTTGTTTAAACACAAAAGCAACAAGAATTGCCTTAAAAATAATAGGAACAAACTCCTAAGATGGATTAATGGGATTCATAATAAGCCCCCATTTCTTGGAATTAACCAGAAAATACTCAAGCCCCTGAAACTAATTTCTAATTTAATGGTTTTGAATAAAGGTAAGCTACAGATCCTGATAATCAATTTGTGTCTTAATGGAATATGCCAGAATAAAAGTAGGAACAATAACACTTTGAAAATCCATTTTCACAATAGAATTTTGATAGCAAAGACAAGCACAATTTACCATTCGATTCCAAAAGACACAACACTGATCCTGATTCTTAAAATGGGTGGGGAGTTCAGAAATAAGAGCCTTAAGGTTAATAATGGGATCCTGGATTTGCTCCTTGGCAAAACGAAAGAAAGGATTCAAAGTAGGATGAAGAGGTGGTTGTTGAGAAGATGAGACCCACTATTATGCCTTAACCACAGGAGTAACAATAATAAAGGAAGAAAAATCCCAATCCTTTTGAAAGACAATCATCAGTGATATCTGAGGATAACAACATATAGTTTCCAAATTTGTGGGGGAATCCTGATACTAAACCATCCCAGGATGGATTTACAGGGTTTTCTAAAGTTATGGACAATAAAAGTGAATTTAAGACAGAAGTGGACAGTAAACCAGATTCAAATATATTTAAATTCAATGATCAGGATATTGATTTGGAAATTATGGCTGGATCATCTAAGTATAGTAAGTAGGACAGATCTAAAAGTGTTGATTCTTAATAAGGAATGCATATGCCATAAAATCAATGGGAACCTAAATCCAATGGTTAAGATTTTAAAAACAAGGAAGTTGATTCTGGGTTAGATGGCAACTATCAATGGGGTATGGAAATGAAAAAGGAAGATCCTGATGATTTTGTAGACCCATATGCAAATAGATTTGAAGATGATTTTAGTAAGAAAATAGAGAGATACGCCTTCGACGATCATTCTGAAAAAAGAGCTAATTTAGATCAGTTTGGTATGTCTGATCAACCTTAATTTGATAATCAATTTGCTTTTGATATACAGAATTTACCTAAAAATAGTGTCTATTTGATGGGGTAGAAGATGTTGTAGATTGACAACCAGGTAATTGAATTTTCGAAACAGTTTTATTCAAAATCAGCAAGAAAGACTGGAATTAGGATGGCTGATGCAGAAGTTCAAGCATCAGAGTAAATACTGACATTGCTTAAAAATAATCCATAGTAAGAGATGGAACATCAGGAGTAGAAACAAAAACTATTGAAACAAATACAAATCTTATTATAACAGAATGGAGAGTATGAATAAGAGGTTAAGGAATAAAAGTCAATAATCGAAAAGTATGAATAAGATTTTAAATCGTATAAATAGTAATCATAAAAATGGACTGATGTTTACACTTCTCTCAACAAATAATTAATAAATCTGAATGAATACTATAAACAATAAAAGGAGTAGATAGCTATCTTATAAGAGGAAATTTACAAGTTATCCCATGAGAATCAACAGTTAAATGATAAATATTGTGAAACTATTAAATAGATTTCAGATTATAAATGTAATGAGGAATCATTGTTGAATAAAATAAGAATAATCGAGAAGCAATTTAAATAAATCACTTTTAATCATAAATGTCCTATACAGCAATATTTAGAGCAATATCTCAAAGTTCCGAATTTGATTGAAATCAACATACCCACTCGATTTTCTGTAATACCCAAGGATACTGAGAATAAAACAGCCAGAATAGAAGTTAAATATGATACTAGCTTATTTATGGATATTCTGAGAGGTTGTGCTTAGCCCTATTCGAATGAAATTGATGATTTCAAGTTTTCCATATTAATGCCTAGAGCAGTTTTATATGAGGACAAGGTGTTGTAGATTGGCTGTATAACTAAAATCAATGATGACGACTTGAGTCTCTTATTGCATATTAGAAATAAAAGCCAAAACAACATCTCGATCACAAAAATTAAATTGATTGCTCCTTCAAGTACAAATCAATATAACACATTTAGATAACTAGTTAAATAAATTGAATGTTTAAGACGGCAGTGTTCTTTAAAAGTACACGACGTTTAAGATCTAAATGAAATTCCAATATTAAGAGTTTATGAAACAACCTATATTGGAGTTCTAGATAGATGATAAATAATACCATATCTTGTTGCCTGTATCCTTAATCAAATTTGGAGTTTCCGAGTTAGTTGATATTGTTTCATTAAAGGAAAAATGGAAGGACAATAAAAGTAATTCTAATTCCAAATATTTAGATATGAAATGTGTTATAAAATCTACTATCAATTAACCAAACCATAAGTTTGTTAATTAGCTAACTGATTTTAAGCGATATTTCTAGACTTTGTAGTAATTTGAAAATTATCTGATTATGCAATAGACAATAAATTAAAGTGAATTTGGAATCAAGTTTAAGGAGGACAGACAGCGCTAATAATTAATCATAAAGGTTCAATCAAGTCAATTGTTGAAACCAAAGGCCGAAGAACTTATACAACAACTATTATTCTTATTTAGTGAATGAATATTTAAGAAAAAAGAATTGAATTTTAATAAATTTTATTATTTATGGAAGTATAAATTATAAATAGCCAAATAGAAGGGGAACATAAATTAAAATCAATATAATGTGTAAGAATAAGCTACGAGCGATTAGTCATGCTTGTAACTATTCTGTATATACATAGGTATTATTGTGCATATGTACTGGGTTTCTGGCAGCATTTTACTTTCGGTGGTTTCCTCATCAATTTATTAATTTTTTGTACATCACGAGCACCTTAGAAAAGGCCACACACGTTAAGACCAATCCGTACAATGAGATCTGCTAAGTCACAAGAGATGGAAAGAAGATCCATTTCAAATTCAGGTAATACAACTAGAATGAAAGTTAGATTCTTAAAATATGAATTGTTGGAGGATAAGTTCAAGCCTCTAGAATTTGAGCCTAAAAATGCTAATTCGTTAACTACTAAGGAAGTGTAGGCTGGCCAATAAGATTATGGATCAGCACTGATGAAAATTCCGATGATCGGATTTCTAGAATTTACATTAGAAGAACTTTCAACTCCATTTTATACTTTGTAATATATATGCGTTGTAATTTGGTTGGTTTAAGGGTTTTTCTATTTCGCAATTGTGATGATGTCTTGCTCTCTGATTTCAACTTTCATCAAGTTTTATTTGCTTAGACAGTCTTTAAAAAGATTGCAGTCACTAGCAGCAATCCATTAGCAGGTGATGGTGATAAGAAATGACGAGTTAAATAAAATAGATGTGAATGAGCTTGTGCCAGGAGACATAATAAAATTGCAGACAATGATTGTTCCTGCTGATTGTATAATTACGGGCATGGCGTTACTGAATGAAGCAACATTGACAGGCGAGAGTAATCCTGTGCCAAAATAGACAGGGTAAATATTATTTGAAGGTACAAAGATCCTCGAAGTAAATACTGGATCAACTGCGTAAGTAATACGAACTAATTATTCTACAATAAGAGGACAATATTTTAGAAATGTATTATATCCACAAAAAGTGACTCATAAATTTTATACACAAGCCATGAAATTCTTAGCCGGCTTTGTTATTTTCAATGTGATAATAGCAGCTGCCACTTTGGTCATTTATTTAGACTACACTACTGAATTAATTTTAGCTAACATATTCAGTACATTAACTTGGATATTTCCACCTGCCATGCCTATCTTTTTTTCATTAACAGCTACGATAGCATTGCTTCGTTTGAAAAATGAGAATATCATTGGTAGCAACATGGATAAGATTCATATTTCAGGATAAGTTGATGTTACCTGTTTTGATAAGACAGGTACATTAACAACGAATGAGTTAACTGTGATTGGTCTATGGGATAAATAGGATTGCAATATTTGTATAAGTTGTTGTCATCATATTTGTTAATCTGAGGGACAATTGGTTGGAGATGTATTGGATCTTGAAATGTTTAAGTATAGCCAATCGAAAATACTTTTTGACAAGAATGACATTCAGATCACATCTAAAGATTAAAAGATTTACAAGATTATCAAAATATTTGATTTTAATTCTGAATTGATGATGATGTCAGTAATTGTAGAATGCGAGAACAAATATTATTTATGCTCAAAAGGGGCTCCAGAAAAATTGCAATCAAAGTTGAACTCTCAGAATCAAGAAATGCTTTCACAATTATCCTTCTATGTCAACCAAGGCTACCGAGTTATAAGTTTGGCTCAAAAGGAAATCACTCGAGAGGATCTCAATTTAGAAAGAATGTAATTAGAAATCAATTTGAATTTCTTAGGATATCTTATCTTTGAAAACCAATTAAAACATGACACAGCAGACGTAATGAAACAGCTCATTGAGTCAAATTTGAAAGTGAAAGTATTTGCAATAATTTATATTTCAGATTCTATCGGGAGACAATCCTTTAACAACTGTCAATACTGCATACAACATTGGGATTGCAAATGATGTTGTAAAATTATTTGATGTTAGAAATTCAGAGATTGTAGAGATTGACATCAGAAGAATAGAAGAAAAATAATAGATTGTTTAATAAAAATAATACCTAATTGATGTGAAGGATTTGTAGAATTACATATACACATTGAATCAACAGTTCGCATTGACTGGAGACTTCATGGAATTCTGCAATCAACATAAAGTGGATGTTCACTCTTTATATCAAAGAACGATTGTATTTGCTAGGGTTAAGCCACATCAAAAGAAGGAGGTAGTTTTCATGCATCAATAATTAAAATGCTGTGTGGCTATGGTAGGAGACGGATCGAATGATTGTGTAATTATCTCTGTAATTCAAGTCAGCTATTTCTTAAGCAGATATTGGAGTCTCATTCTCCCAAGCTGATGCTTCATACACAGCTCATTTCTCATCATTAGATTAATCCATTAAATGTATAGTGACAATATTAGCATAAGGAAGAGCAACAGCACAGACTTTGACTGAAATCTTTCCTCTCTATACTTTATTAAGTTTTCTAGCTACTTGTGCTTACACATGTTTAGCATTGGAAGGTCAGAATTATAGTGACTTTTAATTATTATTCCTTAGCTTTTTATGTTACATCCCAATAATGGCATCGATGACGTTAACTAAGGCATTGCCAAATTTATCTAAAGAATTACCTTTAGATGATATGTATTAATGTAATGTTTATCACATTTATCAAAGTAAATAATCAACTTTCATTTTATACTCATGTGTTCATCTTTACTGGTGGTTTACTTGTGTCTGTAGCAATCGTCATGAATGCTCAGGATCATCATTTTGATAAACCAGAACCCCCTATTAGAGACTATCTCAGGAGCGGTATGCTCAACTCTGCTACAGTCATTATTGCTTAGATATACAGTTAATTCTTGCCTTTCATCTTTATTATTTCTAAACCTTTCAAAGAATACTGCTATAAGAATTACGTGTATATGACATACTCGACTCTCTCATTTTCAATAACTATATTATTTGTGTTTTTCAGACCCTCTTAATAATTTTTGGATTTGGTCGACTTTAACTCTGAAATGTAATTATGAATATCATATTGTAGAGATCACTTTGACGTCTATTTGCTATTGATAATGGCAGGTACGATCATTTTAGACATTATAATTTAAAATATATTGTAAATAAGATTTCCAAGGAAAAGATATTTATGATATCATCTTTAATAAATATTATGTATCTATATTATACATCACACATACACATGACTCTGAAAATGTCGAAGTCTCATTATTTAGTTACTACATTTTATTGAGTAAAATACTTTGTTTGAAAGTAATACGTGAATCACCGAATTGTCTTCCGTTTTATTTCAAAACTAAGTACATTAGATTTTCATTTAAAAAGAGGACTTCCCCTGAAGTCTTTTGGTTGGGTCTTTTCAACTCAATCTCATTAGCTGAACAATTGGTTTGGCCAACAATCCAATTAATTAGTTCCTGGTTTGTCTTTTTGGAATCTAGATTATCAAAAGCAATCTTGTATTGTCCATCATCATCCTATTCGACCTATTGGTTATTCTTGCTATTGTTGGGATAATCTGAGAATTGTCTCCCATTATTGAATTTGGCTTCCCTTACAAAAATTTGAATATCATTGCTTATAAATTTGCCATCCTAATATTATGTTCCATATTACTTTCTCTTACAATCTAAATTTTCTGCCTTCCAAAACCAGTAGTTTCTATGCTTTCTCTGCTCCAGTCACAACTACATATCCCTTGGTGGACTACCTCTACACCTTTTTGCATTCTTCAATTTCACTCTATTTCAGATCGCATCGTTCCAATATGTAATTTACAATTTGGATTGGTACTGTGTTAGGAGGTAGATTTTAGATTTCAACCACTAAGGATTAAATCAAAGAGATACCAAATTTTTGTTTAGAGTTGTCTGGTACACTGTCTAAGTATTTCTACTTCTTTTTGATTTCCCTTTCAATGGATTTCCCGCCCTTGTAACCACCGGGTATTCTGTATCCTTACATATCGTAGAAGTTGTAATCTTTATCGAAATAGCCTGCTGGTTCTCCATCTCTGTCATAGTAATTTAATTCCTTATCCACCCAGCCACCATAATCATCTACGATATAAATATCAGTTGAGTTGTGGGATTGTGCAATTCGAAATCCTTCTCCTTCGAGACCATCATATTGGATGTACTAGTCAAATATGGCTGGGTTGTGTGATGGTCTTCGCTTCATGAATAAAATAATAATTATTATTATTATAAATAATCGCGATTGCAATCCAAACTATCGAGTTGATGGACAAGCAATTGTGTAAATCCAGCTGGATGGTTCACTTTTTAGAGTTGATATAGTATTGTACTGATTGTAATTTTTATAAAATAAATAATATTAATGAAGTCTAAGTAAGTGATACCGAAGGGGAAACATGCTTTCGATTGCAATGGGTAAACCTTTATTGTCGATGACAAATATCAATTCATAAAGCAGATTGGACATGGAGCTTACGGAGTGGTGTGTTCAGCTTTAAATAAGAAGAGTCAACAATTAGTGGCGATCAAAAAAATATCAGATGCATTTTCAGATCTGATTGATGCTAAGAGAATAGTGCGTGAGATTAAACTGTTAAGTATCAAACCTATATGTATATGATTGACTAGAATTCTTCGATCACGAGAATATCGTTTCACTACTTGATTTGCAACGACCTGACCCATCCACAAAATTACAAAGACATATACATCATTACTGATCTAATGGAAACAGATTTGCATAGAGTGATTTATTCGAAGTAAGAATTAACAGATGAGCACATTTAATATTTTCTATATTAAGCTTTGAGAGGACGTGTTGTACATTCACTCGGCCAACATCATCCACAGAGATCTCAAACCAAGCAATCTGTTACTGAACAAGAATTGTGATCTTAAGATTTGCGATTTTGGCTTGGCTCGTGGTTATGAAGACGAGAGTGAATTTAAAACTGAGTATCAATGATGCATTTATTTAGATATGTAGTCACTCGTTGGTATAGAGCACCAGAAGTCATCTTGAATGCTTCTGAATACAACAAATCAGTGGATATCTACGCCTTGGGGTGCATAATGGCAGAACTACTGGGTAGACAACCACTCTTCCCTGGCGAGGACTATCTAGATCAGGTGTAGAGAATCATACAAGTATTGGGCACTCCTACCAATGAAGATGTTCGATTCATTGGAAATAAGAAATGCCCTCACTTACTTGAAGAGTTTGCCCAAGAAACCTAAACAACAATGGAAGAACTTGTATCCTCATGCCCAACCTTTGGCCTTGGACCTACTGGATAAGATGGTCACTTTCAATCCAGACAAGCGATTGACAGTTCAGGAGTGTCTGGCACACCCTTATTTTGAAGGACTACATAATCCAGAGGAAGAACCTATTTGCGAATGCACCTTCGATTGGGGATGGGATAGTTTCAAACCTACCGAAGCTATACTAAAGTAAATGGTATATGAGGAATCATTGTCATTTCATCCACTTAAGTGATTTATTTTAATTAATATAACATGGATCTGAGTTCCTAACTAAATTAGATGAAATTTATAAAAGGTCTTGATTTTCGCAAGAATCTCATAGACAACGGACATCTGGGTCAAGGCAACAACATGGTATACAATGTTTCACTCAACGGAAAAATGTATGCATTAAAAGTAAAGCATTCTTATTTACTAAGTAAGTAATAGTGAATTCCTCCTATATTGAAAATGAGATCAAAATCATGTAATCATTAGCCAACTCTCCGTATGTGATCAATCTCATTGATTATATGATATTAGAAACAGTCTCTCAAGACAAATACACTTAAAGTCAGTAATTTGCATATTTGCTCATGGAAAAGGGCTAGCAGAATCTAGAGTAATATCTTAAATAAAGAGAGCAGTAATATCTAGATGTCGAAGAATTGCATAGAATTTTGGAATAATTAATAAATATATTTGAAGATCTCCAACAAAAAAACATAGCTCATAGAGATATAAAATTAGTTAACATTCTAATCATGGAACCCTTTCAACTCAAAGCTTGCGACGTTGGCTGCAGTTCTCAAGTGGATAGCATTTAAACTATCAGTGTTGTCGGAACAAAGTCCTACTTAGCCCCTGAGTTATTGAATGCAGAAACGAATCGACTTAAGCACAATCCCTTTAAAAGCGATGTCTACTCTTTGGGATTGTGCTTTCTCTATTTAGTTACTCTATAATTATGGAATTCAAGACAGATTGTTGGTTCTAAGATTGAAGAGGAAATAATGGCAGATTATTTAAAACACGTTAAAAGAATCACTGCTGATGACAATATCATCACTTCAATCCTCAAAAAGATGCTCTAAATCAATCCAAACAACCGACCTGATTTTATAGAGCTCAAGCAGATCTATACACAAGCGAAAGAATCTCAAAATCAGTTGATTAATTTATCAAAAGGAACAACGTTTGAATCTTTTGAATCACCCAAGAAATCCCCTTTGTAATTTGATTATCTTTCACCTGATGTCGTAATCAATAGAAGCAGAAATTCAGGATCCAACTTTTACAAGGAGGAAAGATAAAAGTCAGTCAAAAATCTACCTTCCAATTTGAGTAACTCGAAGAAATAAAAATCTTAAGCCAATCTATTATCAGAATCAACAAAAAAGCTATAAGTTGTCAAATCATCAAAAAATGCTTCCACTTCCAACTTACACCTAAAGGATGCATAGTATTTTAATAAACCTCCTACGCCAAATCCAATCAAACTTACTTAATCTGCTAAGGCGAAATCCTTCTAAGATTCTGCATCCCCTATTCAAACTCAGAGTAATTTCTAGCAACGACAGTTCTCTAAGTTCCACCAATCTGTTATAGAGAACAAAAAGATTCATACTGAGAGTTTTTCTTAGACTATGCCGGCAATTCAAACGAGCATGCTGGCTGATGTAAAGCCTTTTGATGATTTCTTATATTGCGATTATGAAGACCTTACTAATTTATACCAATTTTAAAATTATGTTTGCCTTTATTAAAATGGATAAAAATCAAATAAAACAAAATGCTTATTGCCTAACAGTTGTAAATTGTTAAATTTATAACTCAATAATTCAACTCCAGAACTTCATTTATCTCCAGTGAATGATATACAAATTCTCATTCTTGAATTAATTGATGATTCCAATTAACAAGCTCTTATTTATAGGTGGCCTGAAAATCTTGGTTCTATGTGCTTTTAAGCTATAACATCTCTTGAAATTATTGTTAATACTCAATAACCTTAAACTAATAATATTATATAATTTCTTACTAAAATATAGCATATTCCTAAAATTAAATTGATCTATCGATCTGAAATATCAGAATAGGATCATAGAACCATTATTTGGAAATTAAGCAGATATAACTGCACTTCCTTTGATTTCAGAATACCTAATATTAAGTTGAACTTAACCCAAATCTCCTAATCCTGGTAGTTTAATCAATCTCTGGAAGAGCTGGCACTAGATTACGAAGATTGTGACATCCATTCGACTTTTTCATTCCTCGTCACATCAATAAGAACAGTAGTATTCAAGAAGTTCTACATTAACTTAACAAAACTGCAATCCAAAAACACAGAAATAAGTTTGCTTCTTGAATATTTGGGATCCAAACATTAAATGAGAGACCTAACCTTAATTATGAATTACATTACCAACTATGATAAAATGGTATAAGACAAACTCAAGCTTAATATATCCAAACTTAAAAATTTGGAAAAGCTCCAACTATCAATAATTGGAAATAATGTTAATTTTGATTTCATTGAAAAACTCTTTACTATTTTTGAACAACTCAAAGAACTGAAGATGGTGATATTGAAGTTTGACAGAGTATTTGAAAAATAAAAAATTAGAGAACTTAAAATGGCACTCCCCTATTTGCAACCTTATGTGTTATAGTTTTATGGTACAAATAACACATTAACAATCATAATGCATAATAATGATTTGTAAAAATTATAAGATTATGGAACCACAAAATGTAATTAGGGAAAACTGGTCAAATTGAGTTAGATGTATGAGTGCATTAAGTGTTCTAAAGCTCACTCTTTCTTTTTAAAACATCAATTTCAGATATGTAGTACATGTGTAACAAATTGCCATTCTAAATGCGACAACTTTAACTTGAACAATACTGAAGCAATAACAGTGAGTTCGGATTCTTTAACCCAGTGCTAAAATATCCTAAATACTATTAAGAAGAATCACACTTTCATTGAATCAAATGACACAAGAGATTTTAAATGTTACTGTAACTTATTGGGTAATTGTACATAAGCAATTTGCAATAAGGATAGAAATAGATACGAGATTTAGTTTAAGTATTCTTTATTAGTATTTTAGATGCAAATCATGCAACAAAGTACTGTGTCGAATGTGTTCTTCTGATTGTCATTCTTGTCATATCAATAAAGAAATGTATATAAATAACTTTAGATGTGAATGTGATTGCGATAAACATATATGAAATAATACATAAATGTAATTAATTTCATATTAAATTAAATCCAATTAAATATCTTTTGGATAGAACCTAAGTAAGTTCTTTTGAAGAGCATATTTTTTTAATTGTACTATTGGTCACTTAATTGTAGATTTCTAACATACAAGGTCTAAGAATAATTAATAATTTGTACTCAATAATGATTTGTAAGTCTTTATTATTAATTTCGATTTCTTTAATTTGTGAACTCAAAATACCGTTATTAATTTGTTCTTCAGTTATCTCCAAAGGTTATTCTGTTACGTCTGGTAAATTTAATTTTATAGTTGTCCCCTTTTTAAAGTCCTTGTAATCAAAGGCCTCTGGGGGCATGTCAAAATTGAGGACAACATATAAATCAAGTATTTGTTGCATTGTGTAAATATTCAATTAAACAAAGATTGAATCTAATTCTCTGAGAGATGGAGAGTACATTTTAATTATTTTTTGTGAATTTTTCTCTCTTAATAGGATTTGAATTGGCAAAAAGTCGCATGTATAAAAATTATTTTCAAAAGTTACAACTTTCTTTATCAATTTCTTTTATAAAATCTTATCTGGAAATTCATGTTTTTCTATGAGAATTCATTTAATATAATTTACCTCCAATGATCAGGATGGCTAATTCTTTATGAACTGGTAACCCAGTCTAAATTATAGTTGATACAGGATTATCTTAAGTCTTAGTCAATTATTCCATTTGAATGTCTGCTTGCGATGTTTGCTGTAAAAACTGAGGCTCATTTAGCTCTTTCAAAATGAGTCCATCATCAACTTTACTTTGGATATACAATTGGAGTTTTTATTGATCAAATTACGCAACGAATGATTGCATATCAAAGAAATTATTCTTAACAACATCATAGAGTTGTTGTGGGGACAATTCGATGGGTCTAGCTATGTTAGTATTCTTATTGATATAATTGAACTATTGGAAAATAAATTCTAAAGAATCCTTAACCGGATTAATTCTTGATCACAACCACATTGGTCTGAAATTCCTCCTTCTGAAAATGATTAACCTTTTAGATCAATCTACTCACGCCCTTTTTTATTTCAATGATACAGTATTTCTCTCCAATAATTGTAAGTTGTTTTAGAAGAAATCCAAGGGATCTGGATGAGTATTAAGTATGGCTAAGGCCATTGAAAATGATAATTATAGAGGCTTGGTCGATTTCTTGTTGACTTCACCTTCGAATTCCCTTATCCACTCTATTTCGAAAGATTTTATTAAAGCAAGTATGGGCATCTTTTGATATTTGTAAATTTTCTTGTGATATGTCCTCTCATCTTTTGGGATAGATTCTACTTCTTCTACATCAGTAACTTCAGTGACGACCTTCCTATGCAAAGGTTCTAAACGTGCAGTAGAATGACCAAATTTTTGAAAACGATGAAATTTAGACAAATCCTAAAAGCCTCCTATCACAAGCAGCTCCAAAGTGTCTAGAACTAAAATCCAGACTACAAAAAAGTCCTTCTATAAATTTTCTGTTTACTTTGGACGACTTATTACTTAGACTTTGGAGTCTACTGTACGATGGAACTTCTTTCAATAAGTGGCATCTTGCTTTCATTGTAACTGATTTTGCTTCGAGTATTCCTGAGATACGCAGGTTCAAGCAATTTGTGTTGAGTAGTCATAAATTTAGGGAGAATGTCGAATTTTGTATGACTATTGTTGTTGTTCATTAATATAATAATCAAGGAATAATGCCATTTGTCAATTTTTAAAAATCGTCATAATATTTTGTATATCTATTGTTGGCACTTTGGGTAACTAATTTATGTACATGCTCCTCAAGTTGTTGTTCGTTAAGTTCTAATTTGAATCTAGATCTTTGAAGGCTTTCATATCAAACTTTTCCAAGCAGGGCAGTTCATTATCGATTTTCATGGCTTCCAAAATGAAGGCGAATTTGTCGACATTCTTTCTTAATTCCAAATAGCCTAACAATAACTTGCTTTTGAATAGTTGAAACATGCAACTCTCTTATCCATCAAGCAATTCAATGTATTCTTTTGTTAATTTGAATGGGGCTGATTCAAATTTAATCCCTCCAGGAGCAATAGTCAAGATGAATCCGAAATCTATATGTATTATATGGCCTTGGTTGTCAATTAGGATGTTCCCATTGTGTCTATCTTTGATCTAGAAGAGGTATTGCAGTAAACTGTAGGAGGCTAAACTTAATATGAAATTGAGTTAAGCTTCTTCAAAGTTGTCTCCGAAGATGCTATTGTAAATTTCCCTTAGATTCATGGAAGGCATGGTCTTTTTCAATTGATCCATGGACAAGGTATCATTGCAGAATTCTAATATTCCTGAGTCGACTGAAGTAATGATGATATCGTAGGATTTCACATAGAGTCCAACTTGGGTTAAGATCTAAGGGAGTATAATTGAAATGAGTACATCTTCAGAAACTTTAATGATTTGCATCATCATTTGTTCTTGCCTCAAATCATCTCCTCCTTTGATCAACAAACTTCTCAAACAATAGGAATTGAATTGACCATAAGGAGAGAGAGATTGGATGACTTGTCTTTTATCGTCCCATTGTTGGTCACTAAATGGGCCACTTTTCAAGTCATTCTAGGAAGGAGACTGCACTTATTGTATTACTTATTGTTAGCCAAAGTTCTTGGAATCATTTAACTATTTCTAAATTTTCTCAATTGTTCCCTTCTTATTAGGATACTCTGAAAGATTGAATACTAAATAGAATACCATTCGCAATTTAATCAAGAAATGTAATGTTGTCTAATTCTTTGTCGCTATGTTTTAATTTCTCTTCCTATTTAAACAGATCCTTAAAGTCCTTCTCGTATAATTATTTATTAGTATATGATTGGATTTGATCAATGCAACTTCTTCGACGTACAATTAACTCCTTTTTGAGAGGAGGAAATTGCTAATCAAATCTCTTTTTATCTTAATGGAGAATTTATTACCTAGCTAACTAAATAAAAAAACCTAATTCAATACCTTATCTTTATTCTCCTACAAGAAGTCTTCAAAGACAGTGTAATCAAATTGATGCATGACATCAAATTCCAAAAAGGCTTAGGAATCTACTGACAATGGCTTTTGGAGAGTGATAAGTTATTGTTCGCGTTATTCATACTCGTCCATATCTACAGTTTCAACTACCAACTTATATGGTACTCTCTTCTTGGTATTAAATGATTGGGCTTCAGTGTCAATAATGCGAACAACCATCTATGATCTGCCTTTAAACGGCAGGATAATTCCTTTGCAGTATTTGATGCCAGGATTATTACGACGAAAACACTCCAAAGCCCTATTTGCTTTTATAAGATTTCGTCTCAAATATAGTTGTCTCTCATTCAGAGGCACATTCTTAAGATGTAATGATAAAACAGTCAAACAAGTCACAAATCTATGAATAGAATTCACATAATTTGATCTGCTCTCCTTTTCTAGAAATTGATTCTCTGAAATTTGATTTACCATAGCTTCTTCTATTTTTTAATCAAATACAGCCACACTATTTTCAGCCATCTGTCTCTCTTTATAAGTATAAGCCTCATAAGACCATTTGATCTAGTGATGAGAAATTTGAAAATACTATCTCATAAAATGCTATATGTTCTGCACACTTCTTCAATAAATACTCACCAAGTTGGGGCCATCTTTTTCTTGTGAATATATAGCTAACTATATGAAATCAAATCAATACACCAATCCTGATAAGTATGTGCTAGTTTCCTCATAATTCAATTAGTCCAGTCTTTCTAAAAATTCCTTCAGGGTTGATTCTTAAACATCCTTACATATGATCTTCCTAAAGGATTCGTCGATGCTTTTCTAATTACTTTATTTCATTAATTTAATCTTATAAAATTAAATGCTCCTATTTTTGATAGCTCTTTATTCTATCTCAGTGAAAGAGTGATCTGTTTGGATCAATGAGTCATAATCTTTGTGTTTAAGGGCTTCAAAGCTATGAACATATATAACATACTCTACCTAGTTATTATCAATAGAAATGGCTATCCTAGAATATTGTTAAATACTAATGTAGATCTAAGCAGTTGATTCTCGTTATATTGTATAAAAATGATATATGATTATTATATTCAATCACTCCTGTGGAAATTGCGAGTTGCATTAAAATCTGATAATTGTGGAGAATCATTTGAACCAACTAAGAGGGTGTTTATATCAATAAATGAATCAGTGGAGAAGGTATTGTAATAATCTGAATGGTTAAAGTAAATCAATCAACAATCATGTTATTGGTAGTTAATATGAGTCTTTCATTTAATATACGAAATCATTTTCTATAACTATTGTCAAAAAGTGAAATATTTTATTAATTTTATGTCAAAAAAGAGATTGGATCGTTTGGATGCTGGATAATGTTCTACTGATCGTAGTCATCATAAAAATAACAACAGTACTGATCTCAATTTTGTAAATCCGTTATTTAATCTTATTGTAGACTCTCCATTAGAGATTGAATAGCAATGTTGATGAGTAACTACAATCCAAAATTACATTCTTTTCTAAATTCAAACAAAAAGACATGCCTCAAGTCAATGATTCTCTGTAGGGGATGGCTCAAACCTTATCTAAAGTCTCATTTAATGAAATTCAGCATCATCAATTACAAAGAGAATATGAGAAGATCAAAACCGAATTAGCTTAATTTAGAGCTTAACAAATCAAATTATATTCCACAATCACTAAATTGTAAAAAGACAATCAAACCCTTATGGAGAAGTTAAAGTTTTATGACGAAGAAAAACTTAATTTATAAAGAAAAATTTAAATTGAACAGAAGTAAAACGAAGAATTAACCAAAAAACTTAAAAGATCTGAACAGCGAATCTAAATTATTCTGGAATCAAACATCATCTTCCAAAAAGATCAAATTAAAACCACACTCTTAGACACCCTACACGAAAATGAGCATTACAAAATGGAAGCCATTCAAAAGCAAAAAGATTTACAGAAGTATTATATGATAATCAATCATAGACTCTAAATTAATAATAGTAATCTTAACCATAAATTAAATCGACTCACAAATCGAATCGTTGCAGCTCAAAGACACCAAACAGAATCCGAATTCATTGATCAAGATAAAATGGTTATCACTTTCACTGAAATCCCAACAAACTTTATCTTCAGACACATCTTCCAAAATATAGAATGCAAATAATTCATATCAACATCGCTTGAATAAACCCCAGAATAATTTGGCTCCCACTTCAATCTTATACCTTAGGATCAAAAGAAAATCCATTTAATTTGGCTATTTAATCATATGGTGAATTATCGTGAATTCAGTTAACAGCATAACAATTTTATAATTAAATTGACTGAATTGATAGTGATTAAGTATTAATACTAAAAATTATCACTAGAACTTATCCAGAATTATATTCCTTCATCTAAAACATTTCCTAGTTTTTAAAAGTATAAAGACTAACACTTTGGCTTAGAGATTATTGGACTGGTTTTTTTGAGACAATACAAGAAGGTCAGTCCTAAAAAATCATCTGTTCGAAAGGGTCATTTAAAGATTGCTTAGAATAAAGAGAGGCTGTCAATAGTAAAATAATTTTTCAACATTAGAACTCACTGCACAAAGACATCTCCTATATCAAGATAGCAAGGGAGATGATATATATCAAGAGAACACATACCTATACCCCTTAATCACAGATACTGTTCTACCTGCTGGCCTTTTAGAAGTGTTCCAACCAACACAAAATAACTCCTATTCAGATATCCAATACTTTACTGCTTTACTAGGTACTTTTGTAAAAATTGTGGTGTAAAAAATTGAAAATGAAATTGTGATGCAAAATGTTGCCAAACAAAAAGACATTTTAATAAGTCAATTCCTATGCTTGATGTAGTCAAATGACAAGCTATAATTCACAAACTCAGTAAAGGAAATGCAATCTAAACTCTTACAAATTTCAACATGTGAAATTATCTTTATAGAAAATAATCAAATGTTCAAATATGATCGTTAAGGTTTATAATCTATTAGCTGCATTGCAGGAGTATGTGGACAGATTGCTTAAAATTAAAAACCTGCCTTCTTTTCCAATCTCACAAAATAAGTACATTATAATCAATTGATTGATATGTATACACTTGCTCCAGTGTATATCTATCCAATCGTATAGGATAATGAATGCAAAGCAGTTATTGAATTAACATTGACTAATAAACAAATTGATCGTCATCGTTTTAGAGATCCATTGACTAGTTTGAACTAATAATCTAATTAAGCTCGGATGTTTTGTGAATGTGTGCAAACAGCCTATCTATGCAAATTTAATTGACTAAATTGATTAAATGTTTTATAATTAAGTCTGTAGTCTTAAAATAGAGACTATAATAATCTAAATTTAATATTCATGACTGTAAAAAAATAATTCAGAAAAATCTCTTATTATTTTTGAAGCAATAAATAAACTAATTATTATAATTGACAGAATTAATATATTCTAAAATATGATGATTGGGGAACATACTAAAGTCTGAGAATTTTCGATAATCTTTGTTGTTTAATTCAAGAAGCTTAATAGATTCTATATTTAGTTTTGATTCCTAAGTAGGATTAATGAATGTCATAAATGAAAAATGGCCTTTGAATTATTGATTAAATATGATATATAATTAAAATTAAACTAGTTTCACGTAATAATGGATCTAGATGATGATTATTTTGAAGCATTAGACATTCACATCCAAATGGTTATCATTACTAATGTAATTAATTATGCTAATGCAACCACTTTTTATGATAATTGAAAATGGATTAGAAGAGTGGAATCCTGATTATTCTTTTTTGCATCTAATTACCTTATTAATATTCAGATAAGACGTGCTCCTTTTAGATTATGACATTGCATTTACGAGAGTATATTTAGTAGTTTTGGTGACATTTACAATTCAAAAAGCATGGTAATTTACCATTACTTACATGCTATATCGAATAAAGGAACGTGAGCGGTAATTTTAGAAGATGGAAGAGTGTTCTCCTTTGAGAATTTCATTGATGATATTGGCGATATATACATAATTTTCAATGACAATATTGCACTTGATATTTTCAACCCTTTGTATAATTAGCTTTGCTTTTTGTATTTAAGATGGATAGGAATACGTTCATCTAATTTTATCCTTACTGACATATATTCTTTGGTAGGCTGATTATTTAATTACATATACTATCTCCAGTACATCTCTAACCTTTAAGCACAATTATTTGGATGTCTCATAAACTACCCTATTCACTTATCTAGCCTATCTTTTCCAGTAATTGCAAATTATAATCTATTGTATTTTACAGAACCAAAGCAGTGTGAGGTTGTGCAACATTGTACTGTTATTATTGGAAGTGCTGTCATCCTTAGTAAATTAATTTTTATTTTAAACCTACATCTTCAAAGAATCACGCCAAGTATTATATTTCACTTGTTCCCTCAAATTTGTTCTAAGCTTTTACTATTTAGGTAGATCAATCGAATCAAAGTAAATGTTTGAATATTTGATAATTCCATTGTTGTTGCTCCCAATAATGTATTACGGATTAATCTCAGTTGATACTAAACTTCATTATGAGGCCTTTGTAAATATCTTCAAAGAAGAACCAAATCTCAATAAACTTGTCTATCAATTGAAACTTATCCTGAATCAATGTGATATTGAGAAATAAATGATTCCCCTAAAATCATCCTTAATCAATAAATCGCATCGGAAGATATGTCATAATCCATCATGCATATGTTCAAATAAAATATTCATCTCTGAAATTTCATAGGCAAATGCCATAACCTAAGCTATTTTAAAGTAATTTATTTTTAACAAAATTTCATTCATATTATATTCTAAAGAAGCCTAGAAAAGTCATTAGTACAATTAATTAATAGTTGTACAAACCTTATTGCTATATGACTTTGGTTGGCTAACGGATTCCATTAAAAATCTAACTTAACTATTGAATTGCCAAACAAATAATCAGAACTTCGTTATTAGAAAGGAAATATAAAAAAAAATTGCTTATGATGAATCTTGTAATGAAACATCAACAAAGAAAGATAAATCTGATGAACATTAAACATAATTTATTAGATTGAAAATCCAGATCAGTTTAATTGATTAATGCAGAATAAACTATATTCTGTATTTAGCCAAGTCTAAACTAAAATCTTATCTTGGTACCTCAATGCATGCTTATTAATAACTAATGGTAACAGATTTTATTCAATCGTTCCTCACTTATGATTAATCTCTCAAATAAATACAGTAATAGACTGTGGAAGCTATTAATGATAAAATCGAGTTTTATTACAAAATAATAAAGGATGAGAAGTAAAATTTAAATTTATTGGGAAAGTGTACCAAAGAAATATGCTTTAAGCTTAATAAATTGAAGAAACTACTTAAATAAATATATGCAGCATACCCGTGTTCCAGTATCTAAAGATGTATATGTTTTTTTCAATGCGAATTATTAAACAATTATTACGAAGCTAATAAAACATCAACACTTACGTCGATGCAGGATGACAAAATGTTTAGGAATAAGAAAATCACTAATTATGATATTTAAGTTGATCAAACCGCCTATGCCATACTCTCCATCAAGGGAGAATTAGATGATTTCCATATAGAATAGGTGTCCTCATACTTTTTGAAATTGATTGGCAAAGCCTCAAGTAAGGATATCCATTTTTTTTAACTATTACCTCGTTTTATGAAGAATTGGCATCCCTCATTCATTCATAATTTCTTTAATGATGGATAATCCAGATATTATAAGAGTTTCAATCAAAGCTTTATTTCCACAAATACTGGATTACTTAAGACTGTTTATTTATGCTATGATATCACTAAGATTTTATCGAATCAAAACCTTGTATTCGCAGCTTTTCTATAAGAATTACCTGATTAGAAGTGTTTTTTATTATCATATGGAACGAATTAGAGATTGACATTTTCTGAGAACTTCTTTAAAAAGATAGGATTTCATCAAAAACTAATCCTTGGACTCCCTCAAGTATTGACAATAGTTAATGGACTCTATTTATAATACTTAATACCTTCATTTCCATAAGGAGATGTAGAGAGTGATACATTTTAATTAAATACTGAGATGAGATTTTTGGATGACAAGCATTTGAAAGAGGTATAAAATGAGGGAGTTGATTTGGGAATGTACATTTTGGATCCAAAATAATGGTAAAAGGAAGATTAAGTTTAATTTTATTCTGTCTCCATTATTGTAACTAAACGTTATGTGGCTTAATAATCATACTTATTAATTGAATTTTCAACTATTTCGAAAATAACTAAAAACCCAACTGAAAATTCCAAATTCTAAACTATATAAAATAATGACATAACATCACTGTAATCCTAAGAAGCTGAATTCATTAATGATAGTTTTGCATCACTGATGAACTTGAGTGATGAAGCTGAACCAAAAAAAGTTAACATTTTTGATGTCAGAATGAAAGAGTTTCTATAGAATGAATTACAAGAGGAGGATGCTGCAAATATAGTGTCATACAGGAAAGATGAATTTCAGAATAATGTATTTCCATAGAGTCATAGATTACTGCTTTCAGAGAGGAAAAAAGAAATTTAATAGGAATTTTTTAATATAGAATAGATGCGTATGGACTCAATAAAACAATCCTCAATTTATGAATCACATAAGTAGATACCAGCTGAACATAATGTTATTGATGAGATTTAATCGTAGTAATCTTCTGTAGGAGGAGTAAAAGAATCTTAATTGTTTAAGAAATTCGAAATGATTGAGAAGATAATCAAGAAAAAGAAATTTGATAAAATGTCAGTATATCTCATATTACTTTTACTACAAACAGCTTTCTTTATTTCGTTTGCATTAATTGTAATAACTTTGATATCATCGGAATTGCTGATGTTTATTCAAGAGATAGATATGATATCATTGCATGCCAGTATTATGGCACCTCATGATTTGTATCTATCCATTAAAGTAACAATATCAGCATATTAGCAATAATATCGAGAAAAGTATATAGATAATGCAACCTTATATAAATTGATAGATCCGTTGTATTAATTCAATGCTCCTTATTACTTTGATTTGCAAAATAATTTATTTGATGTGTTACAGAATGAGCATTTATAAGCATTCTTTACGGATCAATAGGCTACAGTCTATTTCATGGGGAATAATGATTCTGTGACATATTCAAAGGAATTGTCATTTAGAGAGGAATTGCTAGCAATATTGCATGCTCAGTATCAATTCAAACGAGTGTTTGATGCTCGTAAGAATGCGAATGGTTAGGCTTGTCAAGTATTGCAATTTGCAAATTACTTTAATTTGTAGGATAAATTAGAAGAATTGACAAATTAGATTTTGGAATACTCAAAAAACAGAAGTACAGCTGCTGCAGATTAATGGTTTGTTATATGGTTAATTTATTAATTGATTGCTGTTTGTATTGGACTCATTACTCTATTTTATAAGAGGAGCATATTAAAAACTTATGAGAAATTGTTAAGTTTGTTTTACTTTTCAGACAAAAACTCGTTAGAATAGGAAATATAGAAATTAAAACATCTGAATACTTTGATTTAGTAGAATTAGGATTTGTTATCAAAATATGATTTTAATTTTAGAGAAAGAGAAGAATTGGTAAATAGAAAGAAGAAAGAAAGCCAATCAATAAAATAAGAGAAACCGAAAAAGAAAGGTGAGCAAAAGTTGTAAAAAATTATTCCAATAATAGCCTTTTTTTGCATTTATATCTACTTTTTAGTATATTCAGTTATAATTCATGAAGAAACCAAGAACTATTTGACAAAGTATAAATAGACAACTGATTTTTATCGATTAGTTCAAGACCTTAGATTTAGGAGTGGAAACATTTATGTCTACAGAGAAATCTTTTTCAGATGGTCCAATTTTACATATCTCAATGCATCAGATTTAGATCGTTTATATGGTTTAGTTGAGAAATCATAGAATGTAATGTAAGTGTATGTCAATGGCTTATAACACTAACAAAATGATGAATATCTATTCTCAGATAGCTATGTTGACTTTGTAAGTTAAGTAGAGAATTCAAACCTTTGTAACTTCATAAATTCAGTAAAGTATTTAATCTACAATAGAAGTACCTGAATCTTACTCCATATTGCGAATCAGCCTTGGATGGAGTATTAATGAAGGGAATGATACCTAGTTTGAATTACATTTCTCAATCCATTCGTAGTTAATAGGAGATCAACAACTTCACTAAGAGAGCAGAAGTCCATTTTTATGAATTGGAAGGAGCTCAGGTCATTTGTTTAGCCTTTTAGAATGTATCGGAATAGTTAAAATAAGGTATGATTGAACTGACACATACTTTTAATCAAACGAATGAGGTATGTTAAATTAATAAACATATTGGTAGATCCTGTCTTATTTATTTTTCCTATCTTAATTGTTGTTTTCAATTGTTTTTGTGACCTGTTTCAGAAAACTTTTGATCTCAGAATTCACTATGTATAAGAAATCTCTGCAATTGATTCCCATTCAAGTGTTGTTAGGTGATGATTCTTTAGAAAGAGCTTTACGTCAATTTGAATTTACAGAAAAAATATGATAATTAATTAATTTTATTCCTATCACAATTTATAACCCAATTTCAGTTCAATTTGCTTCAGATATCTTTCGAAGAAGTCGTTCTTCAAAATGTCGCTCTGTGGTATCATCAAGACTCCAAATTTTATTAGTTGAAGATGTTATTTGAGATTAGTGTAATGGAAATTCACAACAAAGAAACAAATAGAGCCTAAGGCAATTAAAAAGAAGATTGACAATAACTTATAATTATCTAAATACAATACCTAATTTTAATAATTGAAACTCTCTGTTTTTTTAATGATTCCATTCTATAAGTTTTCGTTCATAAATGAAAATACTCTACTTGCAACCTATCCTCCTTCCACTTCATACAAAATGTCCTCTGCTCTATAAGTGAAATTATTGATAGCCTATTGAGTAATAATGGTCTGGTGAATGTAAGTTAAAGCAGGAAGCATGCCTTTCATCAAAGATCCATCAAATGATTTCAGACAATAAGGAGTAAGCACTTGTTTGTAATTCTCATCCAAAAAATTGCATACATCTGTGTTTTAGACTGTGAGAAAGAATTAATAGAATTCTTCAGGAACCAAAAGAGTTTCCAAATTTATCCTTGGAGCCTAATCAACATATTCCATAATCTTAGTTTGTGCAATGTCAATTAGATTATACAATCTTAATCCATCTGTCTTATTTAAGTAAGTAAGATTTCCCCATAACATAAACATTTCTCTATATAAGAACATATTACCGCTTCTGAAAGATAAATCTGCTATCAACTTATAAAATTCAGCGGTTGATTAATATTTGTTTAAGAAACTTTATGTTGAAAATGTAACTATACAAGAGTAGATTAAAAATATTACAAATATAACAAAGGAAAATATTACTGATTTCAGTTTTGATGCCCTTATCAATATTTTTCTTTTATTTTTTCTTAGAACATCATTTTCTTGTCTATTTTAACTATTCTATTGCACTTCAGTTTATAATTCTAATTAATAACTATTAATGTAATCAGTTTAAGATAGTAAATTGTTCAATAAAATTTTATGTTTTTCAGTCTCCTTTGTGATGCTTTATTCAGTTATATGTGTTATAATTTCCATTATTGTATCATACTAAAACAATATCCCTGTCTTTAAATAATATATCAAAAGAGTGAACACAAAACAAACTACAATGAAAACAATCCAAATTGTAATCCATTTATCAATTATCTGTGTACATTTGTCTCTTGAAAATTGTAAGATCTCTTGAGACATTATCTCTAGATTATCCTATAGATTGAAATAATTAGAAAATTGAAAGACTTAACAAGGACAACCCTTAGTTGGAATCCTTTTATCAAATATTATTTTAAAATCATATTGATAATTAAGTAATTGATGGATAAACTCCCTAAAAGTTATATTTCTAGAGTAAATGATTTTGTCAGTCATGCCCATGAAAAAAGTATTAGTATAAACATCCTTAAAGAATTCCTTTAGATCACTCTCTAATAAAGAAACATAAGAATTTTCCTTTAATTCATTATAACAAACTCCTACGATTGAATAAAGTGGTTCTACTAAATCACTTGTTTACGATTAATTAATCTTCTTAGCTGTAAGTAAGGCTTAATAATAATAAATCTGTGCCCTTATTGCAAGGTATCGATCATAAGGAGCTACGATGTCAGCCTAGAAAGATAACATCTCTATCTCTTTTATTTTAGTTTGTAAATCGCTGCTTAAAAGAGACAGAATTATTACTGAAAATATGCCAAACACTACGAGTGTGAATATAATAAAGAATACCATGATCTATTGTTATGAAAAATTGAAATTGCTATAAAATGAATCTATAATTTCAAACTTTTTCATGTAAGTAGGTCTTTTTATAGAACCCAAACTAGATTCCTATTATTATTATAAATCATCCTATTTTTGAGCTTATTGTAGTTGAGGATGCTTCTCTTTACTTGAAGCCTCAGCTTAGTAAAATGCAGGTTGCTAACAGTAGTATTCTTATTAAAATGAGCTATTGTGTCTTTGAACAGTGTTTATCATATTTTGACTTTTATCAATCAAATTAGATACACTATGGTTGGGGCTTAGCATAATTTAATACATTTTATCATAATCTTATTATTTTGAGAGTTCTTTTAATGCTATTGAATAGTTCTCTCGTTCTTAAATATTCAAAGTATTAACATGCTTGGCTGCTCCTTCATCTATAGATAAAATAATTGAATCTATATCAAAGATTGCAGATTCAGCATTATGTTAAGTTTATTTAAATTAAGTACAGGAAAATACTGCATTGTTTTAATGTGAAGATTCAATCATATGAGCAGATTCTAATTCGATTATAAAATAATAGAATCCGAAGATCTCTCTTCTCATAATAAATAAATTGGCTGCATATTCTTTTGTGTATCTACTATCCTACCAAACTCTACTTAATTGTGAATGATTATCAATTGAAGATTTGCTATAATTTTCCCTTTAAAAAAAATGTAATATGTCAAGAAACAATAATTTTACATTATCAAGTTTTTATTCTTATATTTCAGACCAGGTTATACTATTAAAGATTGGAATAATCTAATTGATTTCAACATCATAGAATGAATAAAAATCATCTATGTTTAATATGTCCTCTTCTGAAAATCCCAATTTTCTCAAACACATAAAGGTCATACCAGATAACAATCCATTTACATTTACTAGCCTTTTTATTCTAGTACATCTTGGAGAACGGATGCAAATACTACTCTATTATCATTTAATAATGTGACTGTATCAAAGGTCTATTCCATTTATTTGGATAATCCATTTTATTGCTTTACAAATGTGAGACTAAGATTTCTGTAATATCTTGCTTTGCCAGTTTAAACAAACCTCTAAACCATAGCAGGGTGCTCTTCTCTTATGAAGTCAGGTAATATATCAGTAAACTATATGAGATGGTCATTTGGTTACCGACCAATTATTTTCAGGAAATTACTTGAATGAGATTTAATTTTTAGATTTTATAGATCATCTTGCAATTAAAACAAAACATACATAATCTTATCAGAATAGAAGTCAATAACTTAATTGCTAAAAACATATCTCTATTATTAGTTGTTATTAATTTATTTGAATTTTTAAGCCTTTTAGTAACTATTATAAATTCGTGAATAAAAGAAAATTATCATTTATCTCAGTTTAATACTTTAATATGCTTCATATTTTGAAAGAAGTCTCTCTTCTAAATCCAAAACTTATGTGAAGTACTTCATTTTGTAAGCGAATATTTTATCAGAATTCATAGCATCGCATTACAAGAGATAAGTGTAGAATTCTATTTTCAATTTTATTATCTTAATTATCATTTTTTAAAGGTCTTCCATTTGAAACTCACTGTTTAAGTAAAAATTCAAATAATCAGACATTTACAATTATTGGGCTGTGCAAATGGCATTAGTGAAATTTTCATTAAGATACATCTATGCCTATCTCAATAAGTATTATATTTTTATAAGTTTAAGTGTGGAAACCTGAAAATTTCTGTTCATAGCATCATATTTTAAGACCTTCTTGTGTTAATTATTTATAATATCTTGAATTTATGAATCAGCTTGACTTTGTTTCATTTTCTTTTAAGCTCTATTAGTAAGAGATTTCTCACTCGATATCACTCTTACTCTATAATCATTGGATGAATTATTTAAAAATCTATTATAGTTTTTGATAGCTATGAGTACAAATCCTTGTCTCATGAATAGGGTAGCTTAAGCAATTTCATAGAATGCAGCATCTAAATTATGGATATTTCGATTCTCATGGATTTGCTTAGTAATGTTTTTTATTTTAGTGTAAATGAACTACTTAAAAATTTGTTCGGTAATAATGTTGGCTTATTGAACATCTAAGATATTTAAAGTTGGTTCCTTGCAAGAACAATTGAGATTGGAACATTTGGCTTTGTGCTGAGCCCAAATGAGACTATTTTAGAGGGGTTAAATTTCATTTTGATAGCAATTATTTGAAAACTTGACCAATTAATACACATACATAGTGATAGGTTGTTTAGTATTGATAAATATCGACTAGATGGAATTGATTTGGTATTGGTAGTCAGCGTAAAATACAATGCTGGCTAGGAGTGGCCAAATTATGATGGAATTATTTTTTAGATCTATGAATGCATACAATGAGTATGAAATTATCATGGAATTTATAAAGTATAAGGTTATTCTTTGAGACTTATAGATGTATCCTTGGTACATGAGTTAATTAGTGATCTTTAAGAGAGCAATGATGAGGGTTAAGGCTATCTAGGAAAATTAGGAAATTTCTTGTTTGTTTATTGTTCCAAAGAAAATTATTTGCAGTAATTCAATCGCATAAATGCAAATGTCAAGGGAAGTTACAAGTGACTTTTCAAATCCTCTGATGTGGAAATTGGATGAGGGGAAGCATATAAAGAGATGCAATAGAGCGTCGATTTCGACAATGAAGAAAATGATGATTCCAAATAACAGTAAAGCAAAATAAGCGGAATTTTAATTTTGAAATTACTTGAGGGTATTACTTATAGCACTAATTATTAGTGTCTATATAGGGTAGTGCAGGACAACACATAATAATTATTAATAATATGATGTGAATGTTGTAAGCATGTTGTTGAGAATGCTAGGATTGTTTTATCTTTTTAAATATCTTTAATTTTCATTTGCTAAGTTAAATATGATTCCTAATTTAGCAATAAATAAAAGCACTAGTATTATGTATGGCATAATTAGTAAGGCTAGGTTTGGGAAAAACTTGAATATAAGTATTTCTGGCCTAAAAAAGTAAAATATCATCTATTGAATAGTAGTATTTGGTATTTTTTCTTAAAATTAATCATAATCGTAATAGTAGAGATAAAATACTGGTTAACACATGCTTACAATAAAAATATATATCTTAAATGGTTCATAGCAATAGAAGGAGTCATTCAACTGGAGCATATTGCACACAATTTGATCTAAGAATTTGGAGTCTTCCTTTTTTATTATTTGTCTCATTTTAATTAAAATTCAAGCTACAAAGGAGAAACAAATAACTCATCAATAAGTGATATTATATTCTGTAAAATATGATAAAATATTCATGTTCAAATCTGTGCCTATGGAAATACATCAGGATGCTATAAAAGTATAGGTCATCAATAAATACCTATCCAGGCCTATACGATGCTGCACTAGATCGAACTCCTGATTTGGACAGTTCGTTCTACTTCTTCTTTAATGAATCCAATTCAGCAGAGGTGACAACCAACTCCTCCTAGACTTGATGATATTCTCTGTTGAGTTCCTAGAATTTGTTCTTCCAAATTTGGACATCATTTGTAAGTTTGGTAACTTCTTCATAACTTGTATTGCTATTTTAATATTCGTATTCAAGATCCTAATACATTTTGTCTAATTCATTATATCTCGATTTCCAATCCTCAATTTCTATGTTCATTTATTGAATTTGACTTCTCAACCTATCAATTTATTCCTTGTCCTCATTATTTGATTAGATAATTGGTTTGTAACTGAGTTGATTGGCCTTAAGAGAATCATACTCTGATTTCATTTGCAGAATCTTATTGTCTAATTCTGAAATCTTACTATTTAAATATTTGATGGTTGATTCTTGTTATTGGATTTGAGATCTAAGACGATTGGTTTCATAATTCTTTTATCTCAATTCATTCTGCAACCTCTCTATTTCAAGTTGTAAATTCTAAAGTTTGCCATCGTTTTCGAATTGAGAATTTAATTTAAGTGATTCTATTTCCCTATTTCGATTATCAACCATTTCCTTCAATCTTCTAATTTCAACCTCATACTAAGCAGAATCTCTCAATTATGCTTCAAGTCTTTGGTATTTTAACTTCCATTCTTCAGTTTCAGCCCTTTGACTATTTATGGAGAATTGAGCTCTGTCGATTTCTTATCTCAACTAAGAGAGAGTGGCTTCATATTCCTTAAGTGATAATTGATGTCTGCTGTCAGCCATTGATAACTCTAGAATGCGATATCTCTTAGAGAGTTCTTCATTTTGATCTCTGAGTCTAACAATTTCAGCATTTAACATGGCTTCATTCTCGACCATAATTGCTCTCATCTTATCAATATCTATTTCTGCTTATTATCTTGCCTATTTGTCTGTTGCCATATATAATTTGTGTTTGTATTGATCCAATTCCAAAGACATATCCAACAAGCACTTATTTAATCTATCAATTTCCAGATACAATTAATTGATCTATGTTGAAATTATTTGAATTCTCATACCTTCAAAGTATCTTCAACATACGTGATTTTTTCAGTGGCCCCAATTCCTCTCAGTCTCATCACTTCTGTTTGACATTCTGTTAATGCTTACTCTAATTATGAGCATTTGGCCTTCCAAACACTCTCAATCTCATCTCGAGTAACTACTGTAATTGGAGCTTCTCGATGGTACATTTCCCTAACATGAGGGTGAGTAACTGTGTGACTTTATGCATTGTCGTTCGGCTTATAGGATTGCTTATTTATTAATAAATCCAATACATAGGGTGGTCGAACAGATTGCTATGGTTAAGAATACCCATATGCCTATCCATATTGTTAAGAAGCTGGACTATATCTCATTTTTATACTGTTAAATAATTAATATAACAGAAATTCATCTGATTTTGTTTATAATGACTGAAATCCAAATCATATTCAATTCTTTTCATTTTTTCCAACCTTTCCTCCCTTATTTTCTTTTTCCATTTTATACATTTAGCCCTTCTTTTTGGATTTGCATAATTTCCAATTCAGAGTGATCTTGGAATCAATTTATTTTAACTATTTATGAAAATATTATTTATTTCCTACTTTTAAAGAATGAAGATGGTAAGCAACAAATTTGAAAACCATTCATTTTTAGAGCATATAATGAAACAAATAATTTTAATAATAAATTAATTGTATAATTATGAATTTGATTTAATTGAATATTTCCCAATCAGATTCCCCTTAAATTCAAATTTTAAGCCAGGATCGTAAATTTATCAGATTACCTCTCATACAACTATGTAAGTGCTAATGGTTTAATCAGACATTCTTGACTTTCCTTCAATATGATTTTCTCTCCTGTGAAATCTTCCTTATTATACAGTCTCACTGAATATCCTTTGGGTATTTGAATTGATCTAATGTCATGGTCGAAATTGCTATGCTTATAGAAATCTTTACTCAATATCTCTTTGGGATTCGCATAATTTAAGTGACTCTCCTTTGTAATGACATTATGAATAGATTACTATGCAATCTGAGTTTTCAGCATTCTATTGAGTTTCAGCTAATGTTACATCACACTAATACATATGTTATTTAAATCTTATTAGCTAAGTACTTAAGTACCTTCAGTATCAATCATATCTAATTGTGGGATATCGTTTGAACCCTCTTTATTACAAGAATTCATACTTAAATTTAATTTTCATTGGTGGACATTGAAGTTATTTCAGAATTTAGAGTGGAAATATTCTGATTGTCTAAAAAAAAATTATTAGGATCTTCAATAGATTTATTGTTTTCAACGTTTTAAATCGTCTCAGTGTTTGAATGAGTGAAAGAGTCAGCGAAATCAAAATGCGTCTGCTCTTATTCTGTTTAATCGGCATTTCTTTGATAGCCATCAAAATTAACCATTGTAGGTATGGGATTGGCTTCAATCTCACTCAATTCCACATTAGTTTAAGCCAGCACTAAGGCTGAAATAAGAATAATTCCAAACATAGAAGCCTATATTCGCATGGTAAAACGGATTAATTTAATATTATATAATGTTTCTCATATAAGCTCAATCTCAATTTTTTTCTCCATATCATTAAACACCAATACGCCTGGAAAAGCAGTTTAACTGTTTTGGAACGTTAACCCCACCAAAGCACAGCTAACACTTCCAACTTTAAATTTAGTAGTGGGCATGATTATTACTTTCAAATAACTATGATGATTAATAATATTGAATGTGCTTGATAATGAATTGTTGTCTGTGCCTGGCAAAAAGTATTTGACTTACGCTTTTGTTTTATTCAAACTCTCACTATTCAGTAAATAGAAGCAATTGTCATGAATCAAAGAAAAGTCAATATCTTTCTTATTAGGAACACTGAAACAATAATTTCTTATTTGTTTGATTTAAGTCACTGAAATATTTAACTCAATAAGGGAACCAATCCCTTATAAGTTAGCTTATCTTAAATCTGCAAGCAAGATTTGTGAATCAAATATTTCGCCTATCTAAGTTAATTCATTTAATTCAGGAATTTTAATCTTCTCATTCATTTCAACATTCTCATTTATTTGGTCTTCTACAATTATCGAGCCTTGATCTAGTTTAAAAAATAATAAGATTTGCATACTTCCAATCATCAATAGATTTCTTTGACATTTGAATAATCTCGAGCTTCCCAATAATGTATATCCAGGCATTTCTGCAATATAAAATATGGGTTCTTTCTAATTTTAAAATTATTGAAGGCTTCCTCGATATAATTAGGATACGTTTTCTTGTTAAATAATCAAATAAATGAAATTATTAATCAAAGTGACCTCACTTATTTTAACTGAGTCACAATCTTTATTCTCCAACTTAATGCAATTGTTTTTATCAGTATTATCATAGATATCAAATTCAAATTTTAATTTTAAAAGGTGATAAAATAGAATTAATTTAAAATTAATAATCCCTATTAAAGTAGGAGTTGTATTTCGGAAGCTTCCACGATAGATTTGAAAGATTTCATTATTTCTCTAATTTATAGACACTTCTTACATCTGCATTCAACTTCTCAATAAATTCCAAGGATAACTTATTGTTATTAAGCATTTTTGAATTGAATTCCTGTTATAATTTCAATACATCCTGTTACTAGCTAATTAATGAATGAGTGAAAGTTGATTTCTACATCCTCAACATCTATTGAGTGGATTTCTCAACAACCCATTAGGTTTCATCATCTTTTAATTCATTTTACATGTAAGTCACATCTAATTACAACTGACCCTTAATATGACAAACAGGACAAACAACTTATTTTGATTCATCTAACTACAATTCATTTTATATTTGGGGGTCCAATTCATAAAAATTAAATTAGCAGGCCTTACCCATATGGTAATAGGGGGCTTTAAGGGAATCAAGGGTTAATTGCGAGGAATTCTGAATAATTCTATAATCCTTGTTTTTCATTAAGGAAGCAATAAAAAATTAATTATAATCATTATAAAATTGCTAAAAATGGAAAATCCTTTTATATTTGTATATTTAATCATATGTCTTTAATGAATTTAAAATTATCAGGCTCCTTAAGGGCCCTTAATAAATTTTGTCTATACTTTAAATGCCAAGCTGTGTTTGAAATACGTGAATTATATACATAAGCAACAGATTGGTTTTTTAGGAAATACTAGCTAAGATTTAGAATAACGATATACCTTATGATTCGAAATACTCTATTGAAATCAGGATTCTTTCCTCCGTCAACCCATAAATCTCTAAGTTATTTGATATTTGTCATTTAATTCTTCTTGGTTTTCAATAACTAAACAAAGCTATCATATTGGTCCTTCTTCATGAATCCTAAAATCAGTTCTTCGTTATTAAGAATATATGAGATGATTGCTTTTGAGAAATTCTTGGTAATGTTCTTTGTATCGTTCACTTTCGATCCTTTCTTTTTTCTACTAATCTTATATGAATCAGAACTCTCTTAAAATACGCATCTTTTTCTAGTCGTACGTTTGCCAATTTTGATTACTTTTTTGTCATCCTTATTTTAATTCCAACTACTCTCACTCATATTAACTACTTCGCTTTCACATGAGTCTTCCTTGATAAGCAATTTCAACTCTTCTTTTTTAAAATGGTTTAAGTTGGTATTCGTCTGTTATTTTTAAATTGAAGGTGGTCTAATGATAAATTGGGATGGAGAATTAATTTGAGTGACCTTAATCTATCTATCCAAACTCTTGTTCGAATATGGCGGTAATTCGTTTTGTTGTGGTTGTTGTTGGAATGGATAAAATGATTATCTGGGTGAGTTAAAAAAATAAGACATCATGGGAGTGATTTGTCTATTTTAGGATTGAAAGACATCAAAGGGTTTGTGGATTAGTTTGCTATCAAGAGAACTATTGACAAATGGTCCTCTCAGATTGTTCAACATAAAATCATTGTTGCCATCAAATGATACTCGTTGGGATATATCAAAAGTAGTATATTAAGGGTTGAAAAATAAGTTGTTAGATAATGGTTAATCAGATGACAACTATTGGACCTGGGGATCAAGTGAACTTTAGACTCTCAATCTATACTATCTTATGGGATCGAACGAAGCATCCACTGAGGCAATATCTGAAGGCTTTGCAATATAAGGAGTGAATGACTTTGCATTTTTCTTTATTCCTTCGGACATATTTATTTATATGATATAATGATAAAAAATAAAAGAAAAATGTTGATAATTCAAATAGTTTGATGATTATGCCCTGATTTTAATGTTACGATTTCTCGTTGTAATTTAGCAATGTATTACAGAAGGACTCTTTCTCTGTTGTTATACGAATCCAAAATGAGTTTCATCTTATTATAAATAGCCTAAAATTATCTATTAAGTCTCTAATTTTAATAAGGGTTCTTCTTTCTAATTTTAACTTGGGAATCCCCTAATTCTGAATAATCTATAGATCTTGTAATGTGTTTTGGATCTATAAATTTTCTGTATATTTTAGATGATTGCATAGTCGTTGGTTGTTGAGACTAAGAAAATCGAGGTTTACGATCCTGAACTGTATCTACACTTTTAGCCCTAGTTTTAGAATTGAAAAGGATACTGGAGTGAAATCATTGCAGGCGTTTGAATTTTAATTGCTGCACTATATTAAGATCTAGGTTTCACTTCAGGTACCTTTTCAGAATCGATAGTTTTAGACATCCAATCAGAAATCGTAGCATATCGTTGTCTTACTTTGAATCGTATATCATCATCATAGTTCTTCAATTTCATTTTCTGTCTTTATAATTAATCTTGTATAAAACAGAAAAATATTAATTAGGAATGAAAATATAGATCGAAGGTGCCCTGTTTGATTTGCATCCGTAATTCAAAGTTCATTCTGATTTGTTGAATCAACTATACGATCCTAGATCTTAGGAAGTAGGACTCCCTATTTAAATTAGCCAATTTAATTGCAAAGTCAATATGTCAATAAGGAAATTTGGAAGATTATTGAAACCTACTATGTGTTGAACAACTTTAAGCCCATGCAAACCGAAGTCAATTGTAATTGATTTAAAATATGGGAAAAGGTGATGACGAAAGCAAAGTATTTGCACCTCAAGATTTAGAAGTACTCAGAATGATAAAGAATTCAAACATATCAATTCATTAGTTTCTATTGGCAGCCAGATATCTAAATTTACCTGCGTTTTAGGGTGTAATCATTAGGACATTATTAGATCTGTTAATTAGTAAGTTGGCTACAGAATTTTATGTTGATGTTACTAAACCAAAACAATCTCTTGAAAATCTATGTAAGAAATACCCTTAAGTGCCTGTGGTCACTAAAGAAGAAATCAAATAATATAATTAAGTGTTGTAATACTTAATTTGAGAATGCATTTTCAATCCAATTGTTCAATAATAGCCATATCGTGTGCTGTTCTTAAAACTTTAGTCCATGTTATTTTTTCTATACAGTTGACTTGCATTCTACTAAACCTAAGGTCTTGTGGCTTATTATTAAAGTGTTTTGTAATAGTTTTAAATGATCTTTGATGATCCCAACCCCGAAAAATCACTCTGGTGAGTTTCCCTATTTATTAACAACATTCTAATACTTAAATTGTTTGAATCTCATGTATTCTACGTAGTCTTAATAATCCTATTGATCCTCAACTTTCTCATGGCGAATCGGTTGTTGATACTGATATTAAGGTTGCTATTGATATGGATCATAATATTGATTTGAATAATTCCAATAAGGAGGTGGTCTGATTCATAATATAATCTTACTAATAATATTGTTATGGTGGATCAGTATTTACATGCATTCTATTCATAATACTTTTTGCTTAAAAGCATACTCCATGAATATCCCTTGCCAACGATTAAACAGTTGCTTATCATATATTTATTTTATACGTTCCTAAGGTTTCTCTTCTTCTTCTTCTTCCTCTTCTTCCTCCTCTTCCTCATCTTCTTCCTCTTCCTCATAATCTATACATAACAACTATTTCATACCTTCTTCGTCACTCATTTATTATAAAAATAAATATAATACAATCAGTTTAATAATGTACCTTTAAAATTACTTAAGAACCCACCTTAAAATTATGCATAAAATCATATAGATGATTTTAATAGAATCAGCATCGATGAATATCTTAGACTCTTTTGATTATTATTAGTATAATAAATATAATTTTCAACACTCTCTTCTAATCTTAAAATCTATTGATTGGTTAGTTCTTCTCATAAAAACTTTAGTTATACAGTCATAAATAGAATAGAATCAACCACAACTTTGTTTTAAATATAACTATTTTTGTATTAATTATATTTGTATGAATCAAAGTGATGATAATTTTCAATGGTCTTACAATGATCACAATCTTCTCTATAAAAAGTGGCGTGGACCTATTAATTCGATGCACAGTTAACCACTAATTAAAATTGAAGTTGACCATAAACCAAAAATGATGTTGCAATTACCTGATGTATTCATGACAACTAGATAAAATTAATAAAAAGTAACTGAACCTTAGAATCTAGCAATCCTTTAGTGAAATTCCAAAAAAAAATAGAAAATCAAGTTAAGTAAGTTTGAACAGTTTAGAGGTTTCTCCTAAAATTACAAAAATGAATTAAAATAAAAAAGATCAAAAAAAATATAAAGATCTTTCAGAGTTATAAAAGAGTCATTGTCAATTTAAGTGATTATTATAACATATTCCAATAGAAAATCACTTAATAAAGTAAAGAAATCGCACTTAGGTGACAATAATTGTGAGATCAATACAATTCATCCAAACTCATCCTTCTACTTAAATGGGGTCAAATTACCTTACAGTTTGTACATTATCAACAAGAATCGTTAAATGGCCATTGCTAATTTAATAAATCAAGCAAATCCACATGCTTATGAGTAATCGTAACAGTAAATCTAAATGATTGACAACTAAATCAAATAAGTTCGTAATATTGGCCCTTATTTCAGGGATCGAAAATCAGAGCAAATAAAAATTGAAGGACTACAGAAGTCGATCTTACTTGCAAAATGCTTATTATTCAATGTTATGTGTGAACTCTGATTCCAAGAAGAGGTTGAAGAAGATCATACATCGGCAATTCCCTTAAGAGTCTCGTTTCTAGCAGTTATGAACAAAATTATATTATATTTATATTAATATTTGTTAATAATGATAACTACGCCTAATTGCATTGAATCTAAAATTTATGAAGCATAAAATAGCACTCAAACACTAAAATCAGAACAAGAGGAATTCAAATAAATTTTACTAAAATTATGGATTTAGACATCAAAATCCTTTAATGAAGACTTTGAAGAAATCTTGTAACTTGCTATCAATTCAGATATCAAAGATGTCGTGAATTCTATACTTATTATTGAAGAGGCAAGACTAGAGCAAATTATAGTATAAAATAATTTTATATTTTTAAGACCGATAGGTAATAGATTTAAATTCTTAAAGATGAAATCCAAGCCTTGTAATAATAGAATAGTCTTAATTCTGTAAATAATGAACTAAGAGAGGCTCAACAATAATACAGACAATTGAGTGAGTTAGTAATTCAATTAAAATAATCAAATGAAGAGAAAGAGCATTAAATTTTGGAATAAACTAAACTTAACTAATAACTATAGATTGAACTCAATTTATTTACATCTTAAATAACTAACTTATCATTAGCTTTGGTTTAGTCTAAAGAAGAAAAAATATAATATATGGTATAATCCTAAAAAGAAATTAAAAAATTAATGGTGAAAGATCTACAACAAAGCAAAATGATCTAAGCTCTTTAGATCCAAATAATTGAATTGGAAACTTTGGTAAAATAGACAAGTCAACGAAACTCAGTTGAATCTTCAAATCATTAGATCTCCCAAACTTAACGGGAAGAAGATCAAACCAGACTACTAAGTTGTTCACCAAGTACAATTTCAACATATATTAAGGAACAACTCATATTGATTTTTCGAAAATTGTTTTATAAAGTCTCCAAAACAAAAAAACTGAAATGGTCTCAGGGTAATCGCTTTCCTAAATTCCATACAGATTTGGAAAATGATAATCATATCTATAATTGTTTAATAATGATATTTTATAGATCTATCTTTTAAAATTTAAAATGAGGCCAGTATTAGATCGGATGGTATTTTCAACATTTATAAACTGAATTAAAGAAATAAATAGAAGAATAGAAGACTTTGTAAGAAATTTTAATTATTTTCTTATTATTATATAGAGATTCACAATAATTTATTCATTCCCTTCTAATAAGGTTTTAATTCTATTTAATATTTTTACTTTTTATTTAAAATTACAACATCATCTTCTTTTTTTATAGGTTTTCTTTTCTTAGCACCTTTCTTCCCTTTATTATCTTACTTTTCTTCCACCTCTTCATCTTCCTGTTCATCTTAACCAAAGATACTAGTTTATGTAAAACCATTCTTAGGCAAAGAGTCATCCTCTATAATAATTGGAGATTCTTATTAAAAATTTTCTTTTTTCTACAACTAAACTTAATTTGAAGGCATCAAAGTAGCATTGGATTTACTTACTTAATTTATATTAGTCTTAGCTATGTCAATTCTAAAATCTTCCTGGAATTTAGTAAACATCTAGCTTATATCAAGTCCAAAATTAGTGCAATATAATTATTCACATTTAGTTGTACCATCAAAATTTTTAATGATTGAATCTCGAATCGAAAATATCAGAGAATCTTAATATTCTCTTTGCTTTTTCACAATTTATAATATTCTGTTATTATACTATGGTACGATGTTGTCTTTAAATTTCTCAATTGTCTTCGGATACAAATCATTGAATAGATTGGTCTTCTCCTTATTGGTTGATGATAAAAAGTTATCGAGTATATTTAAGAAGTCTCCTTATTCTATGATTTAGAAGTTTTATTGATACAACTTAGTCGATAGCTTAAAATATGAGATTTATAATTACCATATTTGAGAACTCATTCATCATATGTTAGTTTTGGGAATTAACCTCCACTTTGCTTTTTAAGATATTATCAAATTATTGATTAAGTAATTATGCTTGTTCTTTTCTTTTTTATATCTAAGCTTATAGATTTGATTTCTTCTCCCAAAATTTAAATATTTAATCTGGATTGGAGACTCTATCAGCGAATTTAGTTTCAATATATCTCATTCTCATTATTTCAAATCCAGAATATTCTACTTTAATTCTGAGCAATGGCTTTTTCTATCTAAATGAACTGGTTTAATAGTAATTTACTAATTCCTTTTCAACAAAGTCAAACAGTAATTTTTCAGCAATCTCCTAATTACTAAGATTTTAATTATTTTCTGCAGTCTTTATCAATTCACTTAACTCTACACTCTTATAAATCATAGGTCTATAGCTTTTTTCAAGTTTAATGCTTTCAAATTTCATTTGATTCTTTGTAAGTGTAAACAACCCTGCTTATTTAATTAGAGATTCATATTCTATTATAGACGTCGCAACAGTACTTCCTGGATAAAACACTTAATAGTGCTCACAAGTATCTAAGGTATAGATTCTATGATAAAATCAATTAAAAATATTACGCTTCGTGTTCATGACCCCAAATCAAAAGATCAATTTTATATTTTTTAAAATAAAGTGGATCAATAAAATTCCTTTCATCCTAAAAATGATTGCCTTTATATTTGTTCTGGTGAATGATTAGAATATTAAAATTATTTTCGTCCAATGAATCCAACACCAATTTTCCCTCATTTATTATTTTGTGTAATTAGTAATCCTTCATATAACCTAAACCATAGAGTGCAATCTTTTAATTATTCTTAACAAGAACAATTGGTTTTATACAAACATTTGATTAATCAGTGATTTTTCCAATATAATTTAAATATTTTGATTCATGTAGTATATCTAAGATGGACACACTTTCATTTCTTTCGGTGACAATATCGTCATGATTACCATTGATTATAAAGATTGGTAATTGCACATTAAAGTTAGAACAACTAAAATTAGGTTAATAATTGAGTGAATTGACTTCCATTTAAATTCCGCCAAAATTATCTCCAAACACATGTCTCTGAAGGATATCAACACATTTGAGTAAACAATGTTCTGTAGGATGTTTCTCGTGAAATAAATCCCTTATTTTAGACACAAATGATACCCTCCCAATATAACAAAATCTACATTTTATTGTGAAGCTATTTAAAGGACTTCCTCGAAAGCATCAAAAGCATCTTAATATCTATTTGACTTTGGTCCCACATTTTCATTTGCTCCAAGATGATTATCTGAAGCAACTAAAAACTTAGATATAATTGTGAAAGTCAAATACTTTGATGAATTGATTCCTATTGATTTACATAAATAATAAAATTTTTAGAATCGAATAATAATGATAAATAAAAAAGTGCAATAAATCACAGTTTATTATTACCTTTTAAGTTATTAAGCCTTTTATATTATTCGCTATCCTACTTGTAAGAGGTGAGATTTCTAAATATTTGATAGATAAGAATAATACCCAAAATTGATAATATTTTCATTTCCTTTGTTTATTTGGTTAGGTTGATCAAGAATAAGTTGTTATCTAATGAGTTATATGGATTCTTCATTTCTTCGAGTGATTTATTCCAATTACTCTAGTTTTTGGAGAGATTGATAGCCATACTAAAACTATGGATGAATCAATTACATCTTATTATTTTTTGCTTTCGCTCATGAAATCACAGAGCTGATGCTGTATATTTCTATTGAATTAATCTAATTAATCTTATCTCATTTTAATGGTATTTATATCCTTTTACATTTTATTCATTTGCAGTTCCATTCGTCTATAAGATTCCTATTATTCAAGGTTCAACTTCTTTTTGCTATCTCCCTTAAGTAGAGTATTGAATAATGAACTTGATAACTCGATTTTAGACTTTTAATGTTGATCAGAATTTTGTTTATGACTATTCAATTTGCTCCCATTTAATTCAGCTCTATTCCTGTCAGGTGTCAGACTGGAACTGTCATTTTTATTATTAGATTAAGATATGATTTAACTATGTCTTTTTTGTAGTTCATTCGTGAAGCTAAGTTATTTATTTTTATCCTATGCATCACTATTTAATGTTTTTTGAGTTATTTCCTTGATGGGATGACTGCTTTTAATCATATATTAGATTTATGAAATGAGATTAGAGCAAGTGCCCTGGTTTTTTAGGTTTTCCTTCTATTCTTAGGATCTATTGTTTTTGTTACTTGAATCAATCATTTGAGTCTTTTTGGCTGATTGCATTGATTATTCTGTTGATGATGCAATGTCAGTCTACTCTGGAATTTAGAATAGCACATTGCCAAAGCTTTGATTCTTTTGCATTATTTTGTGCGTATTATTTTCTTCAAGCAATCCTGAAATTTTGGAAGTTATAATTTGTTAGAAATCATTATTGGACAATGCCCTTCTGTGATTATTTTTTGGCTTATTCATTCAAATTCAAAATAAATAATAATCGATTATATATATATTAGATTAAATAATGTTTGGATATAAACTCTTCACTATTGTAAGAGAAAAAACTGTTGTCATCGTAGAACAATTAGGAAAATATAACAGAACCTTGCAACCTGGATTGAACATCCTAATTCCACTCATTGACCGAGCAGCATACACCTAATCCCTAAAAGAAGAAATCCTCCCAATTGAAAAACAATAAGTTATAACAAAAGATAACGTTGCCATCCATCTTGATGGAATTGCATTCATTCGTATTATCGATCCATTTAAAGCATCCTATTAAGTACCTCGCTCTTTTCATTTAAATAGGTTAGTGAACCTTAAAATGCAATCAAATTGTTGTGTCAAACCATTCTCAGATCAGAAATTGGTAAATTGAAATTAGATCAACTACTACAAGAACGTGCTGCCTTGAATCGTGCACTGTAAAGTGGTCTAAGTAAAGCTGCAGCCGAGTGGGGATACACTAGTTTGGGCGTTGAAATACTACAAATTGAAATACCTGAAGAAATCAGAGCTTCAATGCAAGCCTAAGTCGTAGCTGAAAGAAATAAAAGAAGAGAAATCTTAGAAAGTGAAGGCAAATAAATTAGTGAAATCAATATTGCTACAGGTGCAAAAACTGCTGCCATCAAAATTGCTGAAGGAGATGCAGAAGCCGTTAGACTTGTTTCTCAAAATGAAGCTAAAGCCTTGACTTAAATTAGTGAAGCTCTATAAGAATAATCTAAAAAAAGAGTCTTGGATTATATTCTTTTATAACATTACTTAAAAGGATACTCAAGCATTTTGAAATCATCCAAGGTTGTAGTTGTCCCTAAAGCAAAAGAAGGATAAGGAAATGACTTTATGAGTTTGGCTGCTATGATGATGTTTAATAATTAAAATTCTCCAGTCCAGAAAATCATCGAAGTTCCCTCTAAGCCAAGTGATGGAATTAGTAATTCTTCAGTTTCATAATCAGAAATAAGTAAATTGACTTAAGACCAATTGGATAATCTTATTAAAAAGAATGTTTATTATAATGATCCCAGGTAGTTATTTAAATATTCCTAGGCTCTATTCAGATGATGAAGAAAAAAGAACATTTTGAGTATTAAATAAATAAAATAAATTATAAATATCCTTAATTAAAAAAACTCTAAATTCAATTAATTAGATATATAGGATATTCGACATCAAACATTAAGAAATATATAATTCGGTTATGGATCTCCTTCATTTTATAAACTAGGAAAATTAAACTTTACTATACATATGAAGTTTTAGATTCTATATTTCATTTTATTATTTTTAAATAATTGATGACAAATAAAATTATTCTATAATTTAATTTAATAGAAATAGAATCAATTATTATTGGAATCTATAATATTAAGGATAATGATAATTTAATTGATTATATAATGAGTAATTTGATATTAAAATTAAGGTGTAAGGAACATAAAAAAAATAAAATAATCGGTAAGTGTGATAATAATACCTGCTCAAAAGACCCTCTGTTTTGCATTGACTGTCTGGCATAGGATTATCATTAGAATCACTTAGAAGACACGACCAACTTTGGTGATCTTGAATTTATACTAAAGGAAATATTACTATAATGGTCAATAAAAAATAGAATTACAAAAAGTGTGAATTCAAAAAGTGAAATTTCAGAAGTATAATTAGACGAAGAAACTAATTAATTAATATTAATAAACAATTAGATTTAATACATAGAATCAAATGATTTACAGCTAAATTAAGAAAACGATTAATTATAAGAAATATAAAATTAAGAAACATTAATTTAAGAGAAAATAGAATGTGGTTAATGTCATTAGATTTAGGAAATAAGTCAATATGTGAATGATGAAAAAAATGGAATTAGCAATAACTGTTTAGACTAAAAATGTTCAAAGTGTTAATCATCCTTTAATTATCCTTTAAAAAAGATTGAAAACAAAAATTATTGTACAGAATGTATAAAATGCCATGAATGCAATAGGTAAGAGCCAAGAAGGTCGGTAGGGTCATTTTTTTATCATGAGGATGGTTTTTTATAGATATCGAAAAATTCAGAGCTTAAAAAAGTCATGATTGCTTATATTAAAAAATATTTTGGAACAAAAATTAAAAAAGGAGATAATAATACACAGATTTATTTTCTTTCTGAATCATATCCTTGTTTAGCTTTAGAAGATTACTCAGGATATATAATTGGTTATAATCATCCAATTATTAAAAGTAAATTACAAATTGATCCAAAAACATATATAATAACAGAAGAATAGGCTAATATATATTTAATTGAAGATTTAGATTAATATGAAAGAGAGCTATATGAATTTTATTTAAGATAAGGCAGAAAACCAGAAGATATCCCTGAAAACGTCAGAATGCTATTGCTTTTTGTTCTATTCATTTTTAAAGATTTCTCATCTGTTCTTAATTTAGTTCAATAAAAAACTTATAGACATCTCTATAATGATATTACTAAATATCAATATCCAAAATAAAATAGTGTGTCTTTTCTAAAAGGTAAGGTTGAAAAGGCATTAGATTCTTTAGTGATCGTTTTCATAGAGAAGATGGAAGTATTAGAGAAACAACTATTATTAATAAGTTTAAGAAAATTTTACCTACCTATAAAAGAGAGTGAATACTATTCTAATGATTTGATATACAACCAACATCAGATTATTTATTTATTATTAACATTTTTAAATGCCCGTTCTATTCATTCAAGTATAATGCTGATTTTTAATTACTTAAATTAATTAACCTTAAGCTCCATGTATATAATCTTCATTATGAATATATTTACCCATAATAATAGAATTTATGATAGTTCAAAGAGTCCTTAGAACCAAAAGATATGATTAAATATAACATTATATATTTCTGAAAGAGAATTATGATTATCATAACTAAATTCTATTTAAATGTAATGGCTGTTGTAGCAGAAAATAATTAAACTAAACAGAAATTTATAATTGTTGAACTTTTGATTTAATATGAGATTTTTAAGGGTGAACTATGAAATTATTGGATGATCTACAGATTCTATACAATATTTGAATAAATTATAAGAGTAGATTAATAATTCAAAATCAATGTAATTTAAATATTATTAAAAATAAAATAAATATGAAGTATGTATAATGGTAATCTATTATTGTCAATCCTTTGTTATTTTGATATTAGCAACACTAAATTCAATTATTTCGTAAATATTCTATCTCTTCTTATGTTTTAGATTTTATCAATAAAATAATATCTTGATTCTATTTCTTGTCAATAAAAAAAATTAATGATGTTCGAAAGTACCTGTTAATTTGAAAGCCATGAATTAAAACCAATTTTGGGAGTCTGCACAAACCTAACATGCAAAAATTTTAGACCCTATTGTCATTAATGTCTGATAGAATTTCACTCTGATCACATTACAGAGATTAGGGATTTACAATAAATATCCTTTTGGGCTTAAAGTTGTGCTCCATTATAAGAGCAGTTGATTTAATCAATCAATTAATATAGTAGCATAGTTGACAAACTTACAAATCTGAAGAACTCTTTAGAATTCGATACTTAAATTGATCTATCATAACTTAGATTGTCAGATTTAGATTGCCATATAACTTGCGTAGTAAACTTATCTTCAATTTAAGATTTCATTTAAGAAATCTTCAATAAGTCACAAGATTAATTAGAATTGGTGAGTATTTTGTGCAAAGAAACAATTTCATTATAAAGTATCATTTTTATACAATTATAATTTAAGAGTTTAAAGATAACATATATTACCAATAAGATAAGGCTGAAGAACAATAGGTTGAATAAATAGAAATAATTTCTGAAACAAATGAGAACTAAAAATAATCAATTGAGAAACAGCCAGACATCTAAATAGTTTCAAATGTTGATGAATCTAAAATGAGAACTCCAGAAAAATAAAAGAAAAATGAATAACCAAAACCTAGAAATTCAGAATAGAATCGAAAGCAACCATAAAATTATTATGTCAATACTCCTTAAACTAGATCTTAGTCTTACAAAAATTAAATCTCAGCAACTCAATAAAGAAATAGCATAAGTAATCTAAAAAAATAAAATATCCAACAAAAACCAAAATAATTATTAGTAAATACTTTTTCATTATCATCAAAAGAACAAAGCAATTTATTGTAACTATTAGGAAACAAATCTGAAGATGATAATAAAAAATCTATAAAAACTTAACCTAGTGAAATTTAAGCTCCTTGTTTTCAGGATTAGATTTTTATTTAATAAAAAGAACTATCTCCACCTAAAGTATATGGATTTAGATTTTCAGACAACTTAAAATCTTAGAGGATTAAATTATAGAAAGATGGCAAGGTAGCAAAAGGTTTTGGAGGATTTGTTCTTTGTGAACCTTGCATTCCAATGGAAGGACAAAGTACTTTTGAGATTATGATTGATAAATGTGATCTAGTATACCTTGGAATTTGTAACAAATACGCTGTTCAATCATATGATTTTGAGCCTAATATGCAAGCATTTGACACTCATGGGTATTTGTTTTTATCATCAATAACATTAGTTCCTATCTAATTAGTAACAATGGATTTTCATATTCTTGCTTTGAGTAAGAATTGAACAATGTCAAATAGAAGTTGAATTTTAGTTCAGGAGACAGGATTACGATTATAGTGAATTATTTGTAGTCCTAAATTACATGGAAAACTAAATATAAAAATCTACTTGTATTATATTGCTTATTATATTACAGACTATGAGATTTGATAGTACTAAGGAAATGTATGTATGTGTGAAATTTTAAAAACTGAGATTTTCAAATGACTCTTAAGTAGAAATTTTGAATTATGAATTAAACAATTGATTATTATATAATATTTAAAATGAACAAATTGCCTTATCAACCACTTGGGTTTGTGTTGAAATTTGATCCACCCATAATTGGATTGTTATACCATCCCATCGAGAATAAGAAGGTGAATAAGAAAAAGAAGAAGTGTTATGCTATTCATTTGAATAATTTGATCTTTTTGGTTGAACCTGAAGATATTGTCGAGGCATTGTTTAATGAGCATCAAGAGTTCTTAGATCCTGATGTTGTCAAACCACAACAAGTACATTTGGTCATTTGATAAGGTCTATAAATTGGTGTTGCGATTAGTTGCTTACAGAGATCATTAGTTAAGAAATATGTAAGAAATGGGAGAAGAAATGGGTACTTTTATTTTACCATATTCAAGGTGATGGTTATTATGAGGAGGAAGAGGAAGAACCTGTCTAACAACCAAAAGGTAAAGGAGGAAAAGCATAGGCATAATAACGAAGAGCGAATGATAATAATAGATCATTTTGATTTTTTATATTATAACGATAATTACAATTTGAATTTAATTTATGAGGAGATAAACCCTCAAACAAGATCTTTATTCACAAATCTCGACAATCGGACAGTCATCCTCATCAAAAAGGAGCAACCTCAATATTGACGATTTGATATATTAATTCAAAATGAGGAAATCGAATTACAAATTAGCAAAACAATACTCTGAAATCATTAAAATATTTGATAACAAGCAATCACCCAAATAACCTTTTGAATATTAAAGTGGTCAGTTATAGCTTAGATCATAAACACAACTGATGCAAACTAAAGTTAGATTACGAACAGATGAATCCCAGGAACTATTATAATTGCAGGAAACAAAATAAAGACTGTCACATTAAATAGACATTCATCAAATCATAAATGAGACATCTCCTATTAAGATTACTCCCAGACTTAATTATGAGAATTTCAAGACATTTTAGGAAACCGAAAGAAAATCATATGAATCAAATAATTATAACACACATTTGGCTAATTTCGGTCCTTTATCTTCTAATCAATGCGAAACAGATGAAGAGATATAATAGATTTCATAATAAAGTGTTTAAAAACTATCAAAATTTAGAACTTTAGAATAAGAGCAATTTTAAAAATGTTTTAATAAAATTAGTTCTCAAATTGAATAAGTGAATATCAAATTCAAAAAACAAGGGTTCTTAATGATTAAATTATTTTCTAAATGGACCGTTAAGGAAAAGGCTACAAAAATGTATTTTAGGTTTTTTGAACACAAAATCTAGTCATACTTTGATCTCTTTTAAATTTATGAACCATCAATAGAAGAAAATCATAATGATAATCAAAATACAAATTAAAGTATATTATCAGAACATGTTTTAACCCCAATTAATTTGAACATTTAAAATTTTTAAATCCCTACTCTTAAACCTGTAACTTCATTTGGAGCAATTAATGTATGATATTTAAATAATATTATTAGTTTGAGGAGTATTTGAAAAAGAAGAATCAGAATATTGAATGAATGTTTAATATTGATTTACTTAATTTATTAACAAAATATAAATTTATTCAAAAACAAAATAAAAATCATATGACCCAATTAGATCCATCTTCGAAATATTTTTATATTAGTTTATTATGGAATCTTGGATATTCAAAAAAGTCATCAAATTCCGATATATTTTTTTTATTTGGATACAAACACTTGAATTGACCAAGTCGTAGTTATTCTTCTAATGATTGTAACATCACATCTAGATCTTCCTAATTGACTTTTTATCTAAAGTTTCTTGAATTTATTGACTAAATTTCATTGATATTTCTTTCATATAGTCTCTTTTTTATCTATACCCTAAAAGCCTTTTTATAATGATATTCCACTCCTATCAAATGCAACATATCTGATATCAATTTAGTTTTTATTTAAGCATCCAAATCTGATGCTGAGTTTAAAGAAGGACTTACATTCACTTCCAGTAACCAAGGCTTTAATGTTTCATCTATCAATATATCGAATCCAAATAATTCAAAGTAATTATTTTTATGCTCAGAGGCTAATAATTATAAATAGATATATTTACTTTTTCCGTTTCTATCAAGTAAAAGAGGTTCAGCAGCAATGCAAGTCTTCAATACTACATCCTCGATAGATTTAAATAAAATCTTATGGTTGATGCCTTAGTTGGCTAATTATTGCTTGTATTCCTTATGCGACCACTTCGATGCCTTTACTTATTATTCTATATTTTAATTATTAGCTATGAAATTAGGAGATTGCTTATTAACTGAAAAATTGGTTAAATGTATGAATCTCTTCTTAATATCTGAACTTTTAAGTGAATATTCTTAAGTGGCAAATCTGACCAAACCATCTTTATACATATAAACTCTCAAAGGATCAATGGAAGTAATCAAAACATAGACTCTAAGATCGTATTTAAAATTATTAATTAGATGAGGATTGGAGATGTAATCCATAACTAAATATCTTTTATCTGCAGTCAATTTGGTCTTCTTATTGATTAATTTGATTCCATTTCCTCTAGCAGAAGCAACTGGTTTTTTAATCCATAAAGTCTTTTTCGGAGCACACTCTCTGACTCCTTCAAATCTCTCAAAATCATGCTGCAATAAATAAGTGTTTGGAATAAAGTAGTATTCAGTTGGAAATTTTCTTTTAACTTTAGAAAGATGGATCCATAAATTATCCTTTCTGCCTACACTCCAACAACCAGGAAAATGATTAGTTTTTTAATATTTCTTCATTTCTTTTAAGGTTTCCTTGCTTGCTAATCCCCAATAAATTAACCAATTTTCTTCATCGATTCTCTCAAATCCAGCTGCCTCAAAAGCACTTAGAATGCATTTGAATGGCACTTATCCTTAGAGTTTATAATAGAGTGGTTTTTTGATCTGCTCTACTAAAAATTGTTAAGATCTTGTTTCCTGAAGCATTTCTTAAATATCATATAATTGTACATGGGTATGGAAAATAGATGGTATATATGTGGGGTCTATAAGGAGACTGCCAAACAAGGTGATATTGTTATATACTAGTTGTAGTTGATGGTTCCATCAAGGAACAATCGATTTCTAAATTTCTCTCGGTCAATACTTTATTAGTACAACTATCGGTTTATGAGAATATTTATTTTTGTTTTATCTGTCTTGTTATTAATGATCGGTTGCGTATTTTAGGTTGCTTTTAAATGACTTTGATAGTGTTATTTTATGATTGTGATTAAGAAGTAGCTCTAGAATGTATGGTTAATGAAGATGTAGCTAGAGGGGCATAAACAGTTTATACTTTTCTACTCTCTATTTATACCCTTTTTTACATTTTATTAATTAAAATAAAATCATTAATTGTGCTATGACGATGTATGCCATGGTAAATCAATATTATATAATCGCTTAGTAGAATTGGAAGAGCCATAAAATACAGTGTTTTAATTCTTTTTATCCTGTTGTTCATTCTCAAATATTTCTATTTCCTCATCCAAAATTTATGGGATCTAAAATATAAAGGATCAACTAACCTTTGTTTGTGATAATCTTGGTTTCTAGTGCTCTTGATTACTAATTGCTGTAATGGGTCTAGACATTTTATTGTATGTGGGCATCACGATAGCAGTTGATGGTCTCAAAGATGTTTAAGATTGAACTGCTAATCTGCCACTTGTGTTTCTCCTCATAGATGCTTTCGTGCTGACTGCACTGGATGCTCGTTACAGATATTCCGTCATAAAGGCCGGATCTTACATCATTTTTTTATGCTATTAAACATCCAATCTAATATCATCGATAGCTTCAGATATCTATATTTTCTAAGTTTATTTCTAAAATTGAGGATGTTCTTTTAATTATTTAATTGTAGGTATGCTCTTCCTTGATTCCTCTTATTGTAATTATTTATTATGTTAGCCACTTTGAGATTACAAAAATTCTTTTGAGCCTGCGAATTCTTCTAATAATTAAACTCTCAACATCTTTCCATTTAATTTAGAATGATTCAAAATTTGCTAAGCATTTTTTAATTTGGATTTGATTTCAACATATAATTCAGGATCTCTTAAGAGTTTTTTAAATTCCCCAATGCCAGCATCCTTGTTTTTCAAGAATTGCTGATGTTTTTATGTCCTTTTTTAAATATAGTATTCATTCCTATCCTTTAAGGATCTGCCCTTGAAAACAGCCTTGTCCATATTATATTGATAATTCATATAATGTTGAATTTTGGCATCTGGATTCTTGGCAGTTTTATATCCAGTTTAGTCAACAACATAGAGATTGTCCTAAAGTAGTGTAATAATTAAACCATTTTTGGGTCTCTGGTTAGATCCATTTTAGTTTTAGGAATCTTTTCATAATAAGCCCATCTATCAACTGTGTTGGCCATAAGGTAGAGAAACTCGAATTCTTAAATGAAACCCTTAATTTGAAGAAAATCAGTGCATCTCTTGATCCATTCTTCCAAAACACTATTGCTTATGGCCTTTCCAATAGCCTGAAGTGAAAATAATGAGAATATGCATATACCCATAATAAATTGTTAATTTCAGTTGCATTACATGGTACACCTTCACTCATTAATTCCTATTCTCGAAGATGAAAAATAAGACAAGCATCTTTGATATCCTTCATCCTAGATAACAAAGAAGAGATTACGTAAGGAGTCCGTCATGATAGAGTTGGATGGCTGCTTTGATGTTGCGAACATTAAGATGTGTTAAACGTCCATTAAGGAACTGAATTAGAGAATAAGTGAAATACCCGAGGAACTTCATGTAAAAATGAAAGGGATCTAAAAGTGGAGAAGATAGTCTAGATATCAATTTTGATCTTTTCAACTATCTAAATTTAATGTTCTTGTTCAAGGATTTAAACAACCAGGAAAAAGATTGGCTACATCTACATATAATCTGATATGAGCATTCTTAGATCCTCGTATTTGATTTATCCTCTTGCACTAAATTCACTTTGAATCCCGTATATTGTAAATTCTTCTAATTGTTATGCTTCAGTCATATATAAATAAATAATTTAATCAATAAAAATGGACTATGAATAGAATAATTATTAGGCATTCGATATTGAGATTGTGGATACTGAGCAACTGAGAATAGATCACGCAAGATTGAGCTTCATCAGAAAGGTAAGATATTGCCTAATGAGGTGTTTCTGATAATTTTATTTCAAATTGGATTTACTTTCATTACTACATTGATAGCATATTCTCAAATTCCAATAATTGATTCCCTTTGCAGTAGACCCCTCTTATTTTGGATATTTATAGTTGTATTGATCTTAGTAATATTTTTGCTAATGAGGTTTTAAAAGTAAGTTTGCATGTAAATCAAGATTAGCCAAACAACATCCCTATAATTACATCTGTTACAGCAGTTTCACACTCTCCATCTCATACCTGTTTTTCTACACCATTCATCATTATCCTACCTACTCAAATCATATCATTTCCTTGATTACACTGCAATTTGGCATCATCATTTCACTCCTCGCCTACTCGTACTTCACAGCATCAGAAATCAATTTAAACAAAGGTTTAACATTCATTCTTATCACTATTGCTCTGCTATTCATTTTCTTATTCCTCTACTTCGAATTGTCCCTGAAGTTTTTATTTATTTTGTCATTCCTCATCATCTTGTATGGAGTGCATATCATTATTGATACACTTCTTATTGTCAACGGAGAGGTAAGAATTCAATAATTAGATTAGAAACATGAATTGGATATAGATGACTACATTATTGCAGCCTTGATGACATAAGTTGACATTATTGGACTCATTTCAATACTTTTTCAAAAACTGCTTTCCTAAATATCAAAGATATAAATCAACAGTAACTGATAATATAAACAATCATTAATTTCTAGTATACTATTGTTTCCACTCCTCGCATTCTCTATTCTTCATCTCTATCTAGTATCTCAGAGTTCTATTCTCACTCTCCAGAATCTCGACCTATGACTCCATCTATCTCCTGATCTATTCAATCTGAGATCTCTTGATTTCATCCTTCACTTATTCTGATACCTCCTATTATTTCTGTATCTCAATCAATTTCTATTTTTGACATTCCAACTCCACTTACAATCTTTGTATCAATAACTAACAATTAAATTTACAATTACATTATTCTCATTATTTCTTAAAGCTAACTATCCCTTCTATTATCTGCATTCATCAAATTCATTTGATCTCTATTCCAATAGTTCACTCAATTGATTAACTTAGTCGTTTAATTATTCAATATCTTAATTCTGCTCTTAAATGTCATTGTCATATTGCAATTGCAAAGAATCATAATCATTCTACACTTACTTTAATTAAGCTGTTGTAGTCTAATGATGCTAATTCAAATTCTCAAGTGCAATCTACAATTCTTAATTCAATTACTAGTTTTACTATATTTAATTTTAAGTTGAATCTAATTGTTAATTCAGCTTTTAAATCTCTTACAACAATTTATTAATCTATTATTGATATTCCATCTTTATTTCTGATACTGATTTTCTATACTTTTAATCTAAATCCTAAGTGCTCAACTGATTCTACTCTTATAAGTTGCAATTCTATTCCACTTGTGATTATATCTCATCTTACAATCCTTAAATTAAATCTATTTTTATAATTTAAATTTTATTACTCTACTATTCTAGTATTTATTAATTCAAAATATTATTCTCATATTAAAGCTATCCAATTCTATCCACTAGACAGTCCTTCTCGTCTAGAAACTCTTTTTCTTATGATTTAACTTATTATTCATTTTATTATATTAGTTTATTGACTTCTCTTTTCTTTTCCTCTTAAAGTTCCTAATACTTCACTTTCAGAGACTCTAATTGTTACATCAAATTCTTTTCTCCTGTCTTTATCTCATTTACAATTTTATCCAATTGGACGATCTCTTATTTCTAAAATTCAATGGCCTGATTTCTTCTCACTAATTCATCTTGTAGTTTCTAAATTTGATCATCCATTAATTGTAATTGTTCTAAATGTGCTTGTTAGATCTCTTATAAATTTTAATTATATTTCTAATCCTTTTGATACAATTGTATTGATGCATCCTTATCCTAATTCACCTTTTCATGTTAAAGATACTTTAGTTCAGATGAATAATCATTCAATTATTGTTTCTGAATATCTATTTATTTATTCAATCGAAGCAATTGGGTATCCTTGTCTCTCAATTTATTGCTGAGTTCGTCATTCTATTATATAGAATTTTTTAATTCTTTGGTCAATTGATCCAAATGTTTCTCATATTCTAGCATTGTCTAAGTCTGATCAGATGTGATACACTATAAAAATTAGAAATTAGATGATACTCTAGTCTCTGCTTGTTCATAGCGACGTTTCCAGTTATTGATTTCATGCTATTGTAATTCCACTAAATTCATTAATTTCTTAATCTCAAACTCTGGATTATTAAAGGTATTGCTTTGTTTCATATCCATATCGATGCTCTTCTCAAACTTACTAATGTAATGGGAGTTCCTTAGACTTTATTAGGATTTCTGTAAAGTCGATCCTAAAACTCAAACAAATAGAACCTTGCTGCAATTCATTGTAATATGGACTTTTGGATTGCGTATTTGGCGATATTGTATTTCTAGATTTAGGTGGTGATGAGGCTGGCACTGGTTTTAAAAATGATGACATCTCTTAATCTTCTAACAGACAATTTATAATATTAATCTCATTACATCACTAAACAATTTATTCTTTAATCATATTTAATTTCTCCTCATAAATTTTATTATTTACAAAATGGCCTCATATATTTATATATTATTTCTCCTTTGAAACATAATAATCATCTCAAATGCCTCTACCACTTAAGAATCTACTGATATCGTTCATTTGCAATTGTGTAATGGCCACCCAGCAAATAAAATGTCTCTCTCCCTGTCTAATAATGAATAATTTGGATGTATATTTTATTAATTATAAATATAAGGCAACTGGTATATTAATTTTTTTATTAAATGGGTTGTTCGGTTGCGAAATCAACTTAAAATGAGCTTACCAAATAGCAACAACATCAGTAACTCAGAGAACCAGAAATTTAAGATTAATCACATGTTATAATACCTAAATCAAGTTCAAAAAATATTCCTCTCTTTGTTTAACCAAATAGTTGTAGACGTACCTCGGATAATCTCGTTAGATTCAAGACTGAAATTGACTCCAAGGAGAATTAACTCTCTATTAGAAAAAATCCTATTTATCTTAGAAGGGCCAGTTCAAAAACTTAAGCAGATTAGAGCCATGATATATAAGCCAAAGAATGAGAATCAATCGAAATTATCTGATTTCGGTTTTTGTATGATTAACACATTTATATTTCAAAATATCTATCAACTTTCTCATCCTCCCTATACATTTTTATCATTTATATTAGATTTAATATTATTCATGAATTACTCAATAAATACGAAACTAAATAAAATTCCAATATCTATTCTAATAACTATGCATATCGCCAAATATAAATTCAAACTCAATAATAATTGTGAAATCTTTTCGTAAACCTAAACTTAATTATCAAATTCTTATTCTATATCAATTTTACAATGCCTGAATCTAATAATTCCCTTAAAGTTTAAATATACTAATTTATTATTATCCTAATTAATTAATATTTTTTATTGTACTAATTAAATAATCATTATTGCCTAATTTCAAGCGAGTTATCTCAAAAGAATCTTAAGAGCTATTATTTTCTATCTTAAAATTAATATTTAGGAGTGGCTTGAAAAGGCAAAGCATTACTATCTTAAATCTATCGAGCGATCAAGTATAATTGTTTCAATTGGATACTGTAAGATATCTAAACTGATTTTCTAAATTACTTTCAGCAAACCAATTAATTTGTGATATTAGAAATATCCTAACCTAATATTTTAATTATTTTATATTAGCTTTTTCTATGATTGCATTGTTTTATAAACAATATTACTGTATCTTCAAAATAACCTAATCATTTCGAATATCTTAATAGAATATATATGGTAGACTTAATAAAATTTTATGTAAAGTTTATATATTTATATTTATTTTAATAAATCTTTAGTCTTACCAGATAAAACAAATCATCTACCTTTTTTGATTAGTATATGCTATTAAATTAGATTGATGTTTAATTCTTAATTATTTGGTAACTTAATTACCCATCAGTCATATTTATGACTTTAGTTCCAGCTCATTCTAAAGTAATGAAAATTCTTGAACTTGATTATAGTAACTTTAGATTTATATTACACATTGTTTATATGCAATTATAAACTGAATAGTTTAACTAGATACAAGGAGTTTATGAATGAAAGAAAAAAATATCCAAAAATTTGATACTGAATAATTAAAATTAAACCTTTAATTTAAATTGTTATTGTTATATTCAACCAAAAATATTTAGTAATAGGGATTTTTAAATCTAAGGATGAGTAAATGCTCTTTACTCAACAAACTCAATATTCAATTTAGATTTTAATAAGTGGAGCAATTTCTCCGATTATATTATAGATTTTATATGAAATATCAATTATCAAAAAATCATGAAAAATGAGAAAGAGATTGATTTCAATTTTGGAACCATCTGAATTAGTAGAAAAATAGATCTATCAAATGGTTGTTGATAGATAAGAATTCCTATCTTTGGTGTTATTTATTTAAATGAAAATAAAATATGAAAAATAACTTCATCAAGAGCCTATAACTGTGTAAATACTCATTGAAATAGTTGGATCCATAATTTTGAATAGTTTCAAATAATTATTTCAATACTAATACTTAAAATATCAAGCTAAAAAACTCATTCTAATTTTTCAATTTTTCTAACTTATTCTTATTTATATAAATAACCATATAAGTTATGTTGTAAATTTAATGATAAAGCTAAATTGAAACTATATTAAACATTTACGCGACAAAAAGATATAATAAAACTGTATCGTTTAAGTTTATTTGTCGCATCAATTTTTCTTTAATTATATTTAATTAATGGGGTGTGGGTCATCATAAGCAGAAGCTCCTGATAAAAAGAATGGAAACCATACATAAAAAAATAGTATTTCCTCTCCGGATTCTGGTTTAGCTGATAAACAAAAGCTATACTAGAGAGGTATAATAATTGATTTTAGCTTCAGGAAACTATTTACTTAAAAAGGGAAAGTATGATCAGGCTATCAATCTATTCAATAGGGTCATAGAAATTGATCCTGAATTTGCTGATGCCTATTATTCAAAAGGTAACTATTTTATTTTATTCAGCCATTGTGGCTTTTGAATAAAACAAAATATAGGATGCATAAAACTTACTTTAAATAACTTTAGAAAAGCAGCCTGATCATGTTTATGCGTTGAATGAAGCCGGTTATTTTTCAAAAATATTTTAGGGTGCTTAATGATTAAATAAAGAAAATTTCCAGAAGCCTTAGACTACTTAGAGAAAGCCTTTGCGAAGCAGCAAAACTTCTCAGAAGTGAATTATAGTTTAGGTATTAATGATTTAATTCTTTGTTAAGCTTATGCTTTATCTAAATTAAATCGAAAGGAGGAATCTCTAAAATACTATGATTTAGCCATATAAGAGGACTCATAGCAAAAGCACTTTTATATCAATAAGGCCACAACCCTGTTTGAACTAAATAAACACGAAGACGCTCTTAAATGCGTTTCTGAGGCCTTAAAATTAGATTCAAATTATATTGAGGCATTAATTACTTAAGGTACAATATGTAATGAAAACTTAGGAAACATATATAAAGCTACATAGTAATTTGATAAAATGTATAGTACATGCTTTGCAATATTGAAATTAGATAATAACAATAAGTTGGTTTTATAAATGAAAGAGGAGGCTGAAAAAAATTTAAATATTTAAATAACCGACCAACAATCTAGTACTATAATTCCAATCGAAGATAAATTAACTTTGGGTAATATTCATATTAATATGGTTAAGCTGAAAATTTGGTTTCAGAAAAGTAGTATGATCAAGCAAGAAAGTTAGTTAATTAAATTCTTCAGAAAGATCCTTAGCATAATTAAGCACTTCGATTAAGTGCTAAGATTTAGGTGGAATAGGGGCAGTATGGTGATGCTTTGGCCACATTAAATAAGGTTTTAAGTCAATAGCCAAAAGATATTAGTGTATTAAAAGAAAAAGGTAACATAAGAGAGGAATATTTAAAGCGTTTGTATTGGAAAAGTTGAAAAGATTAGAAGACGCCTTGTAATGTCATAATATGATCATTGATGAAGAAACAAATTAAGAAAAGAAAGAAAAATAAGGTATAGTTTTTTTCATCTTCTAGCCAACATGTATATGAAACTTGGAAAGGTGAAAGAGGCTTCAGAAATATTTGAGAGTCTAAATGTAAAACAAAGTTTGGATGATCCATAGACATATATTTTCAAGGGTAATATGATAAAAGCTTAGATTAGGAAAGTTGTTATTATCATAGGAGAAACTAGATGAAGGAATGACTTTTGTACAGGAAGGACTTGAAAAGAATAAAAACAATATTGAGATTATGTAGTTGCTTGCTTAATTTCACAAGGCAAAAAAAAATGAGAAAGAAGCTCTAAATCTTCATTAATAAGTATTAGATATTGACAAACATAATGATTGCTCTCACTTTGAAAAAGGTATTGTAGTTCACAGAATTTAGGCTTGATATATTGTGATCAGAATCTATATAAAAAAGCTTTAGAATCTCTTCATAAAATAAACAATTTAGATTTTAATGAGTTATGTTATTTTTATTTTGGATTGTGCTATAATAAGATCGAGGATTATAAGAATTGCATAAAGAATTTGAATACTTATGTAAAAATTGGAAGGGTAAATTTAGAATAAGCCTATTTTATGGTAATATTTAAGTCTAATTAATCTAAGTTAGGTGGTTCTAATTTGTTTTTGTTAAAATTTGACGAAGCAGAAGAAAATTATCTAGATTGCATAAGGTAGAATCCAAATAATGCAGAAGCTCATTATTAGTTAGGAAATGTATATAAACAGGACAAATAAATTGAAGAAGCCAAAAAGTATTTTGAATTAGCTCATAACCTTGAACCTTATAATGAAACGTACAAGTAGACTTATGGTATGATTATTTCAATATGACAAGAAACCTTTGTGAATGAAAAAAACTATTTAGTTGAATACAGCAACAGTTTACTATTTACTTTATCTACTTTGATTGGGTTATGCTAATTAAATCAAAAGTAGCAGGATTATGATCAGCAAAAGAGTGAGAAATATTTGAACCTTTTACTTCTTTTAGAAACTAATCAAAAAAAGAGATTCAATACTATTGAAAATCATTTTGAATAACTAAAATAATTAATAGCGAAATCTTATGATATGTAGTATACAGTCATAGATGACACTCTGTTTCCAATAATGCAGTATTGGCATAATCAGAAGATTTGTAAGAAGAAGAAGGATGCTAATGACTTTGTGTCATCGATCATTCATACAGTTAAACTGCTAGTGAATATCAACAGCGACAAGATTCTTAATGTAATTAATAGTGAAAAATCTTTAAACAATAAATATTGCGTTGAATTTGCCAATAAAAGCTAGCATGAATTATATAAGAATAGAAGTGGATGTTTAGGATTGGTTGATGGTATCAAGATTCTTGGATTTCTATTAAAATATCACAAGGATTTCAGTAAAGATCGAATGGCCTTCTCTGAACTTCTAGCTACGAAATATTAAGTTGAAGAAATATAGATTTTTCATGAATCCTACTTTAAATAATGAGATTGAGAAAACTATTTATAAATTATATCATATAATAGTAGTATTAATTATTTGTAGTGTTCTCCTATTCATATATTTAATATAAATTGATAAGAATATAGAATCATTTGCTTTCGAGATATTACTCATTTCGTTTTAAGTATTATAATATTTAATTTTCATCTGTGAATTCCAGAGCTTGTAAATAGCCTTCATAAGTAAAGTTTTCTTTATCGCACATTAAAACAGGCAACTAAAAAATAATCAAAGAAGCTTAAGCTTATATTTATAGTCTTAACCATTCTAAAGTTGACTTGGGGACTCCCTTTTTTTCTTTGATATTCTAATAGATCTGTCCATGAAAATATGTAAAACAAATATCTTTGATGTCATCATCTACAAAATCATTAAGAAACCACTCAACTTTGTCTTTTCTATTTTTATCTAACTTTTCAGCCTTGGCTTTAGCTGTGTTAAGCAACAAATTCAATTCATTTTACACCAATTAATTATCTTATTTGACTTTATTGCAGTAATTCTCAAATTCAAAACAAGATGTTATGTAATCCCATTCATCTAAACCGAAAGAGTTGATTTTGGATTCTAGAAGGATTTCAATTTCCTTCCTCAATTGCAACATTCTCTTAAAGACTAAAAATAAAGGAATGACCCAGAAATTTTATAGACCATTAAAAAATGTAAGGCATTTTGCAACAGTTTGGCCAATAATATTGAGTGCATCCAAAGAACGGTTATATTTCTAAGAAAACAGACTCAGTTATTAACTTGATCTTTTTATTAATTATATGTAATTCTCAGCATTACTAATTCTGCTTTCATCTAAATTGGGTCTCTACTATTGATTGTCTTCTAAATCAGAACTATATATGGCTTTGTATTATTCCATAGCATTCTCTGATTGCTGATACATTTATTATAATTCCTCTTAGGTTTTAGATCCCTTAGTATAAACAACTTGTTATTGTTTAGATTGATCTGACTTTGAATTTTGAGATGAGGAACCAAACCTTTATTTCGTTGACATTTTGATAGTATTGCCTTGGACTGATGAAATTCTGGCTCTTATTTTGTCATAAAAGAATTCATTTTTGGTGAATGATTATGATATATTTTGTTGAGATCCTTATTAGTGCATCAGTTCCTAACTGTTATCATTGATCTTCCTTGATGAATCATACCCAGTGTAAATTGTAGTATTTTGGGTCTGATTGCGAAAACTCTTCACTCCAGTATGACTATTGTTTTATGATTTAATTTATGGTTTTGGAAGCAGTTTGGTAGATGAAAAGAAGTTGTTAAATTTGTTGCTGCTATAGGTTTGAATCATTTAACGGCTTTAATGAGATGATGACTTTTATCGACTCTAAACTGATGAATATCTATTGCCAACAACACTCCTAACATTCTCTTAATGCATTTTCTACATATTACTGATCTTGGTTATCAAAGATTAATTTAATAAATTCTATTCAGTCAACTTTGGATTCTTATTGTATTAGGGCTGTTGAGGCAAGTTTATAAGAGAATTAGAATCATCTCTGCTGCTTATCCTTGAGGAAGATCTGCATTTCACTTCCATCCTGTTCAATCTAATTTGAAAGTCTTTCAAAATCTGTTTGCATGCATTGTCTTCTCTAAAGGCTGAGTGATATGGGATTTAATGCCATGGAATTGGGTTTTCGGGATTCAAGAGCGAGGAAATCAAATTCTATATTGTTGGCTTCTTATTTGAAATCAGAGATCCTATATCTAAACGACCTCCTTGCAACCAATCAGCTATGTGTCTATGCACTTCATTAAGGATATAAGTTCCCTGAGTCATCACCAAATAGAGTATGCCAAGAGACCACTGGTAAGATGATCTACAAGGTTTTCCTTTCAAAATCAATGGATTCCAATAGACGCAATAATTTTCCTGTCTCTTTTTCAAACCGAAATCTAAGATTACTATCGAATCGCCATTCTTTACTATATTTTCAATTGTGCAATCCCTTGGGGAACAACCTTAATAGAGGTCATATCCAAAGTATATCAACAACAGTTTCGACAAGTCACCATTTATCAGAAGCCATTGTGAAACATTCTCTATTATCAAATCTGTATAGGTATTCGTTCTTACAATCTACAAAATTGAAGGCAGCAGACTTATCTGTGGTTTTAACAACTTCGTCTCTGCATGAGGTTTAATTCTATGATAAGATTCCAAAAATGCTAATTCTTCATCCAAAAACCTTGTGTCATTCCATCGAGCAATAACTACTTATTCATCTGTTAATTTCAATCTACCCTTTAATGCAGACCATTATTCACATTGCCAAATTGGAAATGTTATCGTGTAAGGATGATTGCCTTTCATTTATTATATAATAATTTTTATGTTCGAATTAATATCTATTAAATAATTCAATTGTATTGGCATTGTGGGCCTCCATTTTAATTCGAAATACAAAAACTCTATTGATAATATATTTGAATATTAAATACACTATGTAATTATTACCACATTTCAAATAATCTACACTATAATCAGAAGAAACTGACTTATAGTAGCTTCATTAATTACTCCTTCAGTTTAATTATATGATAATTTGAAACTAGTAAACGCAAATGAGAATTCTTTTGTGTTTACTAAGCGTTCATTTATTTACACCTAATCCAGAAGTATTATGGTCTTAAGAAAGAATTACATAGATAATCAGTAACGAATTTTATTTATGGAGTTTGAGTTTATTTAATTTGTTTTTGATATATTTTAAATTTTAGAATAACTTCTCAGGTCATCATCTGAAATAACCAAATCATTTACTTATTAAGTCAAAATGTTAAGTATAATTAAGACCAGACATTTCTTGTTATTCATTATTTAAACATCATTAATTAGCCTCTTTTTAAATTATTTTATATAAATTATGGGTGCTACATGCAAATTCAGAGAAAGGGAAAGAGATATTATTTCTCAAGACTCACTACCTAGTTTGCCTGACCTCAACCCTGATGCTGAAGGCTATACTAACTTCAAATATTAAGTGTACGGTAAAAGTAAGAATTCCAGAAATACTGCCAATACTCCAGAGACGTTGGAAAGACCTCATTTTTTTATAATATATCCAAAAAATCAGCATTAACGAAATGATTTAATATTACAACTCTAAGACCTTAATCGAAATAACAATTATCATATCGAAGAATACTCTTAAATGACAAGTCAATCTATGGAATCTAAATTTGAAAGTAATTTTTCATTGAATGAAGTGTCTGAAGGATCATTCAATGTTTTTCGTGTATGAATGTACAATATTAGACAATGAAATTAGCTATGAAAAAATGATGTAATCAATTTTATTATCATAAATAACATTTATATTATTTTCTGTTGTAACCAAAATATCAAATTAAGCTCAAAAAACTTTTTCACTTCTTCAAATTTAGTTAAACAAACCACATTTTCTGAAGAATAAATTATATTATATGGTTTTGTTATAATTAAACTAATTTTCCTTTTAAAAAGAAATTTTAGATCAATTCAGCTAATGTATATCCCTGCTTCACTGTGAAAATTACTCAATTCGTATTACTAGAAAATCATTTCAAATTATTATATAACGATAATTTAAGTAAAAATAAATTTTGTAATGAAATTTTCTATTATTTTCAGTTCCTAAAGATCATGAATTAATAAGATTTTCTCATATTTTCGTTAACATTAGAGTGAATAAATAATTTATATCTCAGAAACTATAAATTTTATGACGATACGCCTAAATATAAGTGAATATTAATTCAGCATTAAGTTTCTGTAATATAATTTAATAATCTTAAAATTAATTACTGATTATTAATTTAAATAATAAGGTGATTATAATCAATTATTTATTATTACAATTTTGGATTTTTTTGCATCTGCCCGTTAAAATAACCCCTTTGAGGTTATAACAATATAATAGAAGTGTCCACTCATTTTGCCTGATGTTTTTTCCTTTAATCCGGGCTTACTTTTAAAATTAATATAGTTGATGGATAAAAACAGTGAGAATTTTCATTCATATGATAATTCATAGGATTGTTGCGGTTTTGTTAACTGATGATAAAAAATTATGAGAATCACATATATATAGAAATGAGAAATTTATAAAATAAATTCTTATATATAATTCATAAATAGTTTGAAATAAAATTCGTAAAGACAATTACATTTTTAAACATATGTTTGTTTCTGATGTCCTTCTTCTTATTTATGATTACCTAACTAAGTTTCATTTAGTATACAATATATTTCTGTTTGGATCATTTTATAAAATGATAATTTTTGAGTTATTCTATATACTCTAATGTAATTGTGTGTTTAAACTAGTACTTTTATTTTGAATTAAGCTAAGCTCTTGTTATTAATTTATGTTTATAAATTGTAAAAAAATAATAAAAAATGGATTAATTTTAGACATGTGAAGGCAAGCTATTATATATTACATACAATTTATATAAATCAAATCGTATTGGAATAGAGTAAAAAAGTGAAATAAAGGGTAAGACAGATAAATAATTCATAGATATGTTAATCGCGAAAGATTTCAGAATAAAATAAGTGATGAATGAAATCAACAACGAAACTAATATACAGAAAATCGAAAGGATGTTAGAAAACATCAATGTATGACATTTTATTGAAGTTTAGCCAGAGGAATACAGCCCAAGGGATATTGATGATAATTTAAGTCATACTTATAAGTAAAAAAGACCGAAGCTCTTTAAATTCTAAAAATCCAATTTCTCGAAGTTTATAGAAGCAAAAGCAAATGAAGATACTGATACTTTCTCTTCCAATAAGCATTTAGAATTTAGACAAAGGTTATATTCATCAGCAGCTGATTCATGTTGATTTTTTATATTAAATTATGAATAATTTATTCAAACAAGGATTACAAGGATAATATTTCTGATTGGCATTAGAATATCTAAAAAGAACAAACTAGCTGCTTGATATTGATCTTTTAAAGTGAGTTTGGATGACTAAGAATATAAAAGAATAATTACTGTAGACACAAGTGATGTATCCCACACTAAGATCATAAAGATTCCTCCTAGAATAAAAAGAGTCTCAAGACTAAAAATTTAATCCCTTAAAAATAAGGCAGCAATTATTCCTACAAATCCAGTCTCCATTATCTTTCTTGAAATTACAAAATGAGTCTCAGCTAGATTTTAGAAAGCATCTTGAACATCAAAAAGGGATTTTAGTTTGTTTATTGTTAAACGCAGAAGTGATTAATTATGAACAACATACCTATTGTTTTACTAATGTTAAATAAATCTTTTACTTTGAATAAGTAAGTATTAAGATGTAATAAATACACAAAAGTATAAAGTATTACTACTATATGAGGTATCCAATTTGAATTATTCAAACTGATAAAATCAAGCATTCCTTTTAGAAATACCAAAATAAAGATGTAATTAACTAGCTTTTAGGTTGTAGATTTAATATCAAGTTACCATTTAAAATATTTTTGATTCAGATAAAAGAATGAAACATTTCCAATCATAAATATCAGTAGCATTCTGTAATGATAAAAACACTTGTTGACTAAGTATATTAAATATGATTATACATTTAGTAAGATTGATTATATACGAACAAACTTGAACAAAGAGACTCATCAAAGGATATTGCAAGTAGTGAAAAAGTTTCTATTTTTGTTTCTAAAATGATAAAACTAATAACTTACAAATAGATAGTAATTTCTAAATACTGATTGTAAAATCAACAATAATGGGAATAATATAAGAGATAAGTAAAATAAAAATGAAGGATTTTGGGTTTCGCGAGCACAACGAAGCTGCCAATCTTGATATTTCTCAAAGTCTTATTGGTAATATACTGGGCATGAGTAGGTATAATTATCCGAACATCTTCAATATGCACGACAATATTGTTCAAAAGACACAACGCATCTTGAATTAGGATAGTCTTTGTAGAACCAACTGTTAGTAAATAGCATTGTTGAAATTAAAATGACTATTAATTGTGTTAGTATTAATTTATAAAATTATTATGGTTCTTCTGTTTCATTTCTTTACAAAGTATTAGAATTTTCTGCTTTTATTGATTCATCTTGAATCTCTTTAGGTGTTTATGATGTGATCTGCTCTTAGGTGACACTCATTATTATTTAAAAAGTAAAGTAAATTATATAATATTAATTGAAATAAAATTATAGATTCGATTGACGTGGCACTTTTTTATCACGAGACTTTCATGAAATCTTGATAAAAAAGGATTCATTGAAGTATATATTAATGGCAATTGAAATATTAAATAACATTATTCAATCATCACTTTAAGGAGCTTCTTAATTTGATTCATCTTTTGGTACTCTTATTACTAAGAGAGGTACCTGATGATCTTTGACTTAATCAAATTAATTGAAGTTTCTTTAATTGCATTTCATTTGATTGATCCATCTACTTAAGAATAATTAATTACCTTAAATATTCCTTTTATACTATTGTATACTCTTAATAAGCAATTTGGAGATATTTGAGTTTAGATGCTTTGAGTCCTGAAGTTTCAAATTCCAACTCAGGGAATTTCCTAGTTAGTATTTTCATGTCTTGCTATTTGGTGATATTTTTAGGGGATAGACACCTATTCTATTATTTTTTTGGTAATCTTCTCCTATTTTCTTCATTTTCTTATTCCTATTCAACCTCTTAAAGTATTTTATTTAGATCAATAAAAGAAGAGAAACTCTAATAGAATTCAGACCCCATGGGAGTGTTATCTGGTACTTGTTCTTCCTCTACTTTTTGATTATCATCATCAAGCGATTTCATAGAATTGTTTGGTCTTTCTGCGAATCCTATGGCACTTTAAGCTTTGCTAACTTAAGATTAGAAACTGATTTCTGGTAGCTCGCTCTTTCTGGATGAATTCTTAAGAGTAGTTGAATCTTATTCATTTTATTTATCATCAAGTATTTACTATTCTTTTTTTTCTTTTGCTTTCTTTCTGATGAGTTTAGCCTTTAAACTTCTTTCTTGAATGACCTTTTAGACATATTGTTTGCCTCCATTATACAATTAAAATTATTAGTAAATCTTCCTAATAATTTAAATGATGTATGAGTATTTGAGATAGATCATATCATTGATCAATTGATCTCTTTCCTTTTAAGAGTAATCTTTAAAGAATGCATATTGCAATTCTTTATTGATGTCTCTTATCTTTTCGAATCCTGATTGTAAAGATCTATGACGATGTTGAATTCTATAAATCAACAGATGTATAAATGTATTTCTGACTAAGGGACTCCAATGCATGAAAATCTTAAAAAATAAATCAGTACTAAATAGGAAATCACATAATTCCTTTTTTGGTTCAGCTATATAAATATGGTTTAATAAATATTACTTGTGATAAGATGGAAATTATTATATAAAATTTATAAACTCTTACTAATAGAGACAGCATGATCTCCATTCAAAATTAACTTGATTCCCTTGAAGAAAAAGGAATAGTCAAAATTAGTAGGTAAAACATGGTAATTTTGATTGACTTTCTGTAACCAAACGTCCACAATATTTAACGTATTGAACACTTGAATTGCATCGAACACTCTTGTTTAATTGAATAAGATGTGAATGAATTTGCTAAGCAACATGGAATTGTTGATTATGGCACAAGATGCTTCAATGAATTTGTGATTCTTTAATTAAATATTGGATAGCAACAACTAGACAATCTCATCATATCCTTGTATGTTTTGCCAATTGACATTGAATCCAAACTTAGATTATACGAAATTGACCCATTAAATTACAAAAGGATAATAGAAATGCACAGTTTATTTATCAGGCATTTCTAATTTCAATGATTCTAATTCCTTTTATAATTATTATCCTTTTTCATTTTAGAATGCAAGATCATAAAATTTATGAATTGAGATATTCTCAATCTCTGGAAACAGAGCTTGTTTAAATTGAGGTACTCTGAAGTAGGAGAGCACAGCAAATTTAACAAAAAAATCATGTTCTTTGTTTGAACAAGAAGTGTCAACTACTCTTTATAAACAAAGAGGCATAACTTTAATCATTAAAGTAACAAATAATTAAGCATTATGAATACGTTCTATTTAAGTATCAATACTCAAATGATCTAAATCCATATCATCTCTATAAATGAGTTCACTCAGCACAGTGAAACATATTTCCTTAACCATTTCTGTTTATTATTTACTACTCTGCTCTAATAAGTATTTCCATAACTTTATTTACACTGATTAACTGTGTAACATCTCATCGACACTCTGATATTTAATATTGTGATTTTCAGTCAAAGTAGATAGAATTTCATTTTTCATTTTCTCTGAGTCTTTGATCTTTTTATCCCTCATGGTCTATGATAGTGTTTCCACTTTTATTTGTAATCCAATCAGCCAATCCACTTCTTTATTTGTGTTATTTTTGGACTTGGCTTTCTTCAATAATAAAGTAGATTAATTCACAGTTCCAGTTTCTGTTTTGACTCCACTGCATTGACTGACATATTGATTAGATTTAATGATGAATGTTCCTGCCCAATTCCCAATATAAGTGCCATCGGAAATTAATTGTTCATTTAATTATGCTTCTTAAATTAAGAGAGTATCAGTTTAGGCAATTTGAGATGTATTATCATAAAAGAATTTATTAAAACTGATGTATGTACTACCAATTCTTTTGTATTCTTCTTGTTTTGTTTATTTGTTTGCGTAAAGTACAAAAACGAATGTAGTGATTTGGAAATCGTCTGCAAATATATCAAATTCCATAAAAGGAGCATCTTCAGTTCTGAATTCCCAAAGGATTTCATTCTTAGCTTCTAATGCCTTTTTAGTGGAGACATGTCTTTGGGAACCACCTTTGATGTGTTGATACTTATAAGGGACGTCGTCATTTTGTGAATAGGTGGGATTCATGTATTTGGGAGAGATGGCTGATTGAGATTCATTCTCTTGAGATTTGATTTTCAATAGAAAACTGTAGGCTATGTCTCCCAATTATTCTTCAAGGATACATCGAATGTGTTTGGTATTGATTTTGAAATGCAACTTCTGAGCTACTTTGATGTCAAAAATAATAGAAGATTAGTTCTAAATTAGTAATAGCATTTACACTAAACAAAATATCATGATGTTGTGGTCCACTGGCAATTTCATATAATGTATATTTGATCTTGTAATGAACCTTGTCTGAGTCATCAAGGATTTGCTTGGTTGGATATTTGAATATAGTACTAATGTAAAGAATTGAGTCTGCATACTTTGAGGATCGATGTGCAAATCAAAAGTAAAGGTTTAGGGCCACTATACTAAAGGAGTAAGAGTACATGTGGATTTTTGGTGTATCTGATCATGGTGGTCTTATAGAGATGCTCATTCACTTTTACAATCACATAAGCACTTTACTGTTGAATATTTTTAACCTTGATACCAGAAATTACCATCCTAAACATCAGATTCTGCTATCCGAACCTGATGTCATTCAGATGCTACTTCCTTGTCTAATGAGAATAACATGCACTTCCCATTATTAATTTATATTATATTATATTTTGAATTACTCAATATTTCAATTTGGCATAATACAACACTGGCTTAGCCTCAAGCACTTATTCGAATCTCTATCTGACCATGTCTTCAAGTTGATTCACCAATTAAATCTCATTCCTTCTTGATTGAGTGCCATAATTGTACTCAGTCTAAAAGGTTGAGCACAAAGCTTCAGCTTATTCCAATAATTGTTGATTTCTTTATTATTTTGAAGATGCGGAATTCGAAACTGCTGATTGAACTCCGATGCAAGCAGACAATTTATCTAATTTTACTTGTTATCTCTCGTATTATTATTGTAATCTTGATAACACTTTGCTGACCTTCTCTTTTGATTAGTTGAACTGAGCAACACTTTAAGCATTTGATTCTGTGAATTAATTATATGCATCTTGAATTGCTGATTTCAAATCCTTAAGCAAATGCTCAACCTATTAAAGTGAACTCAAATCAATTGACTCTCCTTGCTTTGCCAATTAAATAAAAGCATTAAAAATGGGAGCATAAAGTGGAGTTTTGTTGATATCAAACGATGTTTATAACATACGTTGACTTACTTTACTTAATTCTGAAAAACTTCGATATCCAAATGAGATTCCTTACAATATTGTCAATGCTTCTTCTATGGAATTTAAGGAATCTTCGTATTATCGACTTCTCTTCTTGAAATAGGCTGACTCTGAATCTGCTGTTGTCAAGATTGTATTCAAATGCTACTAGAAAGTGTTTTCTTGTTACTAATTGACCTACTGTTATTCAATCGTTCTTTATTTTGAATATTGACAAATGTTTAATTGAGCATTGGAGTCTCTTAGAGTACTTCTAGCGTTTTGAATTTCAGCATTTCTAAAATCATATTCGCCTTAGCATTCATTTAATTCTACAACAAAAATTTGGTCGTGATTGACTTATTCCTCATTAACAGAATCTCTGAATAATGTGAGAATATTCAAGACAGCATCCAATGGAGCATGGGATTTTATCTTCATTTCCACCTCAGCCATTACAGCTGTGATCGATCTCTGTTTAGTGTAATTGAGTCTATGTTGATGATTTGTAGCAGAAACTAAAACTAAGATCAGCAAGAAAGCAAAGATCTTCATTAAATTAAATAGGCAAAAACGATTTATTGTATGTCAATAAATTAATCAATTCACTTAACAAAATATCCTTTATCATTAACTGTATATCCTCTAAATTAAATCTATAATCATTCATAAGCTATCCAGAACCCAAATTAACTCATACAACATCTAATGAAAAATTAACCTTACTAGCATTCTTTGAAAAACCAATATGAAAATTTTGTATGCTTAAGATAAGTTTAACAGTAAACATACGCGAAAAAGATGATTTAAAATTTGATATAATCAAATTGCATTTTTTAATACTAAAAAGATTCTTATTTAGATTGAATTAATACGTGTTGTTAAATTACTTATAAACAAATATTACACAAATTTAAATAATTACCTCAAATATGTCAAATCTCCAAGTACAACTAATTAAGAAGCCTGATGCCAAATACCCTAAAGTGAATGATGTTTTCTAGGTTAAGACAGCATCAACACCAACTGCTAGTCAACTTAAGGATGGCGAAGTATTTTTGGAGAATCTATACTTCTCAATTGATGCAACAATGAGGGTATGGATTAGTGGGTATTTAATATATATTAATCATCCTAGTGCCAAGACTTACGTAGATCCTGTACTTCCTGGTAACACCATGTTTGGCTAGGCTGTATCGAGAGTTCTGGCTTCTAAAAGTTAAAAATTCTAAAAAGGGGATTATGTGATTGGTGTTGTTAATTGGACTCTGTATTAGATTATCAGCGATGCCAAACTACATCTTGTTAAAAGAGGAGGAGATATTGATGACTTGACTGGATATTCATTCTTAGGTCCATTAGGAATTAGTGGATTGACAGCCTATATTGGATTTGAAGCAATAGGAAAACCAAAGGAAGGAGAAACTGTAGTTATCTCTGCAGCTGCTGGAGCTGTTGGAGAAATTGCAGTCTAATTGGCTAAAACCTATTATAAATGCAAAGTCATTGGAATTGCAGGTGGTCCAGAAAAATGTGACTATGTGAAGAAACAATTAGGTGCACATGATTGCATTGATTACAAAAATGAAAATCTTAGTAAAAGACTCAGAGAATTAACACCCAATGGAATCCATGTGTATTTTGATAATGTGGGTGGTGAAATGCTAGATGAAATATTGATGCATATCACAGATCACACCAGAATTATTCTTTGTGGAGCCATTGCCACATACAATTAAACTGGAGGTAAATTCAATATCATTAACCATCTAGAACCATATAAAGTCAAGAATTACCCTAGATTAATTATAAAAAGAGCAGTCATGTAAGGTTTCCTTTATTTTGATCATCCTGAATTATTCAAGCCAGGATAGGCAACCATAACATAAATGCTCAAATAAGGACAATTGAAAGTAATAACTCATCGTCTATTTTTAGATAAGATATGATGTTCAGAATGGATTAGAATAAGCTCCTAATGGATTAGCTAAACTTTTATTAGGATAAAATAATGGAAAGGTTGTTGTGAAGGCTAAAGCTGATTAACCAAAGCTTTGATTATTGAGTATATAACAAATGAAGGATTAATAATATTATATATAATTTCTATAATATCAATTAAAACTAATATTGCGTATTATAATTGATTAATATTAAAATTATTATGTAATTTAAAAATCCTTAGAGATTGCTAAACAATATAAATGAATAAAGTAAAAACATTTAGATTAAAAATGTCGTTATCAACCATTTGGATAAGGGAGAGATAGTAGATCTTCATAAACTTATATTTTTATATATTAATAAAATTTTTAAGAATATTAACAAATCTTTAATCAAATAGTAATTCTATTGTAAGAGAGGTTAAAAAGGACATAAATTTATTATATTAATAAGTCGGCATTATTATTAAGATCAAGTTTATAAAAATTTCAAAATAAAATATTTTCAATAGATAAAAACAACTCATAAATTTTGTTATTCAAAGAATTAAGAATGAGTTGCTGATTATAATTCAATAGTTTAAAGCTTTGTAGTTTTATCTCTTAATCCAATGCAATTCTACTAAACTTGCTTATTCATTCATTGAATCTCTAAAACTTAAAAGTAATGGAGATTAATAAGTTTAATTTAATTTATTTTTGGTTCATTCTGAAAGTTGGTATCGATTTTAATTTATAAATAGATAACATAAGACCTATCAAATCTACTTCTTAACTCAAACAATAGGTATTACATAAGTTCGATATGATTTGAATATTTGATCGTTCAATATACGATATGTAATATTAATAAAAGAACGGGCATTTAAAAATGTTAATAATAAATAAATAATCTGATGTTGGTTGTATATCAAATCATTAGAATAATATTCACTCTCTTTTAAAGGTAGGTAAAAATTTCTTAAACTAATTAACAACATTTTCTCTAATACTTCCATCTCCTCTATGAAAACGATCATTAAAGAAATCTAATGCCTTTTCAACCTTAACTTTTAGAAATACCATATCTTTTGAATATTGATATTTATTAATTTCAATATAGAGGTGGTTATAGATTTTTTAACGAACTAAATTAAGAACAGATGAGAAATCTTTAAAAATGAATAGAACAAAAAGCAATAGCATTCTGACGTTTTCAGGGATATCTTCTGGTTTTCTGCCATTTCTTAAATAAAATTCATATAGCTCTCTTTCATATTAATCTAAATCTTCAATTAAATAGTTATCAGCCTATTCTTATGATATTTTATATTGTTTTGGATCAATTTGTAATTTACTTTTAATAATTGGATGATTATAACCAATTATATATCCTATGTAATCTTTTAAATTTAAACTGCTATATGCTTCAGATTAAAAATAAATCTGTTTATCATTATTATCTCCTTTTTTTATTTTTGTTCCAAAATATTTCTTAATATAAGCAATCATTTCTTTTTTAAGTGCTGAATTTTTTGATATCTTTAAACAATCTTCATGATAAAAAAATGATCCTACCGACCTTCTTGGCTCTTATCTATTGCATTCATGGCATTTTATACATTCCTTACAATAATTTTCTTTTTCAATCTACTACAAAGGACAATCAAAGAATGATTAACACTTTGAACATTTTTAGTCTAAAAAATTATCGCTTACTCCATTTTTTTCATCATTCGCAAATTGACTTAATTCCTAAATCTAATGACATTAACCACATTCTATTTTCTCTTAAATTAATGTTTCTTAATTTTATATTTCTTATAATTAATCTTTTTCTAAATTTGGCTGTAAATCGCTTGATTCTCTACATTAAATAGGATTGCTTTTTAAAATTAATTAATTAATTTCTTATTCTAATTATATTTCTGAAATTTCATAATTTGAGTTCGCACCACCTTTAATTCTATCTTAAACTGACCAATTATAAATTATTTACTATAATAAGAGTTCAAGATCACCAAATTTATTTACATCTTATAAATGATTTGAATGATGATCCTATAACAGACAGTCTGAACAAAAGAGAGGGTCTTGTGAACAGGAACTATTCTTACACCTACCTATTATTTTGTTTTTTTTATGCTCCTTGCACCTTAATTTTAGTATGAAATTCTCCATTCTTTTTATCAATAATATGAAAATTATCCTTAATAATTAGGATTTGATAAATTATTTGTAATTCTATTAAATTACAGAATAATTTTATTTGTCATCGTTAGATAAAATATTAAAATAATAATAAATCTGGATTCACTATGTATTTTAAGAAATACTCCATCATATCGATTCTAATACATCAACAATTAATTAATCATAATGTAATAAACTTTCTTCAACTTCTAAAGTTATAAATACAATTAATAATTAATCATTTTATTTTAAGATTAGAAACTCAATATGGCTTATTCTTTTTATTTAGAGTTTAATAAGTAATTTATTTATTTTAATATTTACATAAGAAGTAGTAGATTAAAATTCAGTAAATAAGAGGATAACGGAAATGAAAATTAATAAAAACTAAATTAATAAAGAAAATTGGATAGAAGCAAAATATTATAGAAAATAAATCATTATATTGTATTTGATTTGTATTATAATTTAATTACTCAAATGAATTATCAAATCAATTAAAAACAGGGAAAGTACCCATAATCATCAATTTCTTTGATTTCTTTAGGAAGTAAATATTGGTTAAATTTTGGAAATTAAAACTTCAAGTATTGATTATTATCAGTCAGTTTTTAAAAAGAAACACTATAAGATTGTGTATCCAATATTGTTAAACTGATTGTGAATACTTGTCCTGAAATCAATCTGAACTATTCAGGTAATTTAATGTAATAGCAATAAGGAATGGGTTTCTCTAATGCATTGTGATTTATTATAGCTTAAAATTCATAGGCTCTTATGGTTAGATCATAGCCTAAATGAATCTTATAGAGGCATTTTAGTGGTTATTATTGATAATCAATGTCTTTATTCTTGTAGAGGAAAGGTTGATAGAAACCAATTAATTCACAGGTTTATTCGACAAGAAAATTACAGACAAACATTTTATTCATTTTCAAAGGTTTAATGGTTAAGGATCCATCGCTATCTTTTGCAACCTATTCATATCTTTTGATTATTTAAACTAATTTATTTTAGCTTGATTTATTGCTTGTTGGTTCTTTTTTAATTTCAAATGTTTATTAAATAGATTACACTAATTTCTAAAGTGAATTGATCGCCATAATCATCTAAGGTTTTGCAGTGTCATACTTTTACAATAGTTCATTACTTTAAAGTTTTTACAGATTTAAATCAAAAGTGCAATTGTCATGTAATTTCTCAACAACTTTTTTGAAGGCTTCATAATTCAATTAGGTTTTCAGATTGACACATTAATTGTAAATTTCCTTTATTGAATTATTTTCATTGAGCAAAGCAATGGAATCTTAGAGTTATTTCTCAATATTGTCCACTCTTCTTATTAATTCTTATTTGTATTTGACAAAATGATCCAGGATTTCTTGAGTCAATGGATTATTAATGGCCTTGTTGATTTGAATATTTCTTTGTAAAAAGTCTTGTATTTGTAGGAGCGTAAAGACATAATTAGGATGTTGCTCATGTTGTGATTTGCACTTGAGACATATGAGGGAATTGTCTTTGCATTTAGGATTCATGCAAATTGATGTAATAGGCTTTTTGTCGTGTTCGTACTTGGGACATTGTATTTTTGAACCCTATTATTCTAATGTTAACATATTAAAAATAAAATGAAATACACTTAATACATATTGAAAAATCTCATTCCTGAATGGATTAAATTATATCTCAACTTCAAATACCTGAAGACTCATTTGGCAGTGGTTACAAAATTAAAGAAGTTATTGAGAAAGGCCAAAAAATTAAAACCCAAAGATGTCTATTAATAACTGAAACATGACGTAGCATCCAATAAACAGTTATTCGAAAAGTTGGAGTAGGATCGGAATGATTTTATGATTGTTTTCGATGAAGAATCAGAGCAAATATACAGTTTTACAGAGTGGAAGTATAGAGAATTGCTCATTTTTTTCGAGAAATTAGACAAACAAATGAAAATCATGGAGTAAATGGCAGATTATACATATGAAGAACGTATTATTGTTACTTGGAATATGGGTGAATATATAAAGGAAAAGCCTAGTGAAGAAGCTATTGAGGTAAGAGTTTATCTCAAATAAAAAGAAGAGCTTTTAGAAACAAGTTTTAAATTTTATAATGAATGCTAATAGTTGTAATCTTATATTTCATTGAATTCGGAAGGAATTCGTAAGATTCTGAAGAAGTATAAAAAGCAAGAGCTAAAAGGCATTAGAAATAAGGAAATAGAGATTCAATATTTTGGCAATGTGTCACAATTACAAAAGAAATTGAAGAAATATGAAACAAAAATCAATATCTTGAAAACAGATACCCAATCTCTAATGATCAATTATTTTTATGCTGATGAGTATGTGTAATTTATGCTATTTTAGTCCGAGCCAATGTCGAGACCTGATAAGGAAATACACAGAAAAAGGGTAAATCAGTTTGAAAACAGTTTTTTATTTTGGATTTTTTGCAGGAGCGGCAGTTATGATAATACTTATAATATTGGGAATGAGATTTGATGGTCTCTTGGATCCTAATTCCGATAAGGTATTCAATAAGGCCTTCCCATGTTTCAGAGGCATGGCTTTGTTCATCATATATTACTGGTTCATAACCTTGGATCTAGCAGGTTGGAATTATTTCAATATCAATTACAAAGTCTATTTAGGCTTTAATCATCATTTTTCTACAGTTCAAGAATTGTTGCAAAGAGTCAGTATTTTGACAGCTATATTTTTGGTTACTTTCCTATGGTATTGTATTGCTGTAGAGGACTCATTAGGCGATTTGTCCAGAGCAGTCCAATTATTCGATATCAGGTATTTACCAATAATATGTTGGATTGTATCCATTCTTTACGTATTCTATCCAACAACCAAGTATTTTAATCCACAAGGCAGGAAATGGATGTACAAGATGTTTTATGGTGCAATATGGGGTCATTTCATTAAGTATGAATCTAGATACACATTCTTTACAGACTAATTCACATCAATGATCACTTCAATGAGAGATTTCGATTATACAATCTGTTATTATCACCACTTTGTAAATAACCATTTCATCATAGATATTTTTAGGTCATGAACATAATGGCGAATGCAATTTTCAAAGGAGATTTACTGCAGCGTAAGCCAGCATTATCCCTTATTTCTTAAAGTGTATTTAATATCTGACTAGAGCAAGAGACAAGGGGAAGTTTTTGTTTACAGACGAGATGTACAATTTTATCAAAACATTCATTGCAATGTCAGTAGGAATTCTGGCTTATTTGACTCGATTGGATATAGGTTGGAAACATTACTGGATAGCAGTGGCTTGTTTCTGTTCTTGTTTTGAATACTATTGGGATTTGAAGAAGGATTTTATGTTTTTTGAGAAGGGAACCAAATATAAATTCTTGAGAAGTGATTTAGGGTATAATAATCCTTACATATATTATACTTTGGGTGTTTTGAACTTCTTTTTAAGAATTGCATGGGTATTAACAATATCTCCTGACATGTACAGGATAATTGGAATTAAGAATGAAATCTTTATCTTAGGATTTGGATTCTTAGAAATGAGTAGAAGATTGATTAACAATTTCCTCAAAATGGAAAAAGAACATATTAATAATTTAAGATCTCTAAAAAGCATATCAGATATGAAATTTCCGTTTAAAGAGAAAGCAGATTTAGAATTAGAAGAAATAAAAAGTGTTTATGATGTAGAATCTATTTCTACTCTTCCTAGAGCGAGTCTTGGAGAAGAACAGCAACAGGAAGGCTAACAATTAGATTCCAATGAGAGAAACAACCTTAAGTTATCAGAGATAAATCCAAAAATAGTAATCAATTAATGTGATGATTCGAAAGAGGAGATACGTAGTCCAACTAAGATGTTGTAATCTCCAAAACATTCGATGTTTAGTAAGTAAAATAAAAAGGTTTCTTTCCTAAATTTATAGTTTCCTTAATAAGAAGAACTTCAATTATAATAATAACAATCTGTTCTATCCAAGAAACAGAGTATTTTGATTGATCGGTAATTCTAAGATATTAAGATACCGAGAAACATCTCCTTTGAAAATTATTTGAATTTCAAATAAAGTTTAAGGAGAATCAATTCATTCAGATTGACCCAATTTTTAGAATAACCAAAAGATACACAAATAAATGTTCATGATTATCTTGATATCCATCCAAATATGGATTTGGTAGAAAAGGCAAAGAGGGAGGAAATTCAAATGTAATCAAAACAAAAGAAATTAAAAAATGATAATAAATAATATTTAAAGGTAATCTATTTTTGTTTATTATATAGATGATCGAATAATATTATATTAAATATGACGTTAAATTGAAGCATTAATGATGTGTATATAAAATCATATATTATATATAAATCTCATTATGTTTGAAATATCTGATACTATTCTATTCTTTTTCAAACATAAATAAACGCTCTAATTTTTTAAATTAAATGTAAATAGAGAAACCATCCCAATAGCAGAAGTCGATTATTAAAATAATTAAGAATAGCATAATTATAAGAAGAAATCAATATACTATAAAAGTGAGTGCAATCCAACATTTGAATTTCTGATTGTTTATTAAGTAATTGCTTGTTCCTAAAAGTGGCTTATTAAACCAGTATCTATATTCAAAATTTAATAAATATATATAAATATATGGAAAAATAATAAATCAGCGTATCGTTTACTTATATTCCCACTGAAGAAGAGAAGCAAAAGGATTTAGATAAATAATTGGATATACATACTAAATAATTGTTGCATCCTAAGCTTAAATGGACTGCTATATTACTAGCATTTCTTTCTGTTATTCTTTACTCAATAGGGTTAGAGTAAATTACTATATTTTAAGTGCATTCATCCAAATCCATTTAGAAGAGGATTCAACAGCTCTCTATTTGATTGCCACTCTATGTCTATTGCCTCTAATCTATTGCTTATTCAAAGTATGCAAACAAAAAAAAGACTTGTGAATCATAAATTGTATATAGTATATTCCTAAATTTAAAAAATATCATTTATTTACTTTGAAATATCAATCAAAATTTAATCCTAAAGACAAAAACACATAGTAATAATAAAGATATTTCATAATATTATTATCAAATAATACAGCATTAAATCTAGAAATTGGGTACATTTAATCTATTAATAAATTATTTGATCACAGAAATACAAATTTGGAAGTTGAGCGTAAGATTGTAATAAAAATTAATTTATAATGATTTAGATATGTATTTCTAATCTACACCGCACTTATATATAATAATAATATATTATATTATCCTTATATAATGGATCAAAGTGAACTTAAATGTTAGCATTTAGGCCATGAAAATGGGTAAATACTCGGTGTCTGTACTGTTCGGAATTGTTAAGGGAAAAGGCCGTTTTGCCTTGGTTGTAAATATGAATTTCACAATGAACATAAAGATTCATTAAAGAAATTTGAAGAATTAGTGAATTGGATAAATGAAAATTCAATTGCTCAAAATAAACTGTAGGAAGTCCTGAATAAATTAAAGGAGTTAATACAATGCATAGAAAAATAAATAAAAAGTACATAAGAAGATGTTGATAAAAAATTTACCCAAATGAACTACACTACCTTAGATAATTCTATCAATAATTTTATAAAAATTTGGGAAGTTTAGAAGGAGGTTTAAGAAATATTAGAAAGAAAGTCTGTGTCATTCATCATTTAATAAGTAATAGTAGAAATAAAACTTAAATACAACCATTCATAAAGTATATCTTCCATTTTATACAGGTCCAAGTTAGAACTTAGTTCCTAATCATACACAACTTCCTTTCAAAGAGGAGGGCTCTGTTTAAAAGGAAGAAAATAGTTAAAAATTACGTTGTCAAACACCATATGCTTGCAATTAGATTAATAATTTAACAGGGTAAAATAGAGAGATAAATAATAAATATATTTTCTAAAATACTAAGTAAAATAGAGGAGATGAACTACCCAAATTCAACATATAATAGTTGTAATAGAAAGAATTCCCTGGCATTTAATAGAATCAAGCATTTCAAAATAAGAATCAATTCATATAAAATCCAAAATGAACAAATAGATTAATATATATTGTATTAATTTATACAAAATTACATCTTATTACTAAATATAAATATATTCTTATGTCCACATATTCTATTTGTTTAGATGGTTAAAGAGATTTATTTTCAATTATCGAATAATGATATAATCCTTAGAATTAAAAACCAAATTTACTTTTAAAGGAACTAAAATAGACTCTACATTAGATGAATTATTTATTAAATATCTAACAGTCAAATATGTGTTATATTTAAGCATTTTTTATATATTCAGAAAGATCCAGAAATTAAAATAATCACACTATGTTAAATACAAAATTAAAGATAACAACGATTTCTTTTCTTTATTCATAATAATCAATATAAAACTAATTAATTAATTATTAACTTTAATAGTATATGAATTATATTAGAACATTTTAATAATAAAAAATAAATGCGAGGCAGTTAAACGGGAATATATAATTATTAATAAATTCGATGCAGAGACTAAAATCTGATCTTCACTGCCCATTCGATAAGCATGATCAAAGCCTTATAGTTGGAGTGTGTGTTAATGAATAATGTCCAGATAAGCGGCCTTTTTGTGTGGCATGTCAATTTTAATTTCATTCTTCTCATTAAAAAGACTTAAAAAGGTTTGATGACTTTAAGAATTTGCTTAGTGAGAATTCTCAATTAACTGAGAAACTTAAAAGTCATCTTAATGATTTACAATAGCTAGTTAAATTTATTACTCATTTAATTGAAGCTACTTAATACCGAAACAATCATCAAATTCTTTTGGAAATGAATTACACCGATTTACATGATAGTATAAATCAATTAATTACTTAATGGAATCAACAAAGAAATTTATGTGAACTTTTAAAGGACATATTTTCAACGACTGTTAAAGATAAAATTAAAACTCTTTAATTGCAAGTATAAAAAAGTAATTTGTTTATTATAATTAGAACCTAATGATGTTCGAACCAAGTCCAATTATTTAAAAACAGAAACAGATGTTCTACAAACGAAGGATTAGTTATTAGATCTACCATCTCCTCAAAATATAAATCTTTCTAAAGTATCTAACAAATTGGCAGATCCTACGATAAACATAACTAGAAATCGAAATTCTATTGAAATAGTGGAGGGAATCATATTGAAAGAAAATTCACAAAATAGCTAAGATAGTTAAAAGCTGTCACAACTTTAAAATAGATATTTTCATCCAAATCCAATATCTAAACAGAAACACCGTTCTTAATATAACGTAGATTAGACCTCAAATAAATCAAAATATATTTCAGAAAATAATTTAGATAAATCACTAGAATAACTTGAAATGAGACACTCTAATTCATTTGCATTTGTAAATGTCTTAGACTAACTCTCTAATATATCAAAAAGGACTTAAATATCAGACAAAAAATCCGCAAATGCAATAAAAATCCATTAAATAAACTGAAAGTTTTCATTTACCGATTGATTATTTCATGAATTATTATTTTATAAACAAGATTTCTACGATTTGACTATAATATATTGATATTCAATAAAACAGAAACTCGAAAAAAGGAATTTATGAAAAATTAATTACAAATCAATTTATGGTAGACTCAAGAATCAAATAATTCTATGGAATAATATTAGCTAAATCTATAACAGTTAATCATTCTATTTGAAAATTATTAGTTTAATGATTATGAAATATATTGATATCAATATATCTCAAATAAGTAATAATTAGATTAATACAATGGATAAATTGAAACATTTAATTATTTATTTTGACTTTGGGTCTCAATTCTTAAGATTCAGTTGCTGCTTAATATTTATAATTGAATTATATAATGATCATATAATTTATGATAAACATTTTTACAATATTATTAATATGAGCTATATTTTGGTAAAATAACTAAATGATTCATAATTAATAGTTCTATATACTGCAGGAGCTGGAGCATAAGCTTTATGTCATTTCACGCTTCACCCGGGTTCATCAAAATATGCTATGGAATCATCGAGTTTTTATGCAAAGGGAAGTCTCGAATTACTTTTGAACAGAAACATAGAAAAATTTGTTACAGAACAAGTAGCAGAAGATATGGCACTAAAAGCGTTAATAAGATCTCATGAGATTTTAAGATAAGAATATATTACTGATAAGTATGATTTCTGTTCTATTAGATTTAATACTACTTTAGGAATTGGAGTCACTGCAGCTATTCGATCTGTAAATGAAAGATAGGGGAGACATCATGCATTCATTTGTTTAAACTTTGGAATTGCAAAATATACTTACTATTTGGATTTGGTCAAAGGTGTAAGGACAAGAGAAGAAGAAGATCAATTCATTTCCGATATTTTGTTTAAACTCATTATTAAACACTCATCTTAGCATTAATAATAGATCAAAGAACAGGAGGAGGAAGTGTTAGATAAAATTCAAATATTAGAAAATGCTAGTATTATATTATAAATTAAAGAATCGATGAACTTAAACTTAATTAAATCATTGCAAAATCAAACAGGTCTTCTTAACTCTATCCTAATAACTGCTAATCAATATCAATTAAATCCAATTGTTTAGGATGCTATCATATTAAGTGGGTCATTTAACCCTATACATTTTGGGCATATTGAATTGGCTAAAATGTCATAATAACTTATGGGATTGCCAAATGTGTATTTCGAATTATCGATTAAAAATGCTGATAAACAGGATATCACTATCTAAGATGTTGAGAAGAGAATAGAGTTGATGAAAAAATAGAATCTAAATATTATACTATCTAATAAGGCATTCTTTAAAGATAAAAATTTATTTTTAAAAAATGGAGCTTTTGCTATTGGAGTAGATACATATAAACGAGTTGTTGATGTTAAATATTATAACAATTCAATTTAAGAAAGAGATCTTTCTCTTCTTTTGTTTCTCCAAAACAATAATAAGATTATAGTAGCCCCTAGATACAATGAAACAACTCAAAAATTGGAAACATTGAATGATTATGAAATTCCAAAAATATTAGAGAAGAATGTGATTGAATTAAAAGAATTCAGAAATGATATTTCTTCAACAAAAATAAGACAAAGTGAAGGTAATTGAATTTATTAATTGTAAAATTAAATTAAGCTTAAGATTCAATTCTCTATTTTACAGATTTATTGCCTATAGAGATCAAAAAATTGTTATACTAATTTTTATTTTTATATTTGGTTTTCGAAACTCTATATGAAATAATCGTATAAATTACTTCTAACGAAGTTCTATTCTTTGTATTCATAATTTTTGAATTCACATAATAGTTAATTGGGTATTGAGACTCTTATAGATACTATTTTATAGTATTCTATTTATTCCTCTAATTGCTTTTAGACTGGTTTATCAATCTGAGAAAGGCATCAGATAACCTATCCAATTAATCTTGACTACCATCACAAAATAAATTAAAATTGATTTATTTTCCCCAAAGTAAATATTTATTAAAACTATTTATTAATCTATCTATAGGTTTTTAAAGCAGCAGAAATGATATTAAATGGATACATAAACTAATAAAGGTAGTGAATACTATTCCAATGATTAAATGGCCAATCAATGATTAAAACATTTCTTCAATCATATTCTTGAGTAAGCTTATATAATTAGAGTAAGCTTAAGAATTAAACTTCAAAAGAATAATGTATTCATCCGTAATATTCTTCGATCTTATATACCATAATTCATTAGTGTTTTTATTAATGATACAAATAGTATTAGGTATGTTGAGCAGACAATTTTCTTGAGTTTAATTCTGTGATATTATCTGGTTCACATCTGTTTGATTGAATCCAAAAATAGACTCATTCTGAAGAGATAAAACATCCTTTGTTTATGTTTTATAATAATAACTACTTATCAATATTCTCCCTTGATTATCGATCACTAATAGATCTATATCTTCATAGTTAAATTAATAAAATTAAGAAAAATTAAGATCAATAGCTCCGATACCTATAACACTTTTATTCTAATCATAGATACTGGTAGTTCCAGAGATGTAAACACCACCTAAAAAATTTACGTATGGTTCAGAAATAACGAATTGAGAAGAATTTATTTAATCCAAATGATTTTGAAACCATTTTCTAGAGGAAGGAACAAAGTTAGTGAAATTTGATCCTGGACAAGTTGAAAAATAACAATCGCTAGATATCGAAGTAAAGTAGATATTAAGTTCGTTTTGAAAAGCTATGGTAGTTGTCAGTATGTTAGAAAGCTTTCTAAAATCTTTTCCATATTAATTTTGCATTTGAATATTCTTGGAGCAATCAAAATTCCCATAGCAGTATTGACAATAATTAATGATGCTGTTTTTAAAATAATAATCCTATAAGCATTTTTCAGAATTCTGAGAAAAAGTCATATTTGTTCTTTAAATCAACTCAAAAAATGTATTTATATTTTCTATTGAATTCATCCCTTATCTTATTTTATACTCCAGGTTCTTCGAATAAATTTCAATGTATGAACTTGTTGATCCATAAATAAAATTCATTATCAGTTTTTCTTCAGCATCCTTAGTCAAAAACTTAAATAGACCTGATATATTTAGATAAATTAATAGGCTCAAAATAACTAACACTATAATCATAGTTATTAGTTAAATTAAAATGATTTAACTTCGAATTCTCCAAGTTTTAAACTATTTTATTATAAATTTATTGCAAAGCATGTTTAAAATAAATATATTTAAGAAATATTTGTTCACTTTTTTAATTAAAATACAAAGTTGATAATTTCAAAGATTGATATTGTCTGTGTTCTACTTCATAATAAGGAGTTCCTTATCATCTAATTTTAATTTAAGCTTATGAAGATAATTATTAAATAGTTGCTGATGAGTTTATTATACAGATTTGCTTTTCGCGGGATAAAGTGATTCCACATTTTCTAGGATTGCTTATTATTCATCCAATTCAAATGAATGTAAAAAGTTACTTTAACAATAGGAGTATTAAGAGGGTTTAGTTTTGTCAGATGCTTCACTAAGACTTTGACTTTATTTTTCAGTATATTTTTATATTTTCTTCAATTATTTTGATGATTTTGAATTATCCATCTTGCCCCTCTGTTTCTAATTAGAATTCTGAATAGTTCTTTCATAAACAAGATCAGTCTATATCTATTTATCGGTTTATTATTTTCTCTTTCTGACTCTGTGTTCCTCCACAATTTCAAAAGTCTCAATTTTACAATCTTCGCTTAATTTGATAGGTTCTACTATTTATATCTGTTATTTCTTTTATTAAAATTATTTTAGGGACAATAACACATTTTTGGGTATTGCAATTAGTTTTTAAAGAAATTACATCGATATTCAATATAAAAATTAAAGTTAATAAACAAATTAAGTCTGATTTTCAAATTTCTAGTTGTTGTGAACTTTTATTGACTTTGAATGACTTACAAGGAAAAATGTATTAAAGTGAAATCAGAAGATAACAATTACATTTAAGAATTACTAATATATATCATTTATCAATATATTAAGATTGCTATTATTTCTATTAACTTGATTGTCTAGTAATTTTAGTTTTCTAACTAATTTATGATTTTGTATCACTAATATTCTTTTCTGATTTATTGATTTAGGAGTCAGTTTCTTTGTAATTTGACCTCTTTATAATTTTATTTGGATTCTCTGTCATTACACATAAATATCATACCTTCTGGTTTTGGGATTGAGGGTACTTTAATGCCTATTACACCTTAGGGATAATGCTAGAGAAATTTTTCGATGCCTCCACTCAGAAGATAAACATTTTCGAATCCTTTTTCAGCAAAGAGAGTGGCTGAAGGGATTCCATTCTTTTCATCAAAATGATATATAATAATGTGTTTGTCTTTTTGGTTTTTCTAATTGAATATTTAAATGTACAAATCTATGAATTTATTAGGTTAATTTATCTTATCTTAGATTGGGAGCTGGGAAATTGACAGCCTCTTTAATGTGATAGAGTTCAAATTCATCAGGATCTCGCAAGTCCAAAAGCAGAAATTCTGATTAATCTGTAATCCCCAATTATTCTGTGGCATAAGTAATTGCAGAGACTTATGAGACTTCAGTAAATCTGGTCTTTTAACTATATTGACTTTAAGTATCAAATTATTGTAACTACTCCTATTCTTATTATTGTTGATCTGCTAACTTATAAATAGTTTCTTATTCTGTGTTTTCCTATCATAATATATATAAAGTATACGCTTATAAAGTTGAACACAGTGGAACACTTGATACGCTTAAACAACTCAGATCTTTTTTTAGCTATCTTAGCATTACTTACTACTTCAATGTCTCTCACAGTTGGTCCTGTATTTAAGGTCTGTTTGACATGATCATATTATTTGTTTTTTGGTACTTTTTTATCAAGGGGCTTGGGAATTCAAATTCATAATTACATTTCCTTTTCCTTTAACATAACCAATTGGCATTTTGTCCATTATAATTAATTCAAATATTCTGTTAACTAATATTATTAAATTAAATGAAATGATATTAGAATAACTGTATATATAATGATTTCAGGATTATCAATAAAACAAAGCAAAAATATAGATTGAATTATATCATTAATTCTTGTTGAGTATTTATATTAATTATAATTCTCTGATTGGTTTAACTAAAAAGTCTGCCATTCCAGAATTAATACATTTTTCATACTCTTATTGATCCGTATAACCACTACAACCAATAATAATCTGATTGGGAAAGCTTTGCAGAATGATTTTAGTGGTCTATTAGCCATTCATCGTTGGCATTTCAATGTCCATGAAAACTATTTTGTAACCCTGACAAGTATTGGAACACTTCTTGGTTTTTATTTTTGTAATTGATTCGCTCCCAGACAAGGCTGAATCGATATCAAATTCACTTGTAAACTGATGCTTTTTATTTTTCTACAATTCCAATAGCATTCTTTTGAATGCAAAGATATTGAAACAATCATCGTCAACTATCAAATAGTGAAGACAATTTTATTGAGTTGATAAGTCTTCCTTAATGTTCGAAGGTATTGCTTTGAAACTAATTATTTCATCAACTTCTTAAGGCTATAATGAAATTTCAGGTACTCTGAAACTTGAGATTTTCTTTTTGAAATTTTCATCAAAATATAAATCAAAATAAAAATGGCAATAATGATTATCCTTATCATTTTTTGAATCTATATTAAGTCCAGTAGAGCCAATATTTTAAGCTATCTGATTACTTATAACTAAACCCAACCCTACACCTTATTGATTGAGTTTCCTACTTTCTTCAGAATTGACCTTTGAGAATGCTTTAAACAATTTTTACTGATCCTCTTCTGAGATGCCAATACCTTCATCTTTCACTCCAAATCTTAAGGCATTCTATTTGAATTACTCAAGAATTATCGTAATTTTTCCACTTTGAGTAAATTTGAATGCATTGCTTAACAAATTTATTATGATTTGTTTGATCCTATTCCTATCAGAAAACAGAGTTTTTGGTAGATTAGAATTATAATAGGTAGATAATTGAACTTACCTCAACTTGGCTTTTAATTTAAACATTTATTAGCATTCCTCGATTAAGGATTACAAATTAAATAGTACCTTTTCAACTCTGAATTTCCCATTTTTTATTTGGGCCAAGTCTAATAGATCATTAGATAAATTTAAAATATAATTCGAGTTATCTAAGGCTATTTGTAATTGTTCATTAATATCAGGATTGTTAATGATATTCTGATATTTAAGTACACATTCTAACATTTGAATAATACAATTTAATGGAGAACGATATTCATGACTGACAAATGAGAGCATTTTAGACTTCTATTTATCATACTCCTTTAAATATCTAATTTTTTGTCTATGAGTTACATCTCTACAAATTATGATAATATATTAATTTTTACTCAAAGTCAGTGTTAATTCAATTAATTAATTGCTTTCTGTATTAATATATGTTTAGGATGTTTGTATTTATTGAGTTGTGAAAAGTGTGAATCTTGTATTTAATTGTGCTTAAACAACAACACATTCTTGAGTTTTAGATTTTAATAATGTTTCAATGATCTGCTTTATTTTAAATTTCTGATTCCTATCCTAAACCTATTAAACATCCTAAGTCAAATTCCTCTGTTATTAAGATGGTTAATCTTTAGATTCTGTTGTTTATCTGAAAAGATGTAAAGAGGGTTATCTCTGATATTGAGATACAAATAATAAATCTTCATTTGGTTCTCCATTAAATAATTAAAATGTATTCAGACCATCAATGAATTGGAGGACTTCTTAATCAGTTTCTCTATTGAATAACAATTTAGTAGCTTGATTCACATATTTAATGGAGTAAGGAAAAGTTGCAGTATTTGATTCTGGAACAAGTAAAATCACACCTTCTTGCAACAATTCAAAACATTAAATGCTCGTCTCTTAAATTCCATTATCTGCTGTGGTTGATGTTTCCCTCATTCCTAAAGAGTTTTGATTTTGATCGAGATCAAATTATGAGACATTTCTCTTTGAGTTTAGGATGTCCTATTTATTAGTATTCGTTATTTCTGTTATCATTGACGTCATTTGAGGTTGACTTTGTTTTGGCAAGGAAGAGTTACAGTATAACGATATTATTAAAGTGGCCAATAATTGCGGTTGTTCTCTATCAAACTCAATTCTGAAATATGAATACACTAGTAGAAATATTGGGATAATTGCCTAGAAAGCATAAAGTTCAGATTTAACACCCAATTTAAAGTCTAAAAACAAGTCCTTTATTAAAATCTAAGCTATTATTATTTATGAGAAGGGTATCCTACCAAAATTGTGTATATTCATTATTATTAAACAGAACATATCTAATTCTATGCATATAATAGTTCCTTACAACATGAACTTATTAAAAACATTTTATAGCAATATTAATCCTAATGTAATCAATGTTATAATTATTAATTGTATCAAATTGAGCACACATGAGTTTTGCGATTAGTGATATATAGAATATGAGAGAATCATGCTTTGTAAAAGATTGACCATAAAGCATTTTTGATTTAACATAATTTAATATAAATATACTTTTTAAACTAAATACTATAATTTCTTAATCTAGAAAATTCATTCAATATTTATCAACTCCGTTTCTGTATGATTGTCTAAGAAAATCTACGTAATCTATTTTAATGCATATTAAATATTTGTCATGTTACATTAATTTGTAATTTATATTTATTTATAAATCTCAACCTATATAAGGCCTGTTGGAAAAATGAAAATATACCAATTCTAATCCATTCTATTCTATTTAGTGGTTACTTCATTTGGATTTCATTATTATTAATACTATTCATATTAAGATTAAATTAGCATCCCAACAATTAAGAATTATAAATAATGTATGAGCAATTATCTATAAAAAATCATAAATTATGAGGATCTCAAAGGATAATAAAGAATTCCATTTCAGAAGAGAAATATTTTATAATTTAATATAATCTTCATTACATCATCTCAAACTAATAATATCTTTTTCATATCTCCAACTTTTATTATTGATCTTAATCCAAAATACATATAATATAATGTATATAAATCATAAAATCAAGAACCAAAACTAAAGGTTTTTGATAATGAAATCCTTCTTAAATTTCCTCATAATAAAAATATAATTCGCACTTTATGTATAAGCTTAAGGTCAAATATACTAAGAAGAAATCAAATTCATGAATGTACGTGACATTACTTTCAAATACTTTACATATTCATCACATTTTTGACATTCTCCTACAGTGATGTAATATATAAAAAGATTTCAATATAGTAATTGAGTTAAATGAAGATTAAACTATTAATTGAATTAATTAGTGAATGAAAATCAGAAATGCTAGTTTATTTTTAATATTAATAATATGATATCAAATTCTATAATGACATTTCTGCATTTATCTTCAATTGCCTTAAAATTAGATCTAAATTACTTTGAAAAGAAAGAAATGACTCAATTTTATCATTTCTCGATCTTTAAATTTTATACAAAAATTCGTAAGGTATCAATACCTAAGAATTCAAAAGCTATATATATTATTTAAAATTTATGACGATTAAGTAAAATCAAGGAAAAGCGAGAATTATAATTTCTCAAGTTGTTTAGCCTTTGAGATGTGCTAAATCCTGGTTTCCATGTTAGATATTTAAATGAATAAGAGAACAAATATTAAGATATATAGTTAATACTCTAATTATAAATCAATGATATGAGACCTCAATACTTGAGTAGAGAATTCCTAACTATAGTCTTATTAGCCACATGACAGCTCTTTTACTGAATTTTGGAGTTATATATATAACTGACAGAGTCATTTCTCAAAAAATTATTACTAGAGTCGTTATTTAAAACAAAATACCCTAAAATTCTAAACATCATCAAAAAATCTTGATGATGGGTATATCTTTTAATATGGGCTATATTCCTTAGTTTGTTTCTCAATCGGTTCATCAATTTTAGGAACTCCTGAGCTCTGGTTTCTCCCAAAATAGAGCAAATGAGATGTTTTTATCTACAGGCAAAAGATACAATAGCTTTTGCATAATTTTTTTGGATATTTGTAGACTTGACCAGGAAGTTTGGTTTTTAAGACTTTTTTGTGAGGATATTCTTAATGATCTTATTTTGAATCTGTGTATCTCTAATTTCTTCTTGATTGCTTGTTAATTCAGGTTTGCTTTCAGTTTCTGAGTAAGTTATCTTTTGGATATCTTCTATATGGGGATTAGGTTCCTCAGATGATTTATTCTCTTAATTTTGAGTCTATGTCTAAATATTGTAATGTAGTGGATTTGGAACAGAAAATGGTTAAGGCATTATCAAATATTGATACCCATATGGATAAACTAGCTGATGGGGTACAAAATAAGCATTAAAATTTGTATTGAACATATAATTATTATATTCTAAATAAACACAACCGTAAGACTTAATATTATCGATACTAAATCGGTTTATTCACTTTAATTAAGTAATATTATTACATTTTTAATTAATAATGGATATATTGACACATTATCATTCAAGATAAGATATTAATTATCATTCAATCATATTAATTTATCTTATTCGATAACATTACCACAACTCAAAATAGAAATATAATTAATTGTAATTATGAATTATTGATCCCTAATAATGATTAATATTGTTAATATCTATAAATAATGATATAAATTAATATTAATATAAAATGTTTAGAAAAAAGGAAGTTATTTAGATAGCAGAATTGAGAGCTGAACCCTTAAAAGATATATAATTTTAGTTGAGTGAGGAGTTATATGAGTCAAAGTTTATTTATAACATCAATGTATACAGTTGGATTAGATTGATTAGAGAATGCAATGGAAATTAAAGAGGGAAGTGATTGGGGATGTTTAAAAGGTATCAGAGATCAATTCAAAGATCTCGATAATAAAAGAATCACATAAATCTCAATTGAAGGAAGAACTGGTAAAATTAACATAGGATGTTGTGAATTTAGAATAATAAAAAGTGAATCAAATAAAAACAATTAGAAAATTGGTGGATGATAAAGAATTTGCAGAAAAGAAATCTAAGGAAATGAAGAAATTATTTTTGTAATCTCAAATTCGTAATGAGTAATTAAAAAAAATGATTTTAGAAGAGGAAGAACGATTTAAGAGTTTGATATTGAATTGATAATAGTAAAAAATTAATTAATCAATTGTATTATTAATATCTTAATAGTTATTATTCTTTCTCTTATAAATTTCTTGACATTACTAATAAGAGATTTTAAAGGTCTCTTATTTATGGATTGTCTTTCACATTCCTTTTGTAATTATCTAGTTCTCTATGTAATCTATCAATTTCTAAATCCTTCAATTCTAGATACTCCATGGCCTCTTTTAATTCATCCTCCTTGTTGTTGTTTTATTGCATATGTAATTTGATTTCATCTATTTGATTAAGTACTTCAACTAATTGTTAATCCTTGGTTTACAATTCTGCAGTCAGATCTTTTAATCTCTTCTGAGTTTACAATAATTACTATTTAAGTATAGAATTGCTATGAGTTAATTCTTGGATCTCAAGAGTTAATGTTTCATAACATTTGGTCGGTCTTTTTTAAGACCCACTGTTTTTTCTATTAAGCTTTTATAATTCTGTTTCGTATGTCCTATTCATATTTTGAGACATCTGTAAATTGATATCTTTACTTTTCAGTTAATCATTAAGACTAGATAATTCACCCCTTTTTTATGTCAATTCTTTCTGGCATTTCTGTAATTACTTTTGATATTCCTTAACCTATTAATCCTTCTTTATCAAGAGTGTTTCAGCTTCTGTGGATGCTTCAGTCAAAATTTGTATTTTATTTTTTAGAGTGGCCAATTCTATCATAACATCCTACTTAAAGGATGACTCGTCTAGTTTCTTAAGACCTTCAAACTTCTTCTCTAATTATGCATAACGTTGTCTCTCTTAAAAATACATCTTCTCATAATGATCATAATCAGTTTAGATATTTATAGATCTCATTTCCTTATTGTATTATTGAGTATCCTTTAATTCAAGTGCTAACTGCTTTAATTCATGCTTATACCTTTCGATAATCTAATTAAAACATTAAAATACTTTGATTTCTCCTTCTCTCAAATGATTAACTAATGTCATTATTTGATTGAGAATTGTTAGTATCTCTGATGAGTTACAATCCTCTTCATTCTCCAATATCACAGGTAATTGATTCTCCTCTGTTTCATCTGACAATTACTTGACTTCTTCCCAATATTCATTCTGATCTTATTTGAATTCTTCTAAACGTTAAAAGAGAATTTGCAATTATTATTCCATAAATTTATTTATGGCTTAAAATTTTCACGGCAATCTACCAAAAGAGTTCGAAGGATTCCTCCATGAAGTCAAATCTGTGGTTTAGCTGCCAGACAATAAGCATTGAATGAAAGTATTCAATCAGAACAGAAGAAGTGCATTGAAGGAAAGAAAGAATAAGACTTTTTGAAGTGTTAAACTCTATTAGCAAAGAAATTAGAGAAGAATGAAGCATTATTTTGTATGTCCACATGATTTATCAAAGAGTTCAAGATGATATATTGGAGAGAAACATCAGTCTAATGTTTCAAGGCATAAGAATAAAAAGGTGCAGGAACTGAACAATGCAAGGCTGATTCTAAGAAATTGTTGGAGACTATCTTTGATTCCTTTAAAATATGAATATATATATAAGCGAGTTTAACAAATTTAGACTGATGGTTTTTTTATTTTGACATGCTCTCATTGATATATAAAGATATGTTATATGAGGAATAGCATATCTGTTGCAATTTGAAACACTATTGATTTCTCCATATAATCAAATAAAAACAAGGCCTTTACTTGTAGTATATGGATTTCTGAAACTAATTAGAACATTATTAACATTAGTTTATTTACTGCTCAAGGATACAATATGTTTTTCTCATCAATTAAACCGTTTTTGTATAGAATAATATGGATCAACTAGTTTCAATGTTGTGATATCTAAAGATGTTAAATTAAATTTAATATAATTCTTTTATACTGTATTAAAATCAAAGGTTGTTGTTTATGATTCGTCATATCAAACATTTTAATATTTTCGGATTATATTCACTATTCCTCATGAAGATATAAATCACATGAATGCATTTTTGATACTCTTTTGATTGAATTCAAAGATATAAATATTTGATACATTAAATCGCAATCTATTAAATATGGTTTTATATTATAAAATGAGTAAAAATAAAGAAGATTCAGAAATACCTAATATTGATAATTAAGGCGAATTCTTTATGTTAATAAAATCTATTTACCATTTATTTAAATTAATGACTCTAGTTTAATAATAAAATACATAAGAAAATAGCTTCAGACTTATATTAATTAAATTCAATTCTTAATATCGCTGAAAGTAAAGGAGAATGAAGATCTGGTTTAATTAATAATTAATACTTAAATATATTCTAAATATACTAAATTACTCATTGTTTTTTAAAAATATTTAACTTGCCCCAGAATCCACCTTTCTTTGGTTCTTCTAATGTTGGATAGGTTAAGTATGAATGTGCCTATTAAACTTAAATAATCAATTACAATATCTAATTAAATTGGTTTAGGTGGAATTGGTTGCATTAATGAAATTAGATCAGCAGGTTTATATGATAAGACATTATCCAAAGTAATTTATTCAGGAGAGTCTAACAATTCAAATAACGTCTTCTAATTTTATTTATCCTCTAATCCAATATTTTAAATTTCTTATCCAATAGTTTTCACTTAATCTTATTAAAGTTTTAATCCATTTAGTTTACTCTTATTTTATATTTACGTAGACAATGGAACAAGTAATTTCAATAAACTATGAGGTTCCAACTTATTCTCTATGTATTTCCTATCAGCTATTCTTGATAAATCATCATGATATTTCAATAAACTGTAGGCTTCTCTATACTTTTCGTTGGTGAAGTAGAGACAGCCAACAAAGAAACAACGAAGTGCTTTACAAAAGAATTCTTTAGCATCTAAAATTTTGAATAATGTAATGTCCTTATTGAAACGTTCTTCATCCATAATTTATCTTAGAATTTAGGAGTAATTATCACAATATTTAATGATTTCTTATGGAGTAGTTAATTTTAATTTGAGTGCCTTTTTGGTTTATAAGTTCTAAAGATTATTAACTCCATCTTCCTTAATAAATTTTTCAGTGTATTGTCTAATATGCATTTCGTTTCTATCTAAAGTTGCAGATTATCTTTAATAATTGATATACCCTAACACCTTAGAGTGTATTTCTTTTTCTTATTCAGATGTTGATTAATCCTTGTCTATTTTAACGTACTTGGATGCTTCATCATAAAGTGAGAATAAAGTTGTAAATGAATCCAAATCACCTATTAATTTACTTTCTTGAATCTTAAGAATCAATTTAACCACTTTTTCATTTTTGATAGGTAATTTAGAGTCTTAATAGTCAATTTCGAAAGCACCTTATTATTAAGTCATCTTTGCTTATCTCTATTCTTCAAGCATTTCTTCAAATTTGGCAATCATGATGGGATCGCTTTGATCTTTTAACATTTTTGTCAATTCATCAGCAGACAGAGTAGCCAATTTCTTTGCTTTAGCATTACAATATCTAATTTATTGATTTAATTATTCTAATCTCTCCTAATATACTCCCGAACTAAATTAATCGCAGACTTTAATTATTTATTCATAAATAGTATAACATTTAGCAAATGATTCCAATGCTTTTTCCCATTTTTCAGTTTCAAAGTGATACAATCCTTGTAAATACCAATTATATGCTTCTGATTCTAATGATGTTCTCTTTTCAGTTCTCAACTCACAAATTGTAGTTAATTATTTAGAATATTGAATGGCTCGCTTAAATTTCTTTACCAAATAAACCTTCACTTATCTTTTATTGATTTTCTTATTGACTCCACTATTAATCAATTATTTCAAAGTCATAGCATGTGCCCAATTCTTTTCTGCTTAATACAATAATACTTATAAAACACGTGGATCATTCTAATTTCAATATTTGGATTATACCTTGACTACATCCTAAATAACTTTCTTTTGAAATCTCTTTCCATGAGTAAATTACATTTAATGTCTTAGTTTGTTTATTTTATTATAGCAATATGTCCTGTATCTTTAATAATCTCCATGCTGTAGTCCATAATTTCTTTAGGTTTCTCTTATTTTTTAGAATACTAATGAATATAATGGCAATGAATACCAAACAGGGAACCCAAGTTTTATAATTGTTCTTATTATTCTTCCTCTTCCATTTATTACATTTTAATTAAATATTAATATAATATATATGAGAATAATATAAATTCAGTTATCTTCTTAATATATTTCATCTAGTTCTTCCACATTCTCAAAAAATTCACTCATCTATTTAATGCTTGAAAAATTTTCCATATTTTTTTATAAATTCTCTAATCCCTTTGATAAGGTTTCATTTTATTGTACTAATTCCATCTATTAAATCAATAATAATGAATACATTCTTCATTCTTAATTTTTCAGCATGGATTTCTCCTTCATTATACACTCTTTTTACAAGTTATCTAAGATCTTAAATCTAAATGTAATATTTATTTTCCATACCTCATTAACAAGTTCTTCTTGCTTAATTTCAAGCATATTGACCTTTTCTTATAATTTATAATTGTCTTCCTTCAATTTACTATTCTCAGTTAATAACATTCTTTCTTTATGTTGAGTACTGGAAATGTAATTGGTAAATGCTTATTATTAAAGTTATTTTAAAATCATCTAACATATTTAAGCAATTCTACCTCTTGTAATTCTTAATTGTTCTCCTAAATCGGATAACTCTCAAATTGTGAGTCCATCATTAAAGTATTAAAAAATCAATATAAAAATAAAAATAATAATCAATTTTGCGTTATTTTCCAAGGTTTAATAAAGAATTATTAAACTCTTTTATATTGTAGAAATAATAAGATCGTTATTATTATTATGAAAAATATACTTCCATAAAAGCATCCTTTTACAAGTGGTTCTGTGTTTAAGTATGAATGCTCTGCAAATGTTATTACTTCTTTCACAGCCTATAATCATTAGTTATTAGAAATACAATTGTAATCCCTTCATCTGTAAAACAATTATATTTTTGATATTCATGAAAGATTCTGTTCTAGCCATCAATTCCTTTTAAACCATCAGCTTGTGTGTAATAAATTATACCCAATGCCATATTACTCATACACAAAATAAACGTTATTATCAATTAATATTCAATATGTTAAAATTTAGTAAAATCTATTGAAATGAAATTTACATCTTTAAGTAAATAAAACAAAAAGGAAGTAATTAATAAAACTGTTGTTAAAATTAAGGAGATTTTGCTTACATATCTACTATAAGAATTAATAATTTCTCCTTGTAATCTCATCTTTTTGATACTATCTGGATCCACAATGTTACATTCTGGATTTGTTGAATTAATAGTTATTCTACTCATCAATTATAAGGTGTAAGTATCAATACTATCGATATAATCTAAAAAGTATGGTATGCTTTAAAAATTAGTGAAGTCATTATCATCATAAACATTTAACTAATAATCTGAATCTATGATTTTTGAATAATTAAATGTGTTTCCATATTTGTCACAACCCTTTTCAGGAACAATTGCTAATGGATAATACTTACCACTTTAAAATTTTGGTTAAACTTTAGAATTAAAACACATAGAATTAGGATGAACACCAGGAACGATTTAAAAATTAATTAATGGAGTTGAACCGTTACGGTACTTATTGAAATATTTTGACCCAATTTTAATCTATTTTTCAGTTTGAGTTTGGGTTTCAATTAAATCTGTTAGTGGACATTTGGAATTAGATGATGATATGCAAATACCAGCACCACATTTATAGTAATTAGATGGACAATCCTAATTACCTACCCATTTCCATTTCTTTGCAAATTCTACACACAACATTTCTCCTTTCCAATATTAGAATTGTTATCCTTTATAATAAGGAACACTCTGACAATCAGATTTGAAATGAGTAAAACAATATGATCTTTCTTTTAATTCCCCATTTGAACATAGACAACCTATTTAAATAACTTTCTAATACCTGAATTGACTCCTTCCCAAGTGCCAATAGTAGTAATTTCAAATCCATATGGACAACTCTAATAATGTCTATGGAGTCTATTAATTTGAATGGTATTTTGAATATCAAGTATTGGTGATGAAGCTAGGTTTTCTTGGAGTGTTTTCAAGGTGGCAGAAGCACTGGATGGATCTTTTTATGGTTGCTATTGATGGTACACTTGAATCATAAGAATGAGGATAAATGTTGCGTAGACTAATGGTATTAGAAATATTGGAAGCGAGAATGGACTGGGTTCTTCATTCAGGATTTCTGATTGAACATCTTAATAAATGTCAAATGATGATTTACTTTATAGACTGTCAATTGAAAGGTTGTCACTGTGTTCTTGCCATTCATGTTTATGAAGGTGCAAGGATCTGCGAATTGATAATTTCATCTTTTATTATTTGATATGTAAAACTTAATCAAGTATTAAGAGAAGTATTCGAATAAGTATAATAATCAAATCAAAATATTTGAATGTTTCAACACTATTAAAATGGTTATTCTCCATCATTCTCATTGACATTATCCTAATCTATTCACACACTAATTAAAAAGTAAGTTTGAATCATGCAAATAACAAATGTTTAACGTTATCTATTAAATTAATAAATTAAATGTAGAAGACAAACTTTAAGAACCTCAAAGACCTACTTTAAAATAAGTACTCCTACTAAGATGCTAAATAAAATTCGCGTACTTCTTCCATAGCTGAAGTCTTATAGAATCTCAAGAAAAATAAGGATTAGACACCAGTTTCTATTATGAAAGAAGAGATCATCAATTTTACTAAAGCTATAGGTTTTGGCATTTAGGCTCCACCCTCTAAATCAAAATCCAAAGAAAAATAAGCATTGCCTAAGAGCATTGACAAGTAATCATATAATTTTTGATTTTAGAAAACCGATATTAAATAATCTAGCCCCATAATCAAAGGGTAATAGTCGAAACAATAGTTCTTAGAGTAGAAATACTTCTGCGCATTCCATCATAAATGAAAAGTAAGTTGAATAAATATGTTAGCACAAATCGATCAATTGCCAAAGACCCAAAAATACCAAAAGGATTTTAAACCGGAAGATTAAGAGAAAGGCAAGAAATGAATTCAATCTTCGAATAATAAAAAATAAAAATACTTAATTAATCACAAGATCAATAAAAATAAAATCTCAACAACAGTAATGTAAGTAAATAAGGAACCATAGATCTCGTTAACCTATTAAAGCAATAGTAAAATCAAAAATAATAATCATTAACAAATGAAGTAATAAATGAGAGTAAAACATTTGGTGAAGAATTCTGTGGATTAAATAAAGGACATTTCATATATAATTATGTGATTGGAAAAGGAGGTTTTGGAAAAGTTTGGAAAGTAGAATTGAAGAAAAACAGATAAATGTTTGCTATGAAAGAAATGATGAAATCTAAAATTATTGCCAAAAGGAGTATCAACTCTGTTATGAATGAAAAGGAATTATTATCATAATTGAGACATCCATTCTTAGTCAATATGTGTTATGCTTTCTAAGATAGAGACAATCTCTATTTGATTATGGATTTGTTAACAGGAGGAGATTTAAGATACCATATTGGTAAAATGAAGAGATTTAAGGAACATTAAACAAGTATTGATATCATTAATTTAGAATTCTTTATTGCTTGCATAGTAAGTGGACTAGAGTATCTTCATAACAATAACATTATTCATAGAGATATTAAACCAGAAAATATCGTACTTGATAAGCGAGTAATCTTTAAATATTAATTAAGGGTTATGCTAGAATTACAGATCTAGGTATTGCAAGAAAGGTTAGACCAGATAATTCATAAGACACTAGTGGTACTCCTGGTTATATGGGTAAAAACTAATTTATTAATCCTTTTAGCACCTGAGGTTATGTGTAGATAAAATCATGGAATTGCAGTTGATTATTTCGCTTTAGGAGTTATCGCCTATGAATTTATGATTGGAAAAGTAATCTTTATTATTAATTATCAAAAGAGACCATACAATGGAAAGTCAAGGAAGGAGATTAGAGATTAGATTCTTGCTAAATAGGCGTCTATCAAAAAAGAAGATCTACCAAATGGTTGGTCTATTGAAGCTATGGATTTTGTAAATAAAGTATGACTTCAATTTGACTCTAGTTATTACAAAGAAAACCTTAAAATAGATTAGGATTTAATGGTCCTTCCGATGTCAAGAATCATCCTTGGCTAAAAGGTGTTCCTTGGGAAAAACTGTATAATAAGACAATTGAAGCACCTTATGTTCCTATTGTATTTGTTATAATAATAAACAATAGAATGTAGAGGACATGTATAGATAACAAATATCTGATGGAGAGGAATCTTAAGATGAATTAATTAAGGAAAACTAATAATTATTAAGAAAAAATAGTGTTTAAAGTATAAATAATAGTAAATTTAGATCTATTTGCTGGTTATGGATATGATTGCAATTAAGACCCTACTTATAAGGGAACTAGGAGTACTGCATCAACGCATAATACAAGTCAACAGAATGAGACAATCAAATTTTGAAACAATTAATTCATAATATATATGTAATAATACATTCACAATAATAAAATTAATAACAAAACTAAGAATGCAACAACAGCACAAATTAACATGCACCACAACTTCTTTTTGCCACTTTTCTATTATTCTTATGTTTTAGTTAATTAGTCTTAAGTTTTGATAACATTCTCCTTAGTTGTTGTGACATTAGTCTCTATCACATCAAAATAGGTATCCTAATGTTCTATTTCCAAAGCTAAATCTTATACGATTTTATTAATTGTTTATGTCTTATATTAGATTTAATCTATTTCCTCTTAATTTTATTTAATGATTTCATTGTGCCATTCAAGGTGGTCGAATTGTTCAAATTATTAGACATCCATCATTTATAATTATGAATTATTTTAAGCATTTTTTTGATTATTGGACGAATGATTCAATGTAAAATTTTGAACATCTTATTTTGATGTCATTTTCATCATTCGTTCAATATCTTTTAGCACTTCCTTTAAAGATTCATATCCACAATCATTAATCATATTTTTATATAACTGTTGATGTCTTTGGAGATGACTATTGTACAAATCTCTTAACTTCTTGGTTTTATTTCGTTGGTCAACTCCCCTAGATGACTTTGAGTTATTGTTTAAAGTACTTGCTCCAATTTAATGATGTTCTCTTTAATGTTCATATGCTCCAATTAGATAGCCTTCAATTGTAGAAACACTTGATTGACATTGTGCTAATCAATTTCTGATTCCCCTGATACTTGCAATTCGTCAACACTTTGTTGGTAGTCTATGAGTTATGCTTTCACGTTCTAAGATAAAATTTGATTAGGTACCTCATACAATTAATCAAAAGAGACATTATCGTTCAATAATGATGTATGAAGATCACTCATTTAATTAAATAATAAATCAATCACACCATTACATTCTTTTTCCATTTACCCATTGTCCTTTCCTCTTTCCCTACTAAGAATTAGTATATTCACCGATTCCATGTTGTTTACCATATTCCCATTGCCCAGAATATTATCGAGAATCAGCTAACTAAATTAATATTTTGATTACGCCATGCCAAAGTTCCAAAACCATGCTTTTTGTCATTCTTATACTCTCCTTAATAAATAGTACCATCTGCCCATGACATTTTGCCTTTTCCATCCATCTAATCGTTTACCCACTCTCCTTCATATTTTCTACCATCACTCCATGTATAAGTACTACAATATAGAAGGCTACAATTACCCTTATCCATTAAACTAATTATTTTTAAACGAACCTTCATAAAGAGAACCATCAGGAAATTTATAGACTCCATATCCTTCACGCTTTCCTAATTTGAATTAACCTGTATAACTAGATTAATCAGAGAAAAATTCGAATCCCTATCCATTCTATAAATTTTCAAACCAATCTCCTTTATACATGGAGCCATCACCATGATAATACTCACCATATCCGTGATGTTGATCATCACACCATTATCCTATATAATAATCGCCGTCAGCATAAATCATTCTACCCTTTCCATTGGCTGTTCCTCGAGAAAATTAACCTTCATATATTGACCCATTTTTCATGATTTAAACTCCTTTTTATTTAATAACTGAATTTTACCTTTTCCATTTTTTTGACCCTCTAGCCATCCTCCTTGGTATAAACTCCCATTGGTTAATTCATATACTCCATAAAAATAAGCTTCAGAGTCTTCAACTTCAAAAGGGGCCAATCTATCTAATAGTTCCTGCGTTAAAATCATCTCGTACTTTGACTTTGAATGAGGATGTCTAGAACAATTAAGATGTTAATTTAGCTTCTTTAACATCAGGTCTATGAATTTCTAACAGTAAGGAATCATCTAATTATCTGGTTTTGGTTTATGATAAATTCTTCTCTAAATCTCCTTGAATTAATGGTTCATCTGGAAGAGCCCCTACTTCTCGAATGGTCTCAATTTTGCTAGTAAAGGTTAGTGGAGGGGCCTCACTTAGAACAGCTATTTATTCAGAACATACACATTATCCCATTATTTAATTTATTTTATAAGTATATAACTATTAATTGTTCACTATTTTCTGATCAAATTGGAATTGTTCCTTACTTCTTGCTCCATAAAATGTAAGATTCTCATTTCTAAATTCTGGTTCTTCTTCACTTATCCATCAAATGCTTATTTAACAGATTACAATTCATCTAATTTTACTTAATATTCTTTATCCTTTCTCTATATGATTTAATCTATATTGTAATTAAATTATGTTACTTAATTGATTAAGTTTCCATTGTAACTCCTGTATTTCCAAAGAGTTATTATTAAAATTATTCATATTTTCTAATTGTCTTCTATAATTATCCATTTCTAATTAATTCTAGTTAATCTATTGTTCTAATTATCTAAAGTATATTCTATAGAATACCTTGACTTTGACTCATAATGTAATAGAATTTATTCATAGTCTTTAATTTTATCATTCAAATTCTAAATTTAAGTTTCAAATAACGCCTTTTCTGCATTTGATAACATATTATGACTATCTTCCGAGATTTATCTTTATTCTAAACGTTCTCTCATTTCAGATATTTCCTACCATAATATTTGGTACCTTGAAGTAGCCTATTATAACTCATTTTATTATGATTAAACCTATTAAACATAATTATTCTAATTATAAAATATTTAGATACTTCAGATTGGTCTTTTTGAATATTTAAGATGCTTATTTGTTCCTTCAATTAAGATATCGTGTTATTTAGAGAAGTAATTGTCTAATGATTATTTATTTGCTCTTATCTAATTTGCTTTAAATCATTTTCTAATTAGTTAATGTATACAATGTATTCTGCCTTTTGAGATTGATCTTTTAATTGTTTCTCTAGACTAGATATCTTTTAATTCAGAAGGTCGTTCTCTTATTACAGAGAATCCTTTTAATTTAAAAAGCTTTGCGATTTTACCTCCAAAGAAGTAATAGTTTCTTTTAATTATTCAAATGTTTAATGATCTAATTAGGTATGCTGTAATTGTTATCTGAGATTATCATTACTAATTTGAAGTGTTAATAACTTAATTTCTGCTTATTCTAATTTGTAGCTCAATTCTCTCTGGGTATAATTGCCTTTTGTATTAGATGAATTTGGATGAGTATTGATATGTAAATTTTGATTCATATTTGGATTCATATTCTCTTTGTGTAATCTATTTTACGTTGACAATAACAAATCTTGATATTTTCTGTCTGATTCTGATATTAGCGATATTAGTTTTTTGTTTTCTTCTTGCTAATAATTTATTTAATGATTTAATTTAGAATTGTCATTTACTAGGACCGTAATTTTTTGTTGTAATTATTCCATTATTAATTTTAGTTTATCATATTCAGAATTGCTTTGTAATGTATTGAGGTGATTTCGAATCTGAACATTTTCTTCAACTAATTAATTAGATAGTTAAGCAGATGATTTAATAACTTATATAACTTGATCAAATTGACTCTAAACAACTTTATCAAATGATTTTTTGAGATCTTCTAACTGACAAATAGCGAATCTAAGTTGATCTTTCAAAATCTCAAAATTATTAATTTTCATTCCTTTAGGTATTGTTGTGCTCTTTTTATCAAAATGACTTTCTTGAGTATAATTTAATGTTGAATTAAAACTAGTAGAATCTAATAATCTATTAGGTTGGGTTTTGTTGGGCATCAAAGTAGCAGTAGATCCAGATTTGCCTCTGACCTAATAGAATGAACTCCTCTAACTTTGATTAACTGGTAAATCCTTTATTGGTGATAATTGATCAATTATGCTCCTTGAAATGTATATTGTTAATTTACATTCTCATTTTCTAACAACTCATGTAATTAGGATTGCTATGCTATTTCTAAGGTGGTGTAACACTTGATTGGCGTACTTGATACACTGTTGCTGGTTTTTGAGTTTGTTACATACTCATTTTGCTGTTATAAAAATTTGAATTATTAAATTTATATTTGTTTAATGAAAATGGAAACAAGATCAAGCTTGGTTGGCAAGTCTTTGGTTTCTTTCATGGTTTTCATCTTCAACTTAGTTAAATCTGGCTTCAACCATCTCTTCTAATTGAGCAACCAATTAGAGTTCGTTTCTTCTGGCTTAAGTGGCATAGTTGTATTCGTTGGCGAAGGTTGAGCATAAAGCTTAAGCTTAATCCCAAAGTTATTGGTTTCTTTAGAGTTTTCCTGAGGCGGTTTATGCAATAGCTGATTGAGTTCCGATTTATTGGTTCAATGAATCAAGTTTATTTTAGAGTCTTTCGTTTTAGGCTTCAAGTCTAGCGATGGTTTATCCAATTCTATCCTTTTAGTCATTGAATGCAGCAACTGAAACAGCGTTTGATTCAGTGAAGTCGTTGTATGCTTCTTAAATGTTACCTCTCAAGGTTTCCAAAAGTTAAGCAACTCTTTCAAGAGCTGATTCATCAAGTTATCCTTCTTAGGCAGCCAATTAAGCAAAGGCATAGAAGACTGGGGCAAACTTGGTAGTTTCCTTGATGTTGAAGGCAGTTTAGAGCATGCTCTTTGAAACTCTACTGATTTCAGCGAATGATCCTGATCCACTGTAGATGGTGGCTAAGATATCAGATGCTTCATCAATTGCATGGAGAGCGTCTTCATAATCTCTTCCTCTTCTCTTGAAGTATCCAGCTTCAGTTTCTGCAGCACTCAAAACGCTGTTTAAGTGTTCTTAAGCTGAGAAGTATTATTATTAGTTGACTTCTTATTGGTTGGTAGCTCTGATCTTTGAGGTTTAAGCAACATTCAAAGCTGCAGTTGAATCTCTGAGGACATTGCTGGCATCAGTGACTTCAGCTCTTCTGAAAGAATTTTCAGATTCACATTCTGTGACTTAGACGTTGTAAATCTCATCATGATTAACTTATTCTGTGTTAACAGCATCTCTGAAGTCTCTCAATACGTTCAAAATAGCATCGAGGGGTGATTTGTTCTTTAATTTTGCTTCAACTTCAGCCATAACAGCTGTGATTGATCTCTTCTTGGAGTAGTCCAAGTTGAATTTTGTTGTAGCACTAGCAACGGCCAAAATGACCAATAGGCACAAAGCAAGTCTCATTGTAATAATAATATTTTATCATTTTTTTTCTTCCTCATAAAATAAATTAGAAAAACGGATATTTTATCGAAAAACAACTAACTAAATACATAAATCATTTCATTTTCTTCAACCGATTCTCCTTTAGTTAACAAAGCAAATCAAACTAAACTCAATTCCTTATGGTTAACATCCTAAAATAAGGTTCTTGAACTCACATTATACTATTCAAATTTAACCCTCGTTTTTTATACATAATACAATATTCTTTTACTCTTAACAGATCTTAAAATATATATTATGCATATTTTCTTAAATCTAATATTATTCTTTTTTACCTATACTCAATTTTCATTACTAAATCATATATGTTAGTAAATTTTATATTTTTTTTTGACTGAAAATTGATTTGATGTCATAATAATTCAACGATTAAAATAAAAATTCGATTTTTAAACGTTTATGTTATGATAAAATTATTATGGATCATATTTTTTACTTAATATAATATAACACGAATAAATACATCATTTAATAAACATTAATCCAACAATTACAATTAAAATGCATATTATTACAATCCTATATCCTATTTTTGTTTTTTAAGACTATTAAGCTTTAACCAATTCTTATGAAGCTTTTTATGTTTTATTTTCTGCATAAGTATAATTATCTTCGATTGTAAACATTTGATCAACTTATTAGGTTGCAACCTCATGGATTTTCTCATATATACTTTTAACTGTTTCCATACTTTTATGAACATTTTACAATCTCTATTTTCTTTATGTCACATTATCTTCAAACAATTATACTTCCACTTAATGATTATCATGCAACAAACTAGTGTCTTCATCTACATTATTATATTCCATTTCTTGTAATCTCTTATTTTGTTATGAATAATATTTCATTAATTTCATGATCTAGTTCTCATCGCCCTTTTTTATACGTTTTTGTATTTCTTTTTTTATATTTTCTGACATCTATTTGCATTTACTCAAATATTCAGATCGATGATTTCCTTCAACTTCCTCATCAAGGAGATTTCGAAATTTTTCAATATCATTTTTTAATTTATCATCTTCATCTTAATTATCTTAATACATTTAATATATAAATCATAACAAATATTATTCTTTTATCTTAAAATTATAATATTAACACGTATTAGATAATTCATCTAATATTAATTTATTTTATTGAAGCCTATAAGAATATTATTAATGCTTATCCAATATTGTTTTTACTTACTATTCTCTTTCATTCTATAGTTTCTCTAATCGTTATTTTACATTAATAAATTTGATATCTTAAGTAATGGATCTAACAGTTCTATTTGGTTCTGATCTCTATTCTTCATATCTAAATGTATTGTTATATTTATTAGATTCACTACTGGACATGTTTATTTGCAAAGATTTCTTTTTCTATTTTATTTTGTTCTTTGATTTCTTCTATTATTCTTTTTATGTTAAATTTAAAAGTTTGTTATAAATCTAGGTCAACCTATTTTATTCTTGTTCTTCTTTTGTCTTATTTGACTTCTCAAGATGTTAGTGAATCTAATATAAACCAAATTATGTACTATTTCATCTTAGCCATGTAATCGTTATTTAATATTATCTAAACGTTAAGACTTTCTTTGTGATGCAGCATCCATACTTTTATTCAATTTCTTAAAAAATTCAAACTATAACATAGATCAATAAAAAATACCTCATCTAAATGCTTAGGCTCTGCCAATTTCATCGTTGGTGTTTCTTAAATAGTAACTTCTTTTTTTTATTACATTTTCTATGGAACTTACTCCACTAATTCTACTTTTGCTGTAGTTTCTTCTTTGATTTCTTTAATTTCATCTTAGACTGACATCTTTCTTGGCTTCCTTTTTACATTCTTTTTTTTTAACTTATTTGATAATGCAATCAATTAAGTTTCCTTTTTTTTCAAACTCTGTTCCATTGATGAGGACAGCTTATTATTTAGCTTTTATAGTTTTGCACTATAATCAGCTTATAATTTCTTTTTGTTCTCATGAATGGATTCCAATTTTAAAACATTCTATTTTGCTCTTTGCATTTACTCTTCATAACAATAATTGCATTACCTTGCAATGGATTCAAATAGACTCCACCATCTTAACTTCCCTCAAGGCAGTTTTCAAGTCCTAAGAATATAAATCTAATATACTTTGAAGTTCCTTCGTATAAGGTAATAATATATTTTACATAAATTATTAAAATCTTTAAATAAAATTGATCCATTATAATTAATGATTTATTACATCATAACTTTTACAACCCTAGCCTTCCATTTACAAATTCTGATATAGAATATAAAGTAAAAGTAAATCGAAATTATTATGTTCTACAACTTAATCCGAGCATATAAATAATGATTCTCGATCTACTGAGATGAAGAGATGAAACAATTAAGAAATTTTTGAAACAGAGATTCTTTATAAATGAAAATATTATATAATTAAAATTAAATTGAAATCAGAAATTTTATTCTCCCTCATTATGCATTCTATTATCATTAATTTTTAATATTTCTTCCATAATAATATCATAAAAATGAAGATTGGTAATTTTGAACGATGAGTTCGTCTTAAATTTTATATTTGATTAATTAATAAATAAAAATATAGAAATCGAAAAAAATAATCTCCTGCTTCAAAATGGCAACAAAGTTTTTTTTCTAGATATGTTTATAGCAGTAGGAATTGATAATGTTAATCATATTTCAGTAATAGATTGATAGATGTCAATAAAATAATTAAAATCAGATTTATTATTCCATTTTATTATATGAAAATAGAAATATTTATAAATTTATTTAATCAACAACATCCCCTTTTTTTTTAAGATGCTATTAGCTGCTTATTAAATTAATTAAAATTATGATGTTAATTACTGCTTATTGATGAAAAATATTCTTTGTTAGACTACTTCACATTCTAATTATCGAGAATGTTAATTATATATTTTTAAATTTGAGGTACACTATTAAATTCATAATTTGCCATTACTAAAAATAGGATTTCATTGACAGCACTAAAATAATTGATAATATAAACCTTAAATCTGCTATTGAGATAGTTTTTTGATTATAGATATACTTATATTTTCCTCCATTGAGAAAAACTTTAACAAAAAATTATAACAACTAATCTATAGTTTGTTTTTTTGATTTTGCTTCCTGCCCATTCTGATTTTTTTATATTCTCATAACATATTCAGTAATTTGTCTCATTTCATTTAGGTGAAAGTCCAAATAACTATCTATCTAAGCTTTAAGTTTTTAGTCTTCTAATGGATAAAAACTTAACAGTCGATATTATTCACATATGTATTTTAAAATTGCATGGCTTTCGAAGAGTGTAAAAGTTCCTTATTTAATGGATGGAACTGTCTTATCTGGATTTATTTAAGAATAATTATCGGATTTCAGAATATCTATAACTTTTTCATTATACTCAATTTTAGCCAATAAAAATAATGATCTCACCGCTCTTGACGGCGATGAAAATGGATGAAAATATAGAGTAATTTATTCTTATTTAGGTTATCTAGTCAATATTGATTAAATGAACTGATTTTTATATTTTTGTTTCGATATTAAATTAAAATAATCCTAATGTGATATGTATAATTCTGGTATTTTAAAAATTCTCATAATATATTGCTCTAAAACTGGGAACTTTTCGAAATCAAAATTACAAATAAATAGGGATGTCAAATCACAAACTGCTCTTAAAGAATATACAATTGTTTACCTTATATCTGCAATTGTAAAGTTGTGTTAGTCAAAAATATAATTATAATGGCCATTGTTTAGAAAAGTTTTGATAAAAAAATGTAATACTTCTTCAATGTCAATTAGTCTCGAAACTCTATTTTCTGGAACTCTATCCCCTTTCAACAATGGTTTCAAATAAAACTCTTTAGAATAGTCTAAAAGTTTAGTAAATTCATTTTGATGCCAATCTAAATATGAATCAACTAAGGCTTAATTTTATAAACTCTTTTTGATATATATAAGCTTTTTTTACTTTAGGATATAATCCGAAGTCAGGCTTGTTTATGCAAATGTATTTTATTATTGCGTGACTTTCAAATAAACTGAAAAACCCTTCAGTAATAGCTGGCACGGTCTGATTAGGGTTGATATTAGTAAAAGCATGCTTGAGATTTTCCCCTTTGAGAACATCAATGATTTTTTCATTGAAATCGCTCTTTGTTAACTATAGGACTGTCTTAACAGATAAACATCTATGGGAGTAAGGATTAAAATAAAGTGTTATTAACATTGATAATTAAATTTAATATTACATTGTTTGAAAATTATGAGCTTAATAATTAACAAATATATAATTATTTATAATGAAATATTAATCATTGAGTAACGATATTAGAAGGGTAAAAAGAATAGAATAAATTAAGGAAGATTAGTTGAATAAGTTAATCAGTAATATTGGATAAGAAATTTAATAGAAGTAGCTATTTTAATTAAACATATAGCATAGATGATCCGTATAAATATTTAATCAAAAGAAATTATTCAATTGAGGATAGAACTTTAATAAAAAGAGATAACATTTAATAGCGCAGACCAAAAGGAAGTATGTCCATCGCTGAAATTTGGACAAAAAAGATGAAAAAGTAATGTGACAAAATATTAGAAGAGATGAAGAAGAAATAAAATAAATAAATGTAAATCTAATAATTATGTTAGGCTCGATTTATCAAAATAATAATCAATAGATAATAGATAAATTGATGAATCGATCCAATGTATACAATTTTTCTCTAAATAAAGCTCCATAAAATGCAAGTGCGATAATTGAATAATTGGGACTAAAAGCCTTAATGGGTAAAACTAAATAAAAGGACAAAAATAAGTAAATAGTCTAGTCCCCGCAACAAAAATTACAATCCCAATCCTAAATCTTAACTCAATCTCCTCAACCTATTAGAGACAGATTTGCTTCGAACTTTCATTTTGAACCCACTTAATACTCCCCAATTTAGCAGTATCATCATAATAGCTAAAGTACAAGTTGTAGTACAAAAAATTTGTATAACGTAATAATAACATTAATAGAATCAATAGCAATTTTAGGAAATACAGCATTAAGAATGAAGTGAAAAGAGAAGTGAATAAATGTTTATACGAATGCGATTCATTAATTCAAAATTATCAAGATGTTGACACGTAAAAATCAATTGTAAAAAGTTCATAGAAGGTTGAAATAGCCATCGAAAAGTCGTCTAGATATTTTTGTTGAAAAACAGCGAAGAGAAGCATTAGAAGAATTAATATTTATTGAAAGAAATAAACCTAAAAACATATATTGATATATATTTTATTTTAATTTTCCATTTATGAGTCATTTAATATATAACTATGAACTATAAAATTTAGTAGCAAAAATACTTTCTACTTCGAATTATTTGGAGATTATAGTTAAAGAAATTAATTATGTTTCCCTCTCATTGTCATAATCAATCTAAATAACATTGGAATTTGTAATAATTTAATCTTTACCAATAAAACTTTCTTATGATATCCTTTAATTTATAAGAATAAACGCATTGTGTAAGAATGTCTAATATATATAATTTAAATTATCTCATTGTAAAATAAGGCTACTACTTTGTGATTTATGAAAGTCTTCTAATTTTATAATCACAAATGAGGATTCCTGCTTAATTTTCGATTATTTAAGACAAATGATCAAGTGATGAATATCATTATAAGAAAATTAAGTTTGTTTTAAATGTAATGAGTTGGATAGAATACTAATGGTTGAATTTTTATGCTGTCAAATTAAAAATAACCAACTGTCAACTGCTAGGCTATCTTTTTATAAATATAATAAAGCAAGTATGCAAGGAGTAACTAAGAGCTAATATTCTTCAACAATAATTTGTAAATTCTTGAATTGCAATGAGAAAAGCAAAATAATTAATTCTTATATAAATTAATAATTTTAAAATGAACACTTTTATTTGTTATTTGAAAAGATAAAAGAAATATATAGTAAATTCAATAGTATTATGACATTAACTCTGTATTCTCTAAATGTAACATCATAATTGATACTAATTGTGTAACATTTTATTACTTATATATTTAATTAGTTATAAATGAGATCAATTTTTTAAGATTCCATTCTTAAATCTTCTTATTGTATATAAATGAGAGCATTTTTGTAAAATTGAGTTTAAAATTAGAATATTTTTGTAAAATTATATTTCTTAAGTAAATCATAAATTCTAAATGAGATCATTTTTGAAAAATTGTATTTCTTATGTATATAATTAGTAATAAATGAGTTTATTTTTGTAAAATTGTATTTCTTAAGTATATATTTATGAATAAACTAGATAAATTTTGTAACATTCCATTCTTAGATCATATAACTGACTACAATTGAGATTAATTAAGTAACATTA